CCAGGCCATGGGTCTTGGTATCGCCGGTATCCTGCGTCGCTACCTCGTCTGGCCCGCCGCCATGGTTTGGCCCGCGACCCTCATCACCACCACCGTCATGCACTCACTTCACGACCACTCGTCTTCAGATCCCGCCCTCACCAACGGCTGGAGGATCGGTCGCTACAAGTTCTTCCTCATTGTGGCTGCCGCTACCTTTGTCTACGAGTGGATTCCCGAGGTGTTTGCCCAATTCCTGCAGATCTTCACCTTTGTCTGCTGGATCGCCCCCAACAACGTTGTCGTCAACCAGGTCTTTGGTGGTCAGACCGGTCTCGGTCTCATCCCTATCTCCTTTGACTGGAGTACCATTTCCGGTTTCTTGCTGTCTCCCCTGCAGACTCCGGCTTTCGCCATTGCCAACGTCGGTGCTGGTATCATCATCATGATGGTTGGCTGCATTGGCCTTGCCTGGGCCGGACCCGAGTTCTACCGCTACCTCCCGATCAGCGCCAACTCCAACTTCGATCACTTTGCTCAACCTTACAACACAAGCCGCATCTTGACCCCCGACTTCACCTTCAACGAGACTGCCTACAAGGAGTACTCCCCTCTCATCCTGGGTCCTGCCTTCTCCCTGTCTTATGGCATGGGTTTCGCTGGTCTCATCAGCACCCTCGTTCACGTCGGTCTCTTCTACGGCCGTGATATCATTGACCGCACCAAGTCAGCTTCCAACGAAGAGGCCGATGTCCACCTCAAGCTCATGCGTCGCTACAAGGAGGCTCCCGAGTGGTGGTTCGCGACCATGTTCGCCGTCAGCTTTGCCTTTGGTATGATCGCTTCTCAGGTCTGGAACACCCACTTGACCTGGTGGGCCTACATCGTTTGCATCATTATTGGCGCCTTCTTTATCCTTCCTGTCGGCATCATCCAAGCTGTCACCAATCAGCAGACTGGTCTGAACGTCATCACTGAGATGATTGTCGGTTACATGACTCCCGGCCGTCCCGTCGCCATGATGCTGTTCAAGTCTTGGGGTTACATGCTTTGCTACAACGGTCTACAGTACGTTTCCGACATGAAGGTCGGCCACTACATGAAGATTCCTCCCCGCACCATGTTCGCTGCCCAAACCTTCGCTGTTGTCTGGCTGTCTCTTGTCCAGATCGCCTCCTACAACTTCCTCCGCGGAAACATCGATGGCATCTGCACTTCTACCCAAGCCCAGGGTCTCACCTGTCCCAACGCCCGCACCTTCTACAACGCTAGTGTCATTTGGGGTGTCATCGGTCCCCGCCGCATGTTCGGTGCCGGCCAGCTTTACTCTTGGGTCAACTACTTCTGGCTCATTGGTGCCATCTGCCCCGTCATCCAGTTCTTCCTCGCTCGCCGCTACCCTCGCAGCATGCTCCGCTACGTCTTCTTCCCCGCGATCTTCGGTGCCGCTGGTATGATCCCTCCTGCCACCACCTGGTGGTTGGGACAGTGGGTTATTGTCGGTCTCATCTTCAACTGGTGGGTCCGCAACCGTTTCTTCGGCTGGTGGAGTAAGTCTTTTCCCCATGTGACTAGTTCCCCATTTGGACTAGTCTTTGATACCATGTTTGCTAACCCAACCACCAGCTCGTTACAACTACGTCCTCTCCGGAGCCCTCGATATCGGCACTGCTCTTTGCATCGTCATCTCTGGACTTGCTCTGGGTCTTTCTAACACTACGTTCCCGGATTGGTGGGGGAACACGGTGCCATATTCCGTACGTTAATCTCTTTATTTGTTTGTAATGAGTCTGATGCTGACATTGCTGAACTAGAACTTGGATGCCGATGGTGCCGCCGTAACAAAGATCTTGCCTGACGATGGGTCTACAATTGGCCCTACTCACTGGTAGTTTGCGAGAGTCTTTGAACAACGGAATAATTACTTTCATGCCGAGTAATCTACCATACGATAAAGACATGAGACTCAGCAAGATTATAACACTGTATCTAATTTAATCGCATTCATAATGACAACCCAATCCCTGTGAAGGGACGTAGCACTTGTGTTGTGACTAAAGATCAGTAGTTCAGCTTCTTAAAGTCATCACTAGCCTCCTCAGCGCCCAACGAATCGCAATGTATTGGAAGCGGACCGCCTCATTAGCAAAAGTATGTGGTGGGCCGGCTAGCCGCTATGACGTGATGCGAGCCTCTATTTCTTGACGATTCGATCCGCTGTTTCTCACTCCATGTGAGTGAGAGCTTGCTCAGGAAACGTTGCGGAACATGACGTGATTATCGGAATTGAAATCGAGCTAGCCCTGCAAGTTTCGCGTTCCGACAAATTTCACCCTCAGTAAAACTGATTTGGTCTCTGACTTCAGCTTCCGCCTTTCACTTCCACGCATATCTCATACACTTCGACTGGCTTTACGTTCATTGTCCACTTGACAAAAAGTACGCTTGCTTCTATCAGTGGCGCGACACACAGTGTCAGATTCCCAGTCGAGAAATGTCTGCACATTCGCCAGTGCAGAGCGGTAGGTTTCACAACTGCCATTGCCAGTATGCATAGCCGTCTCGACAACCCCAGCCACAAAATTTTGTAAACTGGTCGCGCTTAGCCTACGGTAAAAATAAAGAAGCGCCAGAGTCGAGTTGAAACTTCTAGGTCTCGAAATTCTTCCGGTCAAGTACCCAGGCTTGAAAGGACCGGCAGATGGAGTGGCTACTGGCTACCTAGTATAGGTAAGTACCTAATTCCACATCGACCACCACTGAGAACTTCGTTGCTTACATCTTTGTCACTGCCACTCTTTTTGATGCAATGATTCTGCCGTATTCCTTTATGTTCATATTTATTTTCGAGGTATTTAGTATCAATGTCGATACTCATCCAATCAACGTTCATTTTTGAAAGCTTATTATAAAAACTACTTGGAGTAATGAAGAGAGAATCTAGTAAAAATGAGTATTTCTGTAGATGCACAGGATGCAGTGGATGATGTACTATGAAGTCTCTCAATTTCCAAAGAGCTCAAGTGTTGAGAAAGACAGAATGCAAATAAGATTCATCTTTGGTGTCATGTTTTCATACTCGGAATCTTTTTGCAAGTTTCATTCAAGTGATGGTCTAGCTGCACAAATCGTTGAGATATGGTAGTTAACGTGTCACAGCTCTGCCTCTCAGCGCAAGTGCTGACTCTACACGTCAACCAAAATATGGAGACTTTTAACATGGTTTGGCTTGAGAGCGAGCTAATCTCCATTATGGACAACCGTTGAAAGAAATGTACGGGGGATGAGCCTTGGCCGTGGATGTCCGGTATCCCTGGCCTCTTCCGACTGCTTTTCTGAGTTCGCGGTTGAAAGTTTTACACGAAGGCCATTATATACGGCTTTCGATTCATTAGGATTGTGGTCTTCGCCTTCTCTGAGGTGTTTTCGCCAAAAGCCATCCTCGAAAGCCCGATATACAAATTTGGCAGTCCACTCGAGTTGATAAACTTAGGTAGCAAGGTATGATGACTAGGGACTCTTTATAATGACTCTGGAAACTGACGAGCGAGTCTTTTATTTTCTTTTATCAAAGTATTGTTGATATGGCTATGTCGGATTGGAAGTCCAATGCCGGTTGTGTAGTGGCATACACCTGGCAAGGCCTCTGGAGCCCAGAGGTCGCTGGTTCGATTCCAGCCGCCGGCAACTGCTTTAACTACCTGTGGGAAGGGTAGGGCAGAGCCCAATGCGGGGACTAGGACCCTTTCCGGGCCCTCGCCAGGGTTTTCTCATATCCACACCCTAAGACCAAGAAAAAGTGGATATGCGGCGAGTACACGTCGTCAACCAAGTACTGGGGCAGGAATGGTCTTGTACAAATCAGAACATGTACGAGGGGCCTGTTTCGGCAGGCCGCCGCCCTCTCCAGACATATCCGGCCTTAAGCCGCAAAATTCAAGAATGGAACTGGGGCCCCAGCGGGAACCAGGGACAGATAGAACGCATAGTAGCCATAAGGCACGATTTGGAGGACGATTTGAACTGTATCTAGCAATAGTTATAGGGCGACGGCTCTCCACGCCATATACCCTTCGGGAGGTCGGCCGCAAGGGCGGCTGCGCCCTTGCCGCCACGGCGTTAAATATAACACACACACACACATTGGAAGTCCAATTCGGCCGCGAGTAGGGGCAGAGCATGGGCCACCTCGAGGGGGTACACTTAGACCTCGACTACCCACCCAACCTCCGGTTGGAATCTCGCTTCTACTCCTTATGCAAAATCAATCAATATAGAGATATTGATACTTCGTCACCCCCAGGACCCTACGGTTCGAACCAACATCCCTGTGATAGGGAGACCAACAGGCTAAGAGATCTGAAAGCAAACTCTCTGTCTATCGGATTTTGGGGCAGAGCTAAGCCATCTTTAACCACTGTATCATTCTCTAACGGGCTTGCGGGAGTAAATAGTACAGGCGGAGACACGAGAAAGTGGTACCAGGAAAAGCAATGAAGCACATCACTGTAAAATTGACCTATGGGACCTCACATAATAGAGACGGGCATTCGGGACATAAGGCTAAAAGGTATTAGCAAAGTTCACTAACGGTTGTAACTTATTCGTAGCCAGTAACTGAGCTTCTACCCGTCACCTTCAATCCTTCTATTTCCTACCCTATGGTGGATACTGATAAAGATTGCAACATCTTTGGATCATGAACACCCTTATAAACACCACGACAAACAACCCTAACTATCTAGAGACTAGGTTACGGAGATGGCTCTTTCAGTATGGATATGTAGTAGCATCTCTCTTGGTTCATTCATGCTTACCAGCTACCAATCCATCCAAATTACACAACTCGACTGATCATTCACTCCAGTCTTCGGCTCCTTTTCCATTCTTTGCCATAACCACTCATCACATCTACACAACATAGCTGGCCATTCATCCCAATCATCATCCTCCCTCACAATCCTCACTACAAAAACAACCTCTCTACACCCATCTTACTACCAAACAAACCAGTCATCAGAATGGGTTGCGGATGCTCCAGAGAACTCACCCCATCCGAGGCTGCCATCGAGGAGAGAGACGTTGCCAGCCACGAAATGGCGCAGAAACTCGAGTGGTACGCCTTATTGGAACGAGGAGTATCAGAGAAGAGAAAGAAAGAGAATATCAAGGAGTACAGAAGAGACTGGAAAGATTTCAATGGTCGCCGGAACCGTTAGTTCTGGGGCGACTCTCCCGACTACCGAGGAATCTAGGTCAACTTCTGATCACCCAGAAGCAACCACGCAACACACACTTCCCTAGGCCATGACAGAGACCTCTACGAAATTCGGACTTCAGAGAAAAAACGCACATCATTCCCAAGATCACTACAGCAATCTTATTACATCCCGTCCTCAGAGCATACGACTATGTTGGTTGCCTTGGTCACGCCCGTGGCAAAGAAACCCCCCACCACTCAACTCAGACAGTGGAAAAGCTCAGAAACTTTCACTGTATCCATTTCTCAGAGCACAGAACTACACCGGCTATCCAGGTTCACTGTCCTGAACATGACCATGGCAACGCTAAACTCTGAATCTCATCCCCACCACCAAAGTCGGAACTAAGAGAATTGTGAGTGTCAGTGGAATGCTCTACGGCATCGTCTTCATTTCGGTGCGTCAGGGTGTTGTGGATTGCTTGGACAGGTTTGGTCGCCAGATACCCGACCCATGGCATATTACAGGTCACAAGAGGTCGTAAAGAGAGGCGTCCAGAGTGCGCAGGGGTTTCTCTATTGCGGTACTAAAAGGGCCTTCATATAGGAGGGCAGTAGTTGGTGATATGAGCTGTCGAAACTCATCGCACGTCAGATTGCGAGGAGTCGTTGATAATCACTAGAGAGATGTCTAGATCAAAAGTAGTACACAGCTTCATCAATAAGTTATATTAGCGAGTCTATGACTTCCCCTCAAATGTACAGCGTGTCAGAAATGAGCCTTAATCAATGCCAGCCCAAGCTCGAATAAATGGCAGCTGCTCTCTTGATCAGGAGTCGAAATTGCTGTCAACGGATACCTCGCCTTAGAATCTAAGAGAAGTCTCTATAGCTGAAGTAAGTGAGCATTTGGTATCAATAGTATCAAATTGGGTGCGGGAACTTGTGGTGAACTTTTGAATACCACATGATTTCACTCAAAGAGTTTTGGCATTCCCTTTTTTCAATCCAATAATTGAACTTGATTCCAACATACTTACTGCGTATGGCACAATTTGAGGCTGCCGGTCACGTGAGCCAGGGTGAAGGTCGTGTAATACTTATGGCTGCTGCCTTATTTTGGAAGGCTAGCGGAAAGACCTGGGTGCTCAACAACTCGTTTGCTATATGGCGCTTGGCTGCTGCGGAATCCAGTTGGGGGCTCGAAGGGAGTTTGATAAACCGCAAACGCCTTTGAACACCAAACAAGTCGCATGTATGTCGTTGGCTCAATGCGGTCGCAAGGCCGTCCAAGTTTTGGATTCAGCCAACGACACGTTCGATTACCTCGGCCGACTTAGGTCATACCGGCGTTCGCTACCCCGCCATCATCTTGCACGTGCTCCGATTCCCGGCCCCGGTCATCGCCCCACTATGGGCTCTCGCATCGTGAGTACTAAAATGGAAGTCGGCGCGGACCAACATATGCTTCATCGTGGGGAAACTACTGAGGAGAGAGATAGTCGGTACTTGCCTCAGTGGAGGTAGACAAATCGATGCTGTGTGTCACTATCTCAACAAGCGGGCGAGGAGTTCCGTTATCTCAAGGCCATTTCATTGTGACTTACTACAGGCGTACGCTAATATCCTTCGGCATTACGACCTCTTCCTAAATTTCTAGATGTGGAACTTCGAACTCGAAGATTGGCAGTCTGAGATACGGGTGTTTTCCTGTTGAAAAATACCTCATAGAATCTTCATTAACATAGAGTTCATTCGAATGACCAGGAGATCGACGGCGTGATATATCCGACTAGTGTATCAACCTTTGTTAAAAGACTGGTGTGCCACAGACTCGCAATTGGCTTGCCCAAGGTTGAAAGTGCTAGACTGAGGAAGTTGTCAACTGACTATACGAAGTCGGAGTAACAGATGTCGCAACCTTCAGATAATAGCTCATCTGGATTGGACGGTGCTTTAAAATTAGATGTCTAACCTAAGTCTCGGGCCTTCGTTGAGCAAGATACACGCACTATGTCCCACTAGGGATACAGGTCGATCAACTGTCACACGGTTCATTCGTTCTGACCAACTTACTCGTTGAGTCTTAGACCTCCGTTGCCCAGTAATTGTTTTATTCCTATTGCGTTCAACATTCTCCAACGCGCTTCCCCGAACCGTAGGTAAAGAAAATGATGACTTGACTGGACTTTTACCCAGTCTTTTCAACGTTCAACCGTTTAATATCTTGTGAAGCTCCAATTTCTCTATAAAGGAAAGAATCTCCATGAAGTTCCTGTTCCTCAAAACATCTAATGATCTACTTGCCCAACTACTTGAGACTCAACCCATCCTAAGAAGTAGTCTGAAAGGACCTTTTCCAGAAACAAAGCAATTTTTTCTCATACTATAGAGAAAGAAAGTTATTTCCGCTAACATCTTTGACGTTTATCGATGTAGAAGTGACTGGATGTGTTACGTACTTCGGACTCGGACTCGGACTCGGACCATCCCTGAGCACCTAAGAGTAAAAACAATCACTGGGGCTTTGATACACGACGCAAGCGACCGACATACAGCATCACTTCATGCTGATACGCTGCTCAAATTAGAAGTTACTGCTGCATTATGCCTTGCGCATAATGAACTTTAGAGGGGTCTTCGGCGAGCACGTGGTGCCAGGCTCTTTACTTGAATTCGTGCAGATTTGAGTTAAGAAACCACGTGAATTGTTTCCAGCGGGCCGAGGCAGTGAGAATGTGGTTACAGAGAGAAACGCCCATGCCCCGCCACAGCCAAGGAAGCATCCTACTAACAATTCATGCTAACAACAACAAGGCTGGACAACTTGGGGTAATTCGACGAATTGTCGGCGCTGGGGAAACAGTGGGGTAGGATTCGGTATGTTTTCTCATAATAGTTGCCAAAGACTAATGCTACGATCGCCGGCCGTGTGAGCGATGCATGTCGACCGCCGGCCGAATGATCGACGAATCTTTGCCCAATACCTTCCCTGCCACTGCTGCACATCACACTTCCCTTCGCATAATCGTCTTCGAGAAAGGCAGTTTCTTTCTCGAACCTGTTTTTCGGGACGTCTCGCCAGAAAAGGACCCATCAAAGAGTTTCTCTGGGTTCTGTCCGGGGGCTCATTAGGGGCGGAGGATCGCTGGGCGGCCTCCGCATCGTTTCATGTTTCGAGGCCAGACCCTGGGCCACAGCTCCCAAATCGCCGGGCGCTTGAAGCTGAGGCTCTCTGAACACGTCATAGCTCAGGGCTCCCCCAGATGTGTTTGGTTCATGCTCTAGGGGTCAGCTACTCTTTTGGACGGACAGTAGAGTACGTGGTCCGAGGTAAACAAAGGCATGTGAATCACGATAATTTGGTACTATGGATGATAAAAAGGCTTCAGTTGCGCCTTCTCAAGAAACGGACATTAGCAGCATCATTATCATCATCATATTTCAACAGTAATTCATCTCATCAATACACTTTAAAAGCAACTTTGATCGTAGCCAACATACCAACAGCAAAATGTCTTTCGCCGATCTTTCCAAGAGCCTAAGCGACATCGAGCGTAAGGTCAACAAGTCCATCAAGATTCTCGGCAAGGGCAATGACATGAACTACAAGGATGCCATCAAGCTGGGCACCAAGTCAAACTCAATTGTCAGCACGATCAACAAGGGTATCAAGGACTACTCGGTGAGTTCGCTTTCCAACAGCCCGCGTCACGCGATGGATAGGACTAACACATCAATCAATTATAGAACTTCGACCCCTCCGAAGATGAGGCCAAGAAGCTTCTGGGCCAGATGAACACAATTGTCGACCTGACCGAGACTCAACTGAACGCCATGGTATCGAACCAGGCCCGTTTCGAGAGCTTGAAGGTCGGTGGTCTCGTAAAGAAGAACGTCACCAAGACCGAGGCCGTGGGCAAGGAGCTTTCAGCGGTCATGATTGCCAAGGCCCCTGGAAGCATCAAGGGAGATGCTGAGGCGCTCGAGAAGAGACGTGAGGCTGCTTTCAACAAGGCATCTGGAGCTTTTGCTGGATCTACAGGCGGCGAGGATGAGCAGCTTGGAGACGACTCCGACTAAATGTATACTAGCTCTCAGCTCACAATTCGCAGTGGCTGTGTAAATAAGAGTCTACCTTTAGGGAACTTCATCAGAAGCTGTGAATCGTTCTCTCAAGCGCGTGCACACATCAGCCAGTCTGACGGATGCGCGATGCGGCACTTCATTGCCAGTTTTCTCAGCGCTGTGATGATGATGAATTCCGAAGTCAATGTCGTCACATGCAAAAAAGCTTGAGGTTAGCTGGGCATGAAAACGGAGTGGTGTGAAGCAGGATGAGCCAGGGCCACTATGCGTCACGTCAACATCGTGGTTGTGGTTGCGGTACGGCCCGCGGATCCGAGTAGAGCAAGTCAGCTAACTGACTCAACGTTCAATTTTGGGATCCCTAGGTTCTTGTTAGAGATACCAATAAATTCCAGTGGCTTCTGAGTGAAAACTGGCTGAGGGATTTTCCGGCTTATTTACTTGCCAAAAGGGGAGTATCCGAAGCTGTCACGACAATAGAGATAGAAGCGTTGATCATTGAGGTTTAATCACCCATCAATGTCGCGGGTTGGGCTGATGATGTCACTGTCTTATGGGATATAAATGGAGAGGATTTGTAAGCTGAGATTTCACAGTTAGAGTCTATTCCAAAAATTACAAGTGAAGTATGAAAGATGAGGTGAGATAAAGCATTACAATCTCAACATTGAGCTTGTTTGGAAATATGGATTCATCGAGAAGAACACGAGGTCTTTGAGCTAACCCAATAGAGCCTAGCCTTCATCTGACCATCGACATCTTTGATTGGAGTGCGGGCTAGATCGTTGCTGCCTAGGGAATACCGGGTCTAAGCCGGAGAGGGGTTTACAGGGTGCGTGTCCCTATGGAGCCAATTGAGGTCATGACAGCTTCACATTTACCTTGCCAGCAATGCCTCATTGTGCTCAACCACATCAAAATGGAGACACTCCCTCAGGATTTAATCGATGACATCGTCTCTTATTTACTACCGCAGCAGCAAGTCAAAGCAATACAACCTTATGACGTGCGGGTGAGACCAATCTCGCCCGTGGCCCCGTTAGCCACAGTCTCTCGTCGGCTACAAGCCGCCGTGGAAAGGGCAACATTCAGATCTCTCAAAATTACCAGCGACGAGTTTCCAAAGTTTATCGAGATCCTCACTCCGGCAAGGAGATATCATTTGGCCAGCTTGATCGTTACCATCACTCTTCCGCCTTACGACGAGGCTGCATCCCATAGAGCGGAATCGCCCGAAGAACGGCTTATCAATGATAAGTGCTACAGCAATGGCATAAAATCATTATTCGATATTCTTCGTCGGTGGGAAGATGAAGATCCGGAAACAATAGGCTATCGCCTCGCGTTATTCATAAACCACCCCGAATCACCTTCCGATACGCCATGGCCGACGAAGTACGTTCCATGGGGCGAGATGTATCCTGAGGAGGACGGAATTTACGAGGGCCGGTTCTTGCATTCGTTCATTGAACTTAGAGAGAGTCAACTACTCCCAAACCTCGAGAGAGTTAAGCAACTCGTAATGATGCAACAAGAAGAGAGGTATGGACACCGTAACACCTACCCGAAGGTGCCTATTATCCTCGCCTCAAAGATGCCGAATTTGGAACGCTTCAAGCTTTTTATGAACGACGACGAGAAGAGATTTGAAGAACTTCGGATTCTCAACCGAAATGAAGCGGCACAGGCTATCCGAGAGCTGTCATTACCATCACTGAGGAAAGCCGAATTCGACTTCTTTCAGAGGAGATATCGAAACGAGAGGGCCATGCCGCCAGCGTTGCATGGGCCCGGCGTTCCAGACCCGCTGAGCTCTGCTATCTGCGCATTCTCACAAAATCTTGTAGACCTGAGTGTCACCGGAGCCTTTGACGACTCACTTCTCCGGCCTACACAGGGTCTGAGTGAGACCTCATGGCCGAATCTCAGATTTCTCGACGTTAACATGCATGCCACTTCCCCTTCAGGAACTTGGTACTTCAAAAAAGCAGACGGTAGCCCTGACCACCGGCCATACACCCATAGCTCCAGCACAAACAACGCCCACTCGGATCTGCACAGCGAAGAGTTCAGCTTTGTAGAGGAGGCCGCCTACGCGCGAATGACTCCGGTGGAGGTTTTCCGTTGCAAGCCTGACGATGCCTATATAACGCCCTTCATCGAAGCGTACGCCAACGCGCTGAAGGTGATGCCCAAGCTCGCATCAGCGGCTTTGAACTTCCAGCTCGAGTATGAGACCGAGGAAGACGAGCCTAGCTGGATGTGTATTGCGTACTTTGCGCCCTGTCGCACGGCATCAAAGCATCCGCCAAAACTGCTGTGTCCGAACTGCAACCGAGGTGTCACACGTCAGCTAGTGAAGCTCTACCTTGGCTGGGAGCCGAGTGAGGCACTGGCGGCCAAGCTGCGTGCGATTGGAGACGAGGCCCATGAGGCGTCAATGGTGGAAAAGACTATGGCCCAATTTATGGATCAGCATGAGTGGGCCAATAACGACGACTTGTGAGAACGGGGAGGAAGTCCATCCGTAAGTCGCAAGCGAAACGGTGCGACGTCCTAGATACGTCACACCTACATGTACACATAATACCTCACATGTAACTTGGAGGTGAATAGCTGAGCTCCGTATCCAGAACCTGATAGCCTCGATAATTGACAAAGGAATACATCAGATCAGCATCTACCTAGTGGAATCTAAGCCGCGATGAATGTATTGAAGACGGATCTCATCGGCAGATACGCCCCTCAATCGGTTGGATCAGCTGCAAAGGGTTCCAACCTGCAGGCTTACTATTTCTGATAGTAATCCGGGACCGAGGGATTTCAGAGCGATTGAATACCTTCCTAGTTGTCTCTTGATAACGTAGTCATTCTCAGAGATGGAAACCCGTGCTACGGTAGACATGGCGAGTAGGAGCTCAGTGAAGGCTTAGAATTGATGCGTAATGAACTTTCCAGCTCAGTTGCCTCAGACTCTAATCTCCGGCTCCTTGCTCCATGAACCCGAGTTCTGATACCGACTTTGGGAAAGATGAGGTCCCTTCATGTCCTTCATGGGCGAGCGGGCGCGGCGCAGAGTCCCCGTGCAGTCTCAACGAGCGACGTGAGAGAATATAACTCATCGATGGATTCGACTCCTCTCAACTTATCATTATTCCCGTTCGGAAAACTCAATCTATTAGAGCACTAAGAGAAAGGACTTTACGGCTGATCAAACACGGCATGTTTCTGGAGACGGCTCCATTTCAGAGCCAAGGCCAAGGCAGAAGCACGCAATACTAAACTAAGTAACTAAGCATGTTTGATATATAGGTAGGGTATGATGCTATCTTCTTTTCTCTTGCTTACTTTTCTTAGAGCCACAATGGCAAGCTGTGTTTTAGTGTGTCCTATACTCGAGACAAAGATGGGACGGTCACCGAACTGAAGAATAGGACCCTCTTTATTAGATGATGGTTTTGTCAGTGCCTGTGTGGATTGCGAGGTTTCCTTGGACTCGACAATTGCCAGAACATGCCACAAAGACTCAAGCCTTCGACGATGAGATGAACGATATCTTACTCGGTACAAGTAGAAACCACTTTGCGGGAGATTCTCGGCAAGGCAATTGACGCGATGCCTAGTCATGAGGCTGGATCCCACCCGAGGCTTTCGTCGCTGTCACGAACTAACGCAAAGCTTCCGTTCATGCGGGTAAGTCGGCTCAATCGGCTTGCTCCCGATCATTTTGACGGAATGCATTTAATTTCCAATCCCAAAATCATATTCTCAGTGCCGAGCGACCAGTAGGCGCAGCCATTTGCCTCACAATGCTCCAACCTCCATGCTTCGCGAGTTTTTCCAAATGCCAGTTTCATCAAGATGGATACACAAGAATTGGCAGCTGGTTCCGAACATCACCAAGAAGCCACTTTTGTAAATGTCGCAGCGCCACACGTGGCGCTGCCGGTTACTGCCGTACGATACCGCTTTCCACAAGCCGATTACCCGTCTTGTACGGTATATAGATATGACCCTCATACGGATCTTCCACTTAGAGGAATCAAGCCACTTTCTACTATACAAGTCTTCCACTTGCTACCTCGCTTTGTGATAGTAAAAGACAAATCAGTCGAGATTCCTCTGCCTACATGTAAGGTGGGTGTGTGGCTTAGAGGTTTAAAGTTTGTAAGACGTGTTCCCTGGCGTAGATCGGACTCGGATCCTGTCGTGGGTGCCCACCTCACCCCAAACGGGCTCTAGTTCGTCTGTTCATTTTTCGCAAATCATCCAGTTTGCTGGGTGGCAGTGCCGTGCGTCAGAACAGATGCAGCACTTCTCGGAACTTCTAGAAGAAACGGAATTTTCTCATTGGCGTCTAGATTCCATGATCCCGTCGAGCGGCTTGACCTGGGCTCCAGTCACTTTCTGAAGCAGGGAGATCCGAGATCAGTTTTGTGCCATCCACTGCTGGAAACAGGCATCACCTCCTCGCAGAGCAGCAAATTCACAGCACGCAAACCGGAAACCTCAGCATCCTGTGCGCTAAAAAAGCTTGGGCTGGACTAAGGAGTTGGGCTCTGTCCTACCCGCCCCGGAACCTGACTCAAGAATGGGGGACGCTCGCGGGCATCTCTGAAGTTGTCTGTGGCATCGATGATAGAGTTCGACAACATGCGAGAAACCGTCTGGGAACTGGTGTGGACGCCGTCTCAAGTTGCTGGGTCCGTCTGTCCGATCCTCAGCAGCTCTCCCCTGCCAACTCTGAAGCACTGCAGAACTTATGCTTCAATTGATTTGAGGTCTACGGCTGTTAGCTGGAACCTGACTCAACTGTCGGCCACAACGTAATCGAAGCAACAACCCCCCCCCCCCCCCCCCGGCGCTGGGCTGGGCTGCCGTTTCAGCGTGTCTTCTCTTCGCTGCTACGACGCGCATCTTTCCAAGATCTCCCCATAATTTTAGCTTTTGGCTACTGTTTACGGCGTTCGCGGGCGGCCTTTGTATGGAAATGCCCCTTCCTCCGCAACAACGTCGAAGCCAACCCTCTCGCCCTACCAACCCTCGCAACCCAACTTCTGCCCGCTGACTTCCGCCCATACCGGCACGGCTCCATGGGGGGAAGTCGTAGGGCGGGCGGCAGGGCTTAGTGTCTGTTAAGCAGGTTACATTGAGGTGGATCTGGCAGCATGCCGGGGTGGGCAGTTCAATCTCGAACTCCCGCCCTCTGGCCAATCGCATCCAACCTTGTCACACTGACGGACCTGGCTCCAGGCCGTCCGGCGACTTTCAGAGAAGGTGGCATACCTTTGAGGAACGGTAATATCTCTGATATAAAGTTGACTTGACAGACGAGGGGAGGGGATCGTCTCAGTTCTTTCAAGGGCCAAGCCATTCTTTTTCTGACCACAGTCTCCCTGTTCCAATTTCCAGACCAGACGCTCTTTCAATCGCCATATATCCCCTCCGGCATCCCACGCCTCGAAGACAAAGGTTCTTGTGCTCCCTGTCGAACCTGTCACTCATTCAGTCGACGAACAGTCTGTCAAAGCTCTTTCAACTACTCAACTCTCTCTGCCGACCCCAGTCACCAACAAAGCATCCAACATCACAATGCGCTCCTCAATCCTCTACCTCGCCCTGGCCGGCCTCGCCAGTATCGCTCAAGCCAACCCGGTCATCAAGCCAGACGCCCAAGTCGACCCCAAAGGCCTCATCACCCGCAGCCTCTCCCACTTCCCCTCCTCCCGTTCCGAACCAACACGGTCCGAGCCGCCCCCGACAAAGAGCCAAGAAACGCCGCCTCTGCCTCTTATAAGTGCCCCGGCCGCCGCTCTGCCCGCCGGCGGCGGCGCAGTCAACAACGCCAACCGCACCGTCACCTTGACCGTAATCCAAGGCGACACCCTCGGCCAGATCGCGCGTCTCCTCAACTCGGGCATCTGCAACATCGCTAAGCTCAATAACATCGCCAACCCGGATTTTATCGAAATTGGCCAGGTCCTGCAGGTGCCCATCAATGTCGCCAACCCGGACAATGATTCGTGCCTTAACCGCGGCGGGGCGATCCCGGCCCCGGGGCAGAACGCTACTGCTCCCGGTGCCCCGCCTCCGGCGGGTGGCAAGGGGAAGAAGGTCAGGCGGAGCGGGAATTTGTTTTCTGAGAAGGGTCCCCGGGCGCCGTTGCACTGATCTGGAAGCTGGGGTTTGCTGAGCCCAGCAAGATGACCTGGAGGGGTTGGTCGGGGGAAGTGAGATTTGGGATGCGCACAGTGGCTGGATAACACGAAACTTTGGCAGCTGGCAGCGGGTCTAGCCTCGGAGTTTTGGCACTTGGCACATTTCAGGTGCGAAATATTGGGTGTTTTCTTGTGTTGTGTTATTCATCTTTATAACATAACTGGCTGGAACAGTCTGTTCGCACTTTGAGAACAACGAGCGCCAATATGAAGTATTCATTGCAACTTGAGTGATGTTGGCCACAGAGAGCGCCCTTGTGCTTTCTTTAGAAGCTGTGACGTCATGCGCCGAGCGTGGCTCATGAGTCAGCAAGCATATAGGAGGGAGTCTAAGGACCATCGCCAAGACCTGCGTCAATTTTCAGACTGCAACTCATCTCGACACTCGACAATAATCACGCGCTGATCTTAAGCCGTCAGATCATAAAGGAAGACGATAACAGTTGCTCTATAGGTGATATGGCTGTTCTCCACGTCCTGACGTTTTTCGTTTGTTTTCAAGACTAACCTTGATCAGTACGCCCACAGCCATGGCAGCAACAGCCTCCTCACTGGCCTATCACGAGCCGTCCATCATCACAATCGCAATCCTCTCCGGCTTCCTTCTGCTCCTCAACACCGTGAACTACGGTCTCGACAAACTCGTCTACTGTGGTCTGATTGGCCAGGTCTTCCTCGGCATCGCATGGGGAACCCCAGGGGCAAAATGGCTCTCTGATGAGATGGAGCACTCGATGGTGCAGCTAGGATATCTCGGTCTGATTTTGATTGTGTATGAAGGTGAGATCCATCTCGCGCGATACTCTCCTACATATCGAGCACAGTAACACTGATACTCGGTCAACAGGAGGTCTCTCCACATCCTTCAAGTCCCTCAAAGCCAATCTTCTACTCTCAATTGGCGTCGCCGTCACCGGCATCGCCATCCCCATGGGCCTCTCCTTCACCCTGAGCTCTCTCATCGGCGCCACACCACTGCAGGCGTTCGCCGCGGGAGCAGCCCTCTGCTCAACCAGTCTAGGAACAACCTTCACGGTCCTAGGCACGAGCGGCCTCACGACCACCCGCATGGGCGTCGTGTTGACCAGCGCTGCCATGATGGACGACGTCGTCGGCCTCATCATGGTCCAGGTCGTGTCCAACCTTGGTGGTGGCGGCGGCAGCGACTTCAATGCCGTGACTGTGGTTCGGCCGGTTCTCGTCTCTCTAGGCTTCGCGACCGTTGTACCGGCGGCGTGTAAGCTCATCGTGGGGCCGATCACGCTGCGTCTAAACTCGAAAAGAGAGAAGAGCTCCGGATCGAGGATTGATCAGCTTCTTTGCCTGAGACAGACTGCCCTCGTCATCCATACGTGCTGGCTGTTCGGGCTCATTGTGGGAGGGGCCTTTGCTGGGACCTCGACCTTGCTTGCGGCATACATCGCGGGTGCTACCATCAGTTGGTGGGACAGCGAAGTGCCTCATCTTGCAACTCGGGCCAAGGGCAAGCAAAAGGCACCTATCGCTGGGTACGCGTCTGCCCCAGCCGACCAGAAAGCTACCATTGCAGATGCTCCGGGGCAATCGAGTTCCGAGAGTCCAGCAGTGGCCCCTCCGGATTCTGGCAATGGGGGACCCGATGCCTACAACTCTGGCATTAAAGTCTACGAGCATTACTACAGCAAGGCCGTCGAGCACGTGCTGAAGCCGTTCTTCTTTGTAAGTCCCCATGATAACTATACTTGTATTGCTACCAGATCCTGATCCCGACAGGCATCCATCGGCTTCTCAGTACCGATAACAAGAATGTTCTCCGGTCCCATTGTTTGGCGTGGAATTGTCTACACTATCCTAATGATGGCTGGCAAGCTACTATGTGGTGTTTGGCTGCTGTCTTTTGCCAGCCCGCTCCAGGCCGTGCAGCGGATCGCCAAGAAGGTCTCTGGGGTAGGGGGCCAGCAGTCGAAGAAGCTCGCACCCGGGACGCAGTGTGCAGGGACGGCATCAGATTCGAGAGCGAGCAACAATCAAACTTCCCCGCAACAGCAGCCACAGCAGGAACAGGAGCAGCGTCAGGGTGCGCAAGAGGTTCAAACGGAAGAGGTATATCTTCAACCGCCCGACTCGCGACAGGCCGGAAAACCCCCGAAGAATGCTTCTCCGAAGCCGGAGATGCCCGTTTCCGTGTATCCGGCTTGCATCCTTGCCTTCGCAATGGTCGCTCGTGGTGAGATTGGCTACTTGATCTCTGCGTTGGCGGAAAGCACTGGCATCTTCAGCGGCGGGTCAGGTGCACCTGATGAACCTTCGGAGATGTTCTTGATTGTGACGTGGGCCATCACTCTGTGCACAATCGTTGGACCGGTTTGCGTCGGTCTGCTTGTGAACCGGGTAAAGCGGCTCGAGGCGCACAGCGGGAAAGGCTCGAACGGGAGTGGACGGAACGTTCTCGGTGCCTGGGGTGTGGAATAGACGGCAAGAGAAACCCTTCGGCGAGCAAAAGACAAGCGATTCCTGAGTTCTTCCTGAAGCCGGACATAGCCACAGCCTCATGTAGCAGATGCGTTGGGCCCATCTCCAGCCCAAGTAGCCAAGCCAGGTCATACAATGTAGCGTCTGAAACTGGTCCCAAGACGACGTTCATGTACGTGTCATTCGGCATCATGCGTATGGATCAAGTGTGTCCCTCCCGAGTCATGCGCCTTGAGCGCAGTTCCTTGTAAACCCGACTGCTGCCACCACTGCTTCAGCCCGTTCACGTCGCACCAGTCAAACTGTCGGGGCTCTTCGAACCACCACCTATTGCCGGGTTTAGGCTTGTCGCTGACATATTTCTTGAGGCAGCCACCATCAAACCGATGGTTCTTGACACCGACGAGGAGTATGACACTTCCAATCTTGGGGGCGAAGGCCTCAGCGTCGAGAAACACGGTCAAGATGACTTGTTTGCTAGTGCTAGGGTCGACAAGTCGAGCAGTTCGTTGTGTATGGTGAGGCGGCATGTGGGACGGTTCGATTTCGGAAAGAGAGGCGACGACTGCGAGAACGTTGACAGACCAATTTTGCTTGTAGGGCAAGTTCGGGATAGATCGTAGAGAAGTCAGCTTCAGTGGCATGTTCGGGTCCGTCCAGTCGCGTGGCAAGGCCACAGGGCCTCCCTTATTCCTGGCCTGCACCCTGCGTTGTGTTGCCTTTGTCTCCGACACTTGCATAACCTCGAATCCCTCTTCATCTTCATCGTCAGCCTCCGCCGATGCCCCGGTTGCCCCAATCGAACGCATGCGTTGCGGTTTTGGCCTTTGGGTCGATGTAGGTATAGAGGTCGGTCGTGGTTGTGGCGCCTTTGTTGGAGTTGCGACAGATTCCACGTCGCTATCAGAGACAATATCCTCCTCGACTTTGTGTTCTGGGAGTGCTGGAGGTACTGCGTCGGGTTCTGTGAGAGCTTTATGCCATCCAACAGTGACCAGATCGTGAACAACGAGGTATACCATCTGCCTCGTCCCTTCAGATCGATCGCCGTCACCGACAAGGTCCTGGAGACGAATCGAGAATTCCCCCAGGCGGACGTAGCAGCCGACGCGGATAGCTCCAGTGTCTAGGAAACGATGCATCTCTCCACGAAGAAGAGCCTGTATACAGAGCTCACCATCCCCCAGCATCAACCGTATGGCCCTCCATCTCTTCGACCGTGGCACAGGGAGGGACTCGACGCCTTCGACAAGGAAAATGGAACCGAGGATGCAGTAGCGGGTACGTAGCAGGTCGTTGATCAAGGGTTTCGGAACGAATGGCTCGGCATCATTGGCAAATGCTACCTCGGCTGGGATTGTTGACTTCTCGGGCACGTTGGGGGACATATGGACGCGTTCATCGTTTCGCGGCGACGCGGCGACAGTCGAGTGTGAGGGCGTCGAGTGGTGATGTTTCTTTCAGATTCCCCACCTGTGGAGGGATGGCACGAGGTCACTGACAGGGCCGTGGCGTGGCGGGCATGCCCACTGAAGACTCGCTAATGCAAGTCATTACGTAGCTTTGCACCACAGCTAGGGATTACCCCGGCCCGGCCTGACAGACCGATCCTACCCCATCTCATCTCGACAACCCTCAGCCTTCACATACTAATGTACTAGTAGGTAAGTACCTCATGAGATGAGCTTCGACACGCTCACTTTACTCACTCTCACTGACGAGGTTCCCCTCTGTTCATCAGAAACTTAGGGTATAGGCATTTTCAGCCAGTCGTGTTCATACTCTTAGACTTGTTTTTGCCTCGTTTCCGATGTACCATCTTTGGTAATAAAATTCGGAAACCATCTCGCTCACCCCAAATGGTTCCTTTCATCACCAGCAAGGCGACTTATCCCAGGTTCGAAGATCTTGCATCGCGCATAAAGAGCTGCAGTCATCGGTTTCAAAGGGTATAATTCCTCGACCAAGTCCTTTCACTTGATACGGACATTTTTCATTTGCACAATGCCCAGGCTTCGCAGACGCAAGTCAGAGTTGAAGATCAGTTGTCACAGACTAGAGCGCTTTCGGGCGGCGGGTGATACTCGATCCCTGTGACTCGTGAGGACGCCATGGGCATGCCTGCCATAGTAAAAGACGGTCAACAGACTATTGAGTTGAGACCCGCATTAGCCATGAACATCGTAGTTTATTCAGATGGGAACTCAGTCGGCCTCTGTAATCAATGCAATACTAGTGTCAGTATTCGTTTGCTTGAATTTCATGATTCAAGTAGCATTTTGGAGAAGATCCCGTTCGCCTGTTAGGGACGATTGGGCCCAGGGATCAACCGTTCAGTAAACACCACGATGTCAGTGACGATGTCGCCCACCTAAGGATTGTGCCAGTCACTACTAAAGTCGTCGAAAGGCGATATGAGTCTCTGCCTCTTGAGCATGAAAAGGATTAGTCCGTCGCAGGTAGGGATTTGTCCGTAAAGTTTGAAAGACTTTGCCAGTTTTGACGGATCAGTGGTCACCTTTAGTAATAGTCAAATGCGAAGTATGGAGCCGCAGCGAACAGCTTTCCTCTTGAACGGGTCAGCTATACGAAAGCGACGCTGCCAGATCCACAAAGCTTGCTTATTCATGCTTGTTACCGGGAGAATCTACGACCAATCGATGATCGGCATCCCTCTCTGACAACCCGATATTAGGGCCCGCCTTAGAAACTTCTTTGATGGCACTAGGAGAGACAAACGGAGGGGACCGTTCTTGAGTGGCTCCACACCGAGCACTACTGCTGTCGCGTTCACGGTTCGAGTTCTAGCACAGCGAACTCAAAAACGGATATCGGCCCCGAATCCGAATCAACCTTAGGTATTCACTTGTAATTGGAGTCTTTTAAAAGTAAACAGTAGTTCCCTCCATCGGATAATCGCCTAGATGTAAGGTGGTTGCTGAGAATGTTCAACAGGAGAGGGGCGGAGCTGTCCGCATCGCTGGATTCGCTGCAGGTGCTCAACCAAGATCAACAGCCGGTTTAGCTCTACCATCTTGGAGCTGAGAACCTCCTATGACGCACTTTCTGAGATTTTTCGATCAATACTTAGAGTAGATGATGCGGATTTAAGAGAAGATCTAGGCGTAAATACGCTAGACGGGACGTTGTAGAAAGCCGCCGATCAAGGTATTTGTAGGAAACCTGGATCCAAAAGAGTGGCAGAATTTTACAGAGGCACCTTCCCTCGTATAACAGTGGCAGTCCGCGTATCCACGTTCAGCCTCTGTATCAGCATCCAGTAACGTGCCTCCCAGCACAAGACTGAAGCCTAGCCGGCTTGTAACCCCAACTCCAACAGCTGGGATCATAACACACACGAATAAGGTACAAACACATCATGCTCATTCGCTGTCGGTATTCAATTTCTACCTTTAGAAAAGACGGGATTCAGACAAGCGGGTTACTACAAAAGCCCGGCGCTGCGGCAGGATCCGCGTCCTACTTCTGGGGATGGGCATGGGGAATGCCAATCTTAAAGTCTTGATTTCCCCGTAGGGGCCTGGCCGGCGGGAGCGCCACCTTCCGGCGGAAGTTATGTATGCTTCGAGCTGACTTATGCAAGGCCGGGTCCGAATGACCTATTCCGCAGAAAGTAAAGGCAACCAGCGCGGACACTTATGGGATAGCCCGCTCACCACATCGAATGTGGTCAAAGGCTGGAGGCGCTTCCAATGTTTTGCGCCAGAACGAACCATCAGTACGCAACGCCCCCGCCTCTTTTCATCAAATGGTTCCAGGCCGTCTGATGTTCAAGGGGGTTGATCCCTGCGACCATCAGTGTCGTCCAATCGCCGAGTGGCTCGCGATCGCATTGTTAGGGTATCTCGCATTCGGATTCTTAATTGATGGTGTGCTGATGGGGAAACCAACGAACTAGTGCGGCGCAAGGTCCAGCTGGTGCACAACTTTGTGCATCCGGAGCTGAACCCCTTCTCGAAAGCCCGGGGTTGCTTTGCGATTCTAGATCTCCCACAACGAATATAATGTAACCGCCTTCCCATTGATTTTTCCAGCTTTAGTCTTGAAGCTCAAGCCAAGAAGTTCTTGTTTCTACATACGAATAACGACTACACCGGACTGCACTACCGGAAATCTACACTTAACGAACGACTTATACGAACGACTTAGACGCGAGACACACACACACAGGCCCAGTACCTCCACATCACAACACATTATGGCGGATCTCAAGTCCTCGGACTCGGCCCCGAGAGATGTGGACGTTGAGAAAGGAATCAGTCCCAACGCCTCGGATCTCGAAGGCGCTACCATCAGACCCGAGTCTCGCCAGGAGTCAGCAGAAAACACACAGGATGCCGACAAGGAGACAGATCAAGACCCGAAAGTCGTGGATTGGGATGGACCCGACGATCCTGAAAACCCTCAAAACTGGCCCATGAAGAAGAAGTGGTTTAACATTGCTACCATCTCGATGTTGACATTTGTCACGTAAGCTCAGTTCCTTCTCTATTCCCTGGCGAAGTTCATCTGCTAACCTTCACAGACCACTTGTAAGCTCTCCTAGGAGTACACATCCAAGCTGGCCGAGTACTAACATTCTTCGCAGGGATCCTCAATGTTCGCCCCCGGCATTCCCAAGATCATGGTCGAATTCGGCGAAACCTCAGCCACGGTAGCGACGTTCGTCGTCTCAGTTTACATTCTCGGCTTTGCCTTCGGTCCTCTCATCATTGCCCCTATGAGTGAGGTCTTTGGTCGCGCGCGGCTTTACATCTGTGGCAACATTCTCTTCACCATCTTTACCGTTGGTACGGCTCTGTCACAAAACATGGCCATGATGATGGCATTCCGTTTCCTCATGGGTCTGGCTGGTGCCGTGCCAGTCACTATTGGCAGTGGCAGTATTGCGGATATTATGCCAATCGAGCAGAGAGGTCGTGCCATGTCTGCCTGGGCTTTGGGACCCCTCCTCGGCCCGTGTATTGGTCCCGTTGCCGGAGGCTACTTGATCAAGGCTGCCGGTTGGAGATGGGTGTACTGGCTTGTGACTATTGTAGTATGTAACCTCCAAGAAACTTGAAAGCCGAATGGCCCACAGGATGCTGACCAGATCACAGGGCGGTATTTTCATTCCTCTCTCGTGGTTCATGATGAGAGAGACTTTCGCTCCTCTCATTCTCGAACGCAAGGTAGCCAGGCTTCGCAAGGAAACCGGCAACATGAACCTCAGAAGCAAGCTCGACGATGGACAAACCACGAAGAAAAAGTTCCAGCACGCCATCATCCGACCTGTAAAGCTCCTTTTCGTCACGCCGATCGTTACTCTCATGGCTCTTTACGTCGCCATCACATACGGTATCCTGTACTTGCTCATCACGACCTTCTCTTTCGTCTACAGAGACCAATACGGCTTCGACGAGGGAACAATCGGTCTCACTTTCCTTCCCGCTGGCATTGGTATGATGATTGGTGTCGGCGTCTTTGGCGCGCTCACCGACTTCATCGTCATCAGGAACAAGAAGAAGGGACTCGTCCACAGGCCCGAGGCTCGTCTTACCCCGGTACTTACCATGCCCTGCGGTGTGGTTCTCCCCATCGGTCTCTTCATCTACGGGTGGACCACTGAAAAGGGGGTTCACTTCATCGTTCCCATGCTTGGAGTTGTCATCTTCGCCACTGGGCTCATGGGTGTCATGGTGAGTCACTACTATCCACCGGAAGAAATAGCGTTTGCTGATATGAGAAACAGATGTGCATTCAGAATTACCTTCTCGATACCTATCCACGATACGCAGCTTCCGTCACTGCCGCGCTAGCTGTTCTTCGATCTTTGGCCGGCGCCCTCCTTCCTCTTGGAGGCTTGGAAATGTACAACGCCCTCGGACTCGGATGGGGTAACAGTTTGCTGGGGTTCATCTCGGTCGCCCTCATCCCTATTCCTCTCGTCTTTTACATCTTCGGCGAGCGTATCAGAGGCAGATTCAAGCCTACTCTGTGAAATGGATGGGATTAGTCGGGCAGGCGTATTGTTTTTAGAGCATGGCGCAAGGGGTTAACATTATATGGCATAAAAGGTGCCATTCTGCATGGAGCGATGATTCATACTGCATTAGAAGGCATACCTTATAGTTGAGATAACAAGAACATAATATACTGAGAGACTCTACTTGACAACCAGAATGGACAAGGGAATTGTGTGGAAATGCATGCTACCAAAATCACCACTGAGATTGCTGGTGCCGTTTTTCCGAGGCTGACTACAAGCCGCGGAACAAGACAAAGTGGCTTGGCGGCGGTGGTGACAGTGGTGCCAGTAGTCAATTTGGAATCGGTTGAATTCCTCAAAAGAACAAGCGCGGGATCATGGTACCTGGCTCTCAAGGTGAGGATAATTACCTACCTACGTGTAGCACCGAATGAAACGCGATGCGCTATGCAAGAGCCCAGATCCGTAATAAAGGATCTGCGCATGCTAATTCATAGTCTTCGGATATTGACGAGCAATAGAACGAAGGGAATCCAAATAGCTAGTGCTTGCCTCCAATGACGGGGCTCGGATGGCGTCCCCGAAGCCGCATGCAGGTTAGGAATGCCGACACACGGCAGTTCGCGGCGGCCGCATCAGTCCAAGACAAACCCGGCATCAAACGCGGCCAGCTCGACAGATAGCGGCAACTCAATCGCACCAGTCTCATACTTGGAAGGTTTGCTTTAAGCAAAATGGCTTTGATCTCCTCTTTCATGTTGATTCCTGATTCCCGGTTCCCTGTTTTCGACAACACCCCATGAACACCGCAATTACTTGGACGTTAGCATGATTCCCTTTACACGATTCAAGGATCTTTCTGGAATGCCGCTGGGTTCATGAAAGAAACACAAGCGTACGACTCCATTTACACAGTCTATATCGAACACCCCGAATCTACAGGTCGTTGCCGGTCTCTTGCTTCGCTGGGTAATTACCGTCTCGGCCGCGGGTTTCAGCATGAACAACGCAACGATACCATTGGGAGGGGTTGGACCAGAAGCATCCTTGCCGACTGACACGAGGCAGCCGTTGGTCGTCGGCATAACATCAATGTTTATTGCCTTGGTCGCCGTCTTCATGGTCATTCGGGTGTACATCAGGGGTTATCTTTTGCGAGGATGGGGACTCGACGACTCCATGTTTATATGGTCTTCGGTTAGTGTGAAATCTCCGAACTATCGAGAGTCACAAATTCCAACTAACGCTATCATTCAAGATTCTCGTGATAATGCAAGGTACCATGGTACTATGCAGTAAGTAATGACCCGAAGGAGGGCACTTCCTCTTATTCAATTGCTTTTCTAACTCTCTTCATCGTATCAGATGCAATCTACGGAAGTCTTGGGCTTCACCTTTGGAGATCGACATTTGACCAGCTACACCAAAATTCCCGCGTAAGTTCTGGAAACACACGAGACTGAAGTGACAGCCATATTGCGAGCCTTCGACTGACGTTGAATCAAGTACTTGGTGGCGACAGTCTTCCTGTACCAACTGTCTTTCGGCTCCATCAAAGCAACCTTCCTACTCCAGTTCCGTCGAGCGTTTGCTCTGCCTCATATAATATTTTTTTGCGACGTTTTCTTGGGCATCATGTTCATAACACTCTCAGGGCTGCTCATCTTTGGCGGAATCGTCATGAAAGAATTCCTGAAGCCAGGGTATTTCCCTAACCCCGGGGACAAGGCTTACCTCATATTCGGTTATGTCAACGCCGCCGTACATCTCCCAACGGATATCGTCATCTTCGTCTTGCCACTGGTACTTGTAGGACGGATGCGCCTTGCGGCGATGCAAAAAGCCGGTTTAATCTCCAGTTTTGGGGTGGCATTTTGTGAGTAACTTGACCCGCGTGTTCATCAACCATCTTTCTGAACATAGTATAGCACCAGCGCGATCTCGGTGTTGAGGATCGCCAGTCTGCCTCTCGCTACCAGCGGCATCGATGGGTTCTACCAAGCCGTCCCGCTGGTTCTCCTAAGTTTGGCCGAGCCTACATCTGCGGTCATCTGCGCCTGTGTGCCAATTTTGCGGCCCCTTTTAGCATGTTCAGGAACTTCGAGATATGGCAGCCAAGGTTCGCGAAGACCGCTGTCAGGGGCGACCAACGAATCGACTGGACAAAGACGTCAGACACCGAGTGCGCCTCCACAATCGCCCACTAGCACGATAAGCCCATCGGTGACGCAAATAACACACATTTCGACGTTTACGGGGAGCATAGATGGCGACTTAGAGGGTTACAGATCGAGCCAACAAGCCAGGGGAAGCATCAACACGTTGAACCCTCTGTCCATGCATCCGTCATCACCCACCAAAACGTTACAGCTTCCATGACGGCTTGGATGTTTTCACCCTTAAACCAGTTCAAACTTTATCGTTTATCGCGGCGTCCAAAAGCATATAAAAGCATCAGCACATAAAGTAATGTTCTTCTCACGATGACGAGAGACACGAAGCAGGAGTAAAATAACATTGGCGATGACGGCTACGGAGATGAACTCACTAGAATTTGAGCCTTCGGGATGAGATATCTGATTATCTTGTTGGTCGTTCACGGGTCAGTCGTGGAAACGTGCGAGAATGGCATCATCCACTCAAATGTGTCATGCACGGAATTTCGACAACCGTTGGATCGAAATGAGTCCTCGTCAAAGCCAGACGTGACGAACCAAAGAAATCCGCTACCAACGTTACGTGGTCCATCTGACGAGGCAGGACCGCCACCCAACGACTTGAAGCAAGCTAGGAAAGCAAACATCGAACCCCAGCAGCGGCGCGGACACGTCGCCGGGGGTAAATGGGGGAGAAGGTGGCAAGAACACCCGATGACCCGGTGTTTGATCCGCTGTCAGCCTGTCTTCGATGATGGAGGAAATGCCAACTTGCACTTGTCATACATGTACTCGAAGACTGATGGCTCGGGCTGTTTGCTGTGGACACGAAGTTATCTCTCAAGTCATAACCTCTTTGATGAGCAACGGCCGAGCCAGGGTTTCGGTTCCGTAGTGGGGGTTGTTTGCTCAATCTCAGCGCCAAGATCATGTTGGCCGAGTTGCTCAAATTACCAGGTAGCTATGATATTCATACGATGGAATCCACCGTGGAACATGGCAGTATCTGCTGGACCACATGCATGGCCTCAAATGATCGCATACAACCTAACTCAAAGATGTCTCTCAAGCCAAGCGGACACTTGAGAACTTTTGGTTCTTCCGTTCTCAGCACAACTCTGGAAGAGTTTTTCTGCTATGGACATGCGGATGATATCAGTCGATAGCTGCATGCCCAGATTCTTGCAGGGGTTGCAGGAGTGGATCGTAGATCATAGAGCCCCATATAAATCAAGTCGACCACTGGCAGAACGTCCAAATGCTGAGCATTATTTCTTTTTCGAATGTCCAACCGTAGCGCCCCTTGTCTCTTTGTAGGTTTGGTCATCCGGAGAGCGGTGGATTCTGAACAAGGGAGACGAGTTCGATGTCGTAAGGGGGAGAATGACTGCCCACGGACAACACTAGGGCAGTAAGGGGGCGAGAAGAGCTCGAGATGTCGCGAAGTCAACTGCGGACGACTCAGATAAGCCAAGTCAGAATCTGCATTGCTTTTGGACTGGAACCGTGGTGTCATGGCCCTCAATCCCAAGTCCACAATCCCGAAAAGAGGGTCTTGAAAGATGGCAAAGCACTGGCACCTGTCAAATGGCACTTCTCACGTCAAGTTTCGAGGAGGGGCCATACGTTGGGGTTTGAATCTCAGACAACATATTGCTTATTTTCTTCCCCGATTTATCACAAACGGCCGATTGGGCGGGTACCCTCGAGTCTACATGGACTTCGCTTGGCAAGTTGTCCACTCAAAGCTCAAGAAAAGTCCCCTGTGATGGAAGAAGGACTTCTGCTGACTGCCCACACTCAGCGAAAGCAATTGTGTTTGCTTGTCAATTTGATGTCAGCACGGAGCCTCCCCCGTTGCCTGCACCACGTCGCCCAGTGGAGTGGCACAACAGGTTTCCAAGGGATGGCCAAGACCCCAGCATACCATTCCACAGGAATAAAACAACCCAAGTTCCCGGATCCTCAGTTTTGGTCCTGCCGGTGGCTTGTGCTTCTTTATCGTTCATCACTTCCCTTTTTCACCAGTAGTCTCTTTGCCATCGGCCCAGCTTGAGGGCATGGCTTGTCGTTAGATGTGTTGATGGATTCTTCCCAGTCCAAGTACATGGCCGAGCCGCCAGATGGTCAAGGACGATTCGAAGCGGGCACCATCACGACCGGGGCGCTGGCGTTGGGTGGAACGCTGACCTCACTTTCCATCATATTCGTCGGTTTGCGAGCCTTCACCAGGCTATCCCTAGTGAGACGAGGGCTTGGTCCCGATGACTGTTAGTACCTTACTCTTCTTTCAAGTGCATACTACTTCTGGTTTAACGATCCCTTATTCAGATCTCATCGGTATCTCGCTGGCTTTGGCCATGATCTTCTATGGGTTCTCCGTCAAATGTGAGAATGCCCCGACCAATTGCTATCGATGGCCCATCTAACTCTAGCAGTGTGCGAGCTCGGCGTGGGTACCCATCTGTGGCAAGTCGAGCGAGCTGACTATTCACCTTCGTTCCTGCTTGTAAGTCGCAATACTCTCTTGAGGTTGACAGATGAACTTTGGCGATGATCACTGCACTCGAAGGCCTTTTAACTAATGGGATTATCTAGCATAGCATCATTGCGATCGCCGTCTACTCACTCAGTGTAACCACTGCAAAGCTGTCACTCCTTGTCTTGTACTTGCGTCTATCTCCCGAGAGGTGGTTTAGGATCGTAACAATGACCCTCATTGGCTTTGCATCCTCGTACGCGCTGGCTTACCTCTTTCTCATCGTCCTCAGCTGCAGGCCAATCCAGGCTTCATGGGATCTTTCAGCTAGGGAGGGAGCAACATGCATCGACAAAAACACTGTCTACTTGGTGCTCAGTGCTACCAATATTATCATGGACGTCGTGTGCCTTGTTCTTCCTCTGAAGATCATTATTCCTCTACAGATGGCAGCACGACAAAAGTTATCGCTGATCCTGCTATTTGCAACAGGGGGCTTGTAAGTCGACGTCCCAGGCGGAGGCACCCAATCGCATGCTAATCTCTTTCAGTGTCTGCATATGTGCCATCAGACGTACAATCCTTCTACCGCCTCTGTTCAAAAGCACTGATTACACTTTCGACATCGACAAGCAATTGAATTGGGCATCAATCGAAGTCAACGCTGGGATCGTATGCGCCTCCGTTCCGGCACTCAAACCCTTCTTCGTGCGCTATCTGCCCATGTTTGTCACTTCGCACATCACCGCACGCGGCTCCAAGTCGAAGAAGACAAACCCAAATTATCAAAACTACCAAAACTCGAATCCCTACTCGACCACAATCGAAGCCAACAAAAGGAGGCGCAACGTTCAGTCGGAGGCGTACGAGTTGCATTCTCGTGATGATTTGTCGCTATCTTCGAATGATATGCCGAAGAATGGGTCTAGAGAAGATGTTGTAAAGCTTTGGTCCGGAAATGCCTTTCGAAAAGACAGTAAGAGTCACCGCGAGACCATCATCGAGTCGAACCCGAGGGACCCAAATGATAGTGGCTCAACTATCATCGACGAGATACAGCCGGTGGCGGAAAACAATTCAAGAGGAGACCCGCCACAAATAGTGGCGAGTATGAGCGGGATCATGGTCATCACAGAGACGCGGGTCGAGTATGAGGTGCCATGGCCGGATCATCGCAGTGCCAGGGAATGATGGCTTCATGGTGTTTCGTCTTTGGTTGAGCGTACATGTACCTTGGAAACATCACTAGTAATCTAGAATTAAGGACATAAACTGCGTGCTATCTTTAAGTTCCAAGTCTCAGGCTGAGATACAAGGCCTATTCTTTTCATCATGCAGCTTCCAAATGCATGATATCTCTGAGGTCTTTCACCTCTGTGCCAGGCCTTGTAGCGACAGGTTTCGACTTTCTGCTGCCATACTTCCACTCTTCCCTCAGGCCCCTTTCTTTTCCCTCCAAAGCATCTGATATGTAGTCACCAATTATTGGGAACATCTTGAAAGCATGACCAGAGTCTCCAGTGGCCAGAAGTAGCGATGGATGTTTTGGGTGGTTGTCAATGAGCCAGTGTGAGTCAGGTGAGTCGGTGCACCAGCAGACACGTGCACCCAGCAGCGGTCGACCAGAGAACTGCGGCATTACCGTGTCGATAAATCTATTGATAGCCGTTGCTGCTTCTTCGGGGATTCCGTCATCGGGGTGTGCGCTCGCGTATCGTGGGATCGAGTAGTGTTCCACCTTACCCGAGGGATTGGTGTAAGTGCCGACTCGGTACTGATAACCTGGTGATCCGTCACAGATCTTCATCCACTCTGAGAGGGTTATTAGAAGGCATATCTCATTCTCAACTTGTCGGGGTAACTCACTCGTTTCTGGATCTGGTTCGAATGTGAAGCCCAGCTCAAAGTTGTCCAGGACGGGAATCTCCTTCCACTGGTCAACCTCCTCGTCGTTCAACTCGATATGAGCCAAAGACCAGCACTTTGTCCACATCTCCCTTGACAACTCAGGTAGTAACTCGGGCGATGCAGCTCCAGTGCAGAGGATATACCTATTCCCGCGGACAACGTCGCCAGACGCAACCTTGATCCCGTCAAGCTTGCCCGAGCCATCGATGCTCAACCCAGTCATGGTGCCATTGGATCCCGATATGAACTCAACGCCCATACCCTGTGCTGCTTTGCCCCATTTCTCTAGAGACTTCTTTGCATGAGCCCAGCCGCCTTGGCTGTTCCAAAGGCCCTTCCAGTTTTCGATGCCGTCTGCATCACGAAGCTGCGGGACGTGCTTGGCAATTTGCTCTTTACCCGCCACCAGCTCAAGGCTGCCAGCCTGACCAGCCTTCTTGAGATTCTCGTACGACTCTTTGAGGTGCTTCTCTGCGAGTGGGTCCCCTAACGTTGTCACGATGCGTCCCTATGAGGCTTATGAGGAGCTGAAACAGGCGACAATGGTGTTGAGAAATGTTGACCGACCGTCTCATGAAAGATTCCATCCCATTCTGAACCTCTCCAAGCACCGAGTGCCTCGAGCGCTAATTCCGTGTACAGCGGCTCGTCATATTCCGTTCTGATGATCTTATTCAAGTCATACCCCGCAGAATCGAGACTTGGTATGGGATGACGATCGAGACATCTGATATTGGTGTAACCACGCTTGGCAAGATGATATGCGGTACTGATGCCAAATGTGCCACTGACAAGGTCCAATTAGCAATGTCCAGACTCGGTATAATTGCATTGGACTCACGCGCCCGCGATGACAATGCTCGAGGCCTTTGACAGAGGAGGGGTATCGGTCATGGCTGACAAATGATTATGATTATCTTTGCACAATGGAATAGAATTCGACCGCAACTGCCAACATCTCAAGGATGAAATATGCTTCAATATCTCAGTGAGAAATGTAGTCTACAAGTCGGGACCAGCACGCCGAGACTACATGAACTCCCCGAAAGAGCCCATTGTTTTACCCCTCGTCCTGCACAGTTCCTAACTAAGCCATTATTGGGGCGCCAGGCCGCTAATGCCGGCTTGGACCTTCCCTTCCGCCTCACCAAGTCCATCCTCGATTCCTCGACGTCCCCCCCCGCCTAACAAGCTTTTCGAGCTCCGCATTACTCGCGCATTTCACCATTTCTTGACAATGGCAATGGCTAGAGACGAGCCATGGCTCCAGTCACGGCAGCACAGGCCAGATAGCTTGGACCTTCCACAGTATCGTCTTCCCTGCTCCGCCGTAGATAGCGTATCACGGGAAACACCAGCGTAAAGCCTATCTCGACTGAGGGGTCTGGAGTTCGGGTAGAGATAGACTGACTTCAAGAGAGAGGTCCAGTGCCGGGGAAGGTCGATATCGAGTAATTCGACCCTAATAAGAGTTGATTCTCGGCTCGGCGGCATTTGATATATAACCACAGATGGAAAAGTTCCGTTCCACATCAATAGCACCGGTCAGACCAGTTCAAAGATCCACTCGTTCATATCAACATTCCCCGGCCCAAGATCCGGTCAACATGTCTGGCGTAACAGACAAACCCGGCGAGAAGATGGTCGTGCCCCTTCCTGAGCCGCAGCTGTGTCCCGACGTGGAGGCTCGCGATGCCGACGACCTGGACAAGGCGATGACCTACGCCATTGACGAGATTGAGGAGCACTTTGACATCGAATCCGACAACTCCCCGTACCCCGAAGTCCGCGCCAATGTGCCAAACACGGACGACCCAGCCATGCCCGTCAACACGCTCCGCATGTGGGTACTCGGCGTCCTATTCACCATGATCGGCTCCGGTATCAACCAGTTTTTCTCCATGCGTTATCCCGGCGTCACCATCTCATCTCTGGTGGCACAACTCGTCGCCTATCCCGTCGGCTGCGCCGTAGCCCGTATCCTGCCAGTGAAGAGGGTTCGCGTCTTTGATCGCTGGGACCTGGTGGTCAACCCGGACCACTACTTCAATATCAAAGAGCACGCAGTCGTCACCATCATGTCCAACCTGTCTTTTGGGCCGTCGTGGGCTACCGACATCATCCAGGCGCAGAAGGCCTCGGCGTTCTACGGACTTGACACACCGGTAGCGTACCAATTCCTGCTCGGCCTCTCGATGCAGCTGTTCGGGCTTGGAATGGCTGGCCTGGCGTACCGCTTCATCGTAGAACCTCCTCACATGATCTGGCCATCGACTCTGGCCAACGCGGCGCTGTTCCAGACACTTCATGGCCGGGCGAACCCTGTAGCAGATGGCTGGAGGATCACGAGATACCGGTTCTTTCTTTACGTCTTTGTCGGTGGCTTCTTCTGGTATTGGCTACCTGGGTACCTCTTCACTGGTCTGAGTACCTTCGCCTTTGTTTGCTGGGCCGCTCCGAGTAAGTCGCATAGGGGTATGATAGTTGTCCAGGTCCACTGACACGGTGTAGACAACGTTGTGGTCAACAATCTATTCGGCATGTCGACAGGCTTGGCCTATCTACCCATCACCTTTGACTGGTCTCAGATCGCCTACAATGGATCTCCCTTGGTTGTTCCTTTCTGGGCGCAAGCTAACGTCTTTGCTGGATGGGTCATCCTCTTCGCCCTCGTAACACCGATACTGTACTACACCAACACGTGGTACACCGCATTCCTCCCATTCTCCGGCGCAGACACATACGATAATACTGGAAAGATCTACAATGTAACCCGCGTGGTGGGTAAAGATGGCAACTTCATCGTGGAGGAGTACGAGAAGTACAGTCCACTCTTCATGCCCGTAACCTTTGCACTCAGCTACGGCATATCGTTTGCGACCATGTCTTGCGTGCCGACCTACATTTTTATCAACTACTACAAGGACATCATCGGAGCATTCAACCCGAGTAGGAAGAAGGACATCCACACCCGCTTAATCGAGAGATACCCAGACACACCATGGTGGTGGTACGGCATCATGACCGCCGTCGTACTGGCTTTGACAATCATCGTGCAAGAGGTCTACAAAACCCAAATGCCAGTTTGGGGCGTTTTCGTGGCTTTTGGGTTAGCTTTGATTTACCTGATCCCGACCGGCAGCGTCTACGCCGTCGCCAACCTCAACAGCAACGTCCTCACCGTCCTCGGCGAAATCATCTCGGGATACGCCATACCGGGAAAGCCCATCGTCATGCTCATCTTCAAGTTCTACGCCTACACGGGCCTCAGCCAAGCCATGATCTTCTCCTCGGACATGAAGCTCGGTTTGTACATGAAGATTCCCCGGCGAACGCTATTTGTGGCCCAGCTGGCTGCCTGCATCACGGGCTCCCTCACGCAGAACGCCGTTCTGCTGTGGATGCTTAACCACGTCAAGAATATTTGCCACGAAAGCCAGCCCAACGGCTACACCTGCCCGCAAGGACGAGTCAACTTCTCCTCAAGCATCGTTTGGGGTGCTATCGGCCCAGCACGGCTATACAGCGTCGGAAAGATCTACTCTGGTCTGCTGCATCTGTTCTGGATTGGGGCACTGCTACCCGTAGTGACATTCTTTCTCAAGAGGAGGTTCCCAGAGAACAAGTTTTTGAGGCACCTTCACTGGCCTCTATTCTTCGCTGGAACGGGGAATGTGCCCCCCGCTACTGGAATTAATTACACCTCAGCCTTTGTAGTCTCCTTTATTTTCAACAAGTGGCTCAAGGGTAAATTTCCACAATGGTGGGCAAAGGTGAGTTGGAGGACAACAACTTGCTTCCCAAAATTACGCAATTGGTCCCCATACTAACTTGGTAACGACAGTACAACTACGTCCTATCTGCGGCTCTCGATTCTGGCCTAGCCATTTCCGCCATCGTCATCTTCTTTGCCCTCGTTTTTCCCGGATTCCAGCTAAGCTGGTGGGGTAATAATATTCAGCGTTCAACCATCGACGGCAAAGGCATTCCCTTGAAGGCTGTACCGCTCAATGGCACTTTTGGCCCGGCATCCTGGTCTTAGCCAGGTACCTAGTTTTCTGATGTCCATCATTGGTCCCAACGACTCCCTGTACTTGTCCGGCACTGATAAGCCATGATTTCCAATAGCAAAACCCATCCAGATACAAATAATACTACTACTAGTCAACGCGTTGCGCCAAACCTAAATGCCCACATACCGCCGTTACTCGTAAGCATAACACATCACAGAAGCCAAGTTCTGTTTCCACACGAGAACTTCAGGGCCATCCTACATCTTCAAAGGCATTGTCGCCTGTACTACGCAGCTCAGGCCAAACTAATATTGTGACAGAGTGGAGCCACAAAACGAGCCCAGTCATTGAAGGCCTTGGGACTGGGAGAAAGCTGTCGATCCGACGACAGGAATGTGGCCGCCTCTCGCTGTTTCCATACCTTTTCGATTACCGAACGCGTTCGGGTGACATTGGAGAGCGAATCTGCCAACTTGTCGAGAACGTAGAGGACAAACGGTCGTGCGTAGCGAGGGGCCCCTTGGTTCTCAGTATCTCCCTCCGCCCACTCGAGCTCCTCTGTAGGATCGAGTTGGCAGGCTGCCATAAACAGTGGCCATGTAAGCCCAGCTTTGACATCCGCTTCGAGCAACATCGCGACGAGACGCAAGATCTTCTTGACGTTCTGTCGAATCACAGGCGTCGCCGGATTGGAGTCGTCAAGAGCAGAGTGAAGATACAGCTCTACAGTCAGCCGCTTCAACTCGACGATATTCCTGATGATTTCGTCTTCGCTATCGCTCTTAAGATGCGGCTGTTGGAGCAAACAAGTCAACCTCATCCGCTGGCGTTCAAGGTCCTGCCAGCATTCCTCCGCCGTCGAAGACGACATGCGATGGTACTTGAAGCTGAGCTCCGTAATCTCGCCAATGATGCTGACAAGCTGCGGCGAGCAGCCCATCCACAGATCAAGCCCCTCGTCCTCCTGCGCGGACCAAAAGTCGTTACCGAAGATGGGTTCCTCACCGCAGGCAGTTCGTCCCATGACATCGTAAAAGGCAAAGTACCGCTCGGTGAACTTGATGATTCGCTCCCAGGGGCTCTGCTGCCGCGCCGCCATCTTGGCGGCGTCCGAAGTCATGCCTTGGCGTCTGAACCTGATGAGGTCTCGGGCCCCGCGCAGATGCGTAACCCAGCGCTTGTCGCACTCCGTAATGATTTCGAGCTGGCATAGCAGCATGATCAAGACGAGGATCTCCGAGTTGGCTGCGATGTCGATGGATGATTTGTTTTCGAGGGACAAGCGCAGCGATCGGATGACTTTGGCTGAGTAGCTAAGAGCTACCGGCTGATATGTGCAGTCTGATCTTGCTCTGTGTGAAGCGGCGAGGCCCAGGAGGGCGTGCATAAGGGCCGGCGAGGCGGAGGATACGGCAAATGGGAAGATGAGAGCGGAAAAGGGAGATTCGCCTTTGGCGCATGTGACTGTCATGGGACAGATCCGGTCAAGGTAGTATGATAACAAATGTGATTCGGCCTGGCTGTCGAGTTGGACGTACTTGACCGGTCGATTAATAGAGCCCAAATTCTTTCTTAGTGTAAGGGCCGCCGATTTGCGATCATCCGTGGAGCTGTCATCGCTAGAGGACGACGAGGACTCTTCCTTTTCGAAGTCGGCAATGAAGGAGTTTAGGAAACCAAAAGAATGGACGTGAGTAGGTAGACACCAGTAGTTGTCCAGATTCGAAGGCGGCGTCGCGGATTTCTTCTTATTATTGCCGCCAGCCCCAGATTTCGACCATACGCCGGCCCTCCCAAAGGCGCGGCCAACGTAGTCCGTCTCCCATTTAAGGACCTGGGCGTAGATGCAATCGGAGTAGCCACGGGAAGTACACGGCCCACAGTGAGGTTTGGCCTCGTCGCACCGGATTTTGTGTAAACGACAGCGGTGACAGCCACGGTGGCTCCGTCTAGATACTTGCTTGGAGGGATCTTGTCTGCGCGGCATTTTCTTTTCTGTCAGAGACTGTGGGCGAGTTGTGAGGATGTTTCAACAGGTCGAATATGGGCTGGCAAATAACACAGCAAGGGGCCAGTGCTAATGGTATTGAATAGAGAGGATTCCGGGGGACGGATGGGGAGGCCGGGGATGTGAGGGGGCCCAATTCTCGAGTGATGGAGCAATTCGTCGGCTGACTAAACCTCTTTCTTGGAGCCTGACTCCGACTTTCTCATCATCGCCAACATTTGGGTCTACTAGATAGAGTTCACCAGGATAGCTAGTTCGCTAATCGAAGGTTTGGACTGGGGGGGAAACACCCCGATCTTCAAGTATTGGACGCTCATTCTGGAAACTGCCAATCTTGAGGTGACTTGATGTTTGACTACTCACCTCAGACAAAGGCCAAAAGATTAAAGTTGAGCTGGTGCCCTACCTTGTTTTCATAGTAACGCAACTCAATGCGGAGTGGCACTAGACTGCTACTATCTGACTCGTTGTAAGAGATACGCGTACTCGGATTATGAGAGTTGGGGCTTGGTGTTGGAGATCAGAGTAGTTGAAAGGGCGTCGATGATGTATGAGAGTTACCATAAGCAGATTAGAGTGCACATCAAACGTCAGGTATATCTGATGTGTTAGGTGTCTGTGTCTGAAGAATTGGGAGACCAACTTCTCTTCTCTCCGCAGTTGTGTCCTTGGCAGCGTCGTCCGATATGAATCCGTCTGAGGGGTAATGCCAGCTCATGGTGGCAGCAGTGAGTTTAGAGCAATCCGCGACAAAGCTTCTCAAAGCGGGATGACATCGGACAGCTGAAAATAGGACGGCCTAGGCCGTATATAAAAGCTGCCGTAACCCTCTGATGTCGAATCGCAGGAACCTTCTTCATGTAAGGCGAGTCAGGGACCTCTGTAGGTCTTCAAGGAGGGGTTGTGACAAGCTCTCGAGGGGCCATCGTGGGGTCGGCCGTGACTCACAACTCCACTCACCCTACAGAAACGGGAATTGCTTTAGAGCCCATATCGACAACAGCTGGTCGGTTAGCTCAGTTGGTTAGAGCGTGGTACTAATATTTCACCTGAAATGTTGTGTGATGCCAAGGCCGGGAGTTCAAGCCTCCCACTGATCATATCTTTTGCAATTTTGATGTAGAGTTGTAGCAGTCTCTCGGATAGTTGCGAAACAGCTTTATTTTTCCTAGTTTGGTTCAAATCTCAAGCGTTGACGAGGATTTGGCTGGCTTGGGCGCTTGTTTCTGAAAACATGCATATGATGCATATGTGTGTGGATTTATTGATGCTCCTTCTGATATGCCTAAAACGGAGTGCGATAACGATAAGCGTCATGCAGCATGTCACCCCAGCTTCAATTAGAAGTCAGGATCTCTCAAGCTCCTCCAAGCTGCAAGAATGCCGAACCTCAATTGACACCTCAACATCTCCCTCCAGCTCGCCCAATCTACCACGACATATCAACACCACCTCCCCCAAAAACAATGCCGCCAAGATGACAGCCCCGCGCCCCTGGACACCGCCCCTCCTCCTCCGCATCCGCTTCACAACCTCCCTCCCCGACCTCGACCTCGACATTCCCTCCCCCTCGCAAACAACAGTCGCCGCCCTCAAGCACCTCATCCGCGGTCGCCTCGCTCAGCCCGACTCCCAGCGCCGCCTCCGCTTCATCCACCAAGGGAAAATTCTCCCCGACGCATCGGCCCTCAGCTCCGTCCTGCGACCGCTGCCCCCTCCTCCATCCTCAAACCCGACCTCGACGCCGTCAACACCCGGCGCAAGCAGCGGCTTCGATGATCCCAAAGGAAAAGGGAAAGCGAAAGCCCACGAGACGGCACCGCCGCAGAGGGTCTATGTGAACTGCAGTATCGGCGATAGTCTCACCGACGAAGAACTAGCCGCTGAAGCCGAAGCGGCTCTACGCGCGCCAACGGAGCGGGGTGCGACGACGCCTTCCGGGCCAGGAGACGGACAACAATGTCACGATGGTGGATCATACGGCCCCAATGCCCACCAACAGCAACAGCGCCCGACCCCGAGGGGGTTCGACAGGCTCCTCAACGCAGGTTTCACAGCAGCCGAAGTGAATCAACTGCGCCTCCAGTTCCGTGACATCCGCGCGACGCAGTACACCCCCGATACAATGCCCAGCCCCGACACAATGCGCTCGCTCGAGGACACCTGGATAGATACCAATGCCGGCGGCGCGTTACCTGGCAACGGGGCGGGCGCGGGAGGGGACGGAGCAGATGGAGGTGGGGGTGGCGGCGGCGATGATGCGTTTGGGGTCATGAGCGGTATACTCGACGTGCTCATCGAGGGTCTGATTGTAGGCTTCTTTTGGCCGCTGGGGTGCCTAGGGTGGCTTTCGAGGGAGGAGAATATGCTCTCTGGCCGGTGGCATGATTTCATTGGGTTCGGGGTGACTTTGAGCATCATTATTGGCGTCATTAGGGCCTTTTCGGGCGATCGATAGGGCGAGGCTATTGTAGGTTTTCAAGTACTTGTGGACTTGTTTTGGAGAGGGGCTATGTTTCCGGGCGGCTGGTATGACTACATCACGTTAGGTGTGGCATGGTGCTGCATCACCTCTTGTCGGCACGATGGCCTCCTTGGGCGTTTAGTAGGAGAGCTGCGTTTCTTTCTACTATGGGGTTTTGGCGTTAGGACAGCGTGGATGGTTATTGATTATACCTAAGGTAGGTAACCGTTGGTTTCTTTCTCGTAATTATACCAAGTATCAGGCAAGGATGGCTGGGACAGCGTAGCATGGGTCACATAGATAGAGACAGCGAACAAAAAGGGGCCATTATCTGCTTCATTGGTGGCCATGGAGAAAGCGACTTCTTGAGGGCCGAAAACTCAGAATCCGCACACACAAAGATTCTACATGCATGGTATAAAACCTCGAATAACCATCAAACGCCATGATGTCCCCTGGGGCTACCTAATAAAAGCAAAAAAGTACAACGGGCTAGAAAATGGGGGAGCATGAGGGCTATCCGGTGACTGCTAGCAAGAAAACATGGTTGCCAGCATCTAGAGACAAACCTTGTTAGAGTTTTACAGGTACAAACTCTGGGCCGCGACGATGTCACGGCGGATCTTGGCGAGACTGTCCTCGAACTTTTGGGTGAGCTCGTCGCTGCCCATGACCTTGGCGCCCTGGCCCATCTGGCGCAGGAGCTCTTCCAGACGGCGGAAGAGGCGGATAAGTGAGCCCTCGTAGGCATTGGTCATTTTGCTGTAACGTGTCAATCAACATTACACGATGAATAAGTGGGAGGTAACGTACCAGATGTCTGCAAACGGCTTGCCTTGTGCCCATGAGTAGACAGTCTCCATCAACTGCCACTTGAAGCCAGCCAAGTACTCCTCCTCATTGAGCTCAAGCTTGCTCTCCCGGCTGACCTTGGCGACTTGCTTCGCCTTAGCCTGAACCTCACGGTAGGGTTTGGCCAGCTCCTCACGCAGCGCTGCTGTCTCAAGCTTCTCGTCGAGGACGAAACAGCTAAGCGTCGCGGCAATGAGCTCGGGCGAGAGCTCGTTGAAAAAGCGATCAAACAGAAGCTCGGCAAGAACAAGTTCGTGACCCTCAGTGGATGAAATCTCGCAGGCGACACGGGCCTTGAGCTCGACAACCTCGGACTCGTTGAGGAATCCAAGACGGCGCAGGACACGCTTGCGCGCCTTGAGCTCGTCCATTTGAGCAATACTATGGAGTTTCGCAATCTCCTTCTTCTTGGACTTGATCTGCTCGCCGAGTTTCTCCTTGGAGCGATACTGAAGGTAGAGCTCGGGCAGCAGTGGTGATCCGTGAAGGGGGTTGGTAAGGAGACGCGCCTCCAGCATCTCAATCTTCCTCATCAGGGCCTTGAAAGACTCGTCGGTTATGCCCATGTTCTCAACAGGGTCCAGAATAGGCAGTCCGTCGGGGAAGCGTCTGTGAACCTCCCGGAGAGAGTTGCCAACCTCGTTGAGCGCGGACTGCGACTTGCAGTCCTTGGGCATGAAGACTCTGATCTGACTGATTGACTTGACGCAAGTCAGCAGACAAGGGATAATCTCGAAGCGAGCTCCGTTGTCCGGATGTTCAGGGTTCGGGTAGGGAACCAGGCCCGATGGCAGATCCGAGGTCAAATACCTGGAGCCTTCGGCAACAGGTGCGCTCTTCTGGTCTACAACCATCATGACGTCGATGAGGCAGGACTCCTGAGGAGGGTACTCGGGCTCGCCTTGCTTGCGGTTGCGGTCGCGGCGGATCAGGTTCGCCACGACACCCCAGCCGAAGTCGGTGCCGCCAATGGTGTTGTTGGTCTTCTTGGGGTCGTGGATACGGACCAGACGGCCGGGCTGCATGAAGTCGGTGCAGTGCTCAGGGTGCTGAATGACGGCGCGCATGTCGCTAGTGTACTGCTCCAGCTGATTGCGCAGGTTGTAGTAGTCCTTGACCGTAGCCTCATCAGCGATGGACATGCTATCCCTCTCTTGCTGGAGGGCGACCAAATCACGTTCCAAAGTCGGGACACTAGCACCTGTCTGGAACTGGTGGAAGCAACGCTCAAGCATGAACTCGGGGGAAATAGCCTCGATTCTCAAGAGGTTGAGAATCATGTTGTAGCCGAGGTAGAAGGCGGAGTTAAGACGGTCCTGCTCGCCCACGACCATGCCGCGGGCAGTGTCAGGCTCCATCTTGTCGTCAATCATCATGATGACAATACCACGCGTATCCAGACCTCTACGACCAGCACGACCAGACATCTGAATGTACTCGGACGGGGTAAGAGGTCTCCGTTGCACTCCATCCCACTTGTTAGTTTGGGTGAAGACGACAGTCTTGGCAGGCATGTTGAGACCAATGGAGAAGGTTTCGGTTGCGACAAGCACCTTGATGAGAGACTCTTGGAAGAGAATCTCAATGGTCTCCTTCAGGATAGGGAGAAGACCAGAGTGATGCACACCGATACCCTTTTGCAACAGGGGGAGCAGGTTCTGGATCTGGGGAAGCTCGCGGTCGGCCTCAGATAAGCTCTGAATGGCGTTGTTGAACACGGTCTTGACCATGGCCTGCTCGGAGTCGTTGTTGAACTGGAAGTGAGAGATCTGCAGAGCCAAGTTCTCAACCTCCTTTTTGCTGAAGTTGAAGACAATGACGGGATGGAAGCTCTTCTGCATGATCATGCGAATGATCTTGGAGATATCAGACTTCATGTCGGACGCCGCTCCACCCTTTTGCGTCTGCTTCTTGGCACCCTTGCCCTTCCAGCTCGCATTGGCGTTATTGGGATCCTGGCCCTTGCCCGCCTCAATGAGGGCCATGGTCTTCTGGAAGTTGCCTTCTCTGAACACGCCCTTCTCGTCGACAACCAGGAAGATACCGCTACCGCCGGCAGGGAAGAAGTAGTTCTGAAGAGGTGTCGGACGGAAATCGGTGTAGACGACGTGACACGCCTGGTGGTGGATCTTGGCAATCCACTCCGCAAACTGGAAGGCGTTGGGAATGGTGGCAGAGAGGAAGACGTAGCGGACCTTATCAGGAAGAAGAATGATGGTCTCTTCCCAAACGACACCTCTGGTCTTGTCTCTCATGTAGTGAATTTCGTCAAAGACGACCCAGGCAACCTCGCGCATGATCTCGGAACCGCGGTACAACATGGAGCGCAAAATCTCGGTTGTCATGACCAAACAACTGGCGGTGGGATTGATCGTGACATCACCAGTCATCAGACCGACGTCGCCGAACAGTGCTTCGAAGTCTCGGTATTTCTGGTTGCTGAGGGCTTTGATGGGACTCGTATAAATGACTCTCTGGTTACGCTTCAGACATTGCGCAATCGCGTATTCGGCGACGACAGTCTTTCCGGCAGAGGTATGGGCAGAGACCAACACACTCTCCTCCCTCTCGATCGAAGCGACAGACAACGCCTGAAACGGATCCAACTTAAAGCTGTACTGGCGTGCGGGCTCCGCGGGCGGCTTGTGCTCGGAGAGGGGAATGTATTCGTAGTCCAGATCAGGCGGCAGGGCGACTTGATGCTGGATGTTGTGGGACAGGACAAGCGATTCGTCCTGGGCTTGGGTGAAGACCGCAGCGCTAGCAACTTCTCGAGACTGAGCAGTCTGGAAGGTGTCGGTCAAGACAGGCTGGGCCTCGTCTTCCTTCTTCCTCCGCTTGTCCTTATGGGGCTCCTGCTGTTCGTCAGATGAAGCGGCAGCGTCCTCGGCTTCCTCAGCATCCTGACCATCCTTGGAGGTGTCATCGGCATCGGGCATGTCGTCGTCCTCTGGCTTGTCGGCGACGCCGTTCTTGATTCCGCCATCGGCCTTGCGCTTCTTGCTCTTCTTGTCCTTCTTGCGCGACTTCTGAGGCGCCTCGGCGACCTCAGTCTCAGGCTCAGGCTCGCTGTGCGACTCGTTTTGCGCGTCAGGTTGAGCGTCGAAAACATCGAAAAGCTCGTCCATGCTGGGCGGTTGCTTGTTGCCAAGCGAGAATAGCACAGTTGGGGTCGGCGCCTAGTTGGTCTTATGTATGGCGTCAGGGACGCAAGGTTTGTTGGTCGTCCAATGGCAAGCAAACAAAGCCAAAACTTTGCAAGTTGTCGAAATACAAGGACGCGAGACGCTGGAAGTGCAGCGATGCGTCTGTCGGTATTTTGGGGGTGTTGACAAGAGGCAACTCCTCAATTTTGTCTAGTCCCGGTAATGTGCGTTCGGTCGCATTTCGCAGGTGCTCGGGCGAAAAAGTTGGCGGGTCGGCCAAGGCAAGCAATGGGAAGAGGCAGAAAGAAAATTCTAAAATACTTGCATGACGGGGTTGAAGTTCAATCCAGATAGGGAAGGCGGTGACCGGCCATCGCAGCTTCGAAATCCCAGTCCCGGGACTGGACCGTTTGCCGCCTACCTGTGGCTTGGGTGCAGTCACGTGTGATTACATAACCGGGAAACAGGAACTTGGAGATCTTTGGAGCTAAGCCGGCTGCACTCTCTCAGACCACTCTTTTGGATGACTTCAACACCACAACCGCATCTCTCTATACCCCCATTGCGCCTCGCGATCGCCTCATAAAACACCGCCAAAGTAACTACAACCTCCCGAATGCCACCCAAAGTCCAATTGACGCTAACCCGACCCCCGTAGATGTTCGCCCGTGCCGCCGCTCGCGCGGTCCCCAAGACCCCTTCCATGGTCGCCCGCCGCGGCTTCCAGACCACCCGCTCCCAGATGTCTTCGCCCTACCACTACCCCGAGGGCCCCTACACCAACATCCCCTTCAACCCCAAGAGCAAGTTCTTCGGTGTTGGCTTCTGGACCTACTCCTTTGTCGGCTTCTTCGCCCCCTTCGGCATTGCTGGTGCGTGCTTTTTACCGTGCCTCCGAATTCCGCCGATATCGAATACTGACGAGATTCACAGCTTGGCAAACCTACAAGCCCAAGGCTTAAGGGCTCACTTTGCACAATTTTTTTTGAGTCGATCGCCACTGTAGAGCTTGGATGGGGTTGAGGGAGGGCGACTGTGTACACAAGCAGAAATAGAGACTTTTCGTCCTCAGTGGATCAGCAGGGAAACTGAAAACACACTCTGTCCGTCGCGTCGTTCTACGTGATAAATATGAATAGCGGACCTTGGAGCCAGATCAGACTCCAGAGTATATCTGCGCTTGAATGTGCGACAGAGGTCAATCGGGATGGAAAGTGCAGTCCACTCCCCAATTGGCAGACAATTACCTCGTGTAAGCATTAAAACGTCTAAACCACTCAAGGGCCAAAAAAGAGCTCACCTCGGTAGGCTACATCTCTTGGTGCACTTGCTGGGAATCGAACTCGAACTCGTAGCCTGTCGTCGAGTAGGCTGTGGGCGTAATTGATTGTTGACCTTAGACCATTCCACTACCCAGCCAGTTTGTCCTGACTCCCCGACCTAGAGGAGCGCCTGCTGTTGCTGGTGACAGGAATGGGACTGAGGAGGGTTATATAGCCTTCTTTCGTATATTCACATCATTGAAAAGTTATCGGATGAAAGCCTGGTGGGTACGGCCGGCAAGGAGGGAAGGAGGGCTAACCAAGGTGTCAATCATGAGCAACAGCTAGAGTATGTAACAGGCTTTCAACGGAGAGGTATGGACAGGGAATCGAAATTACTGGTATCTTTATCTATAGTATAGGTTGTTTTACATAGGCCGTTTCCTGACTGCCTTGTGTTTCTTCTGCTGTCCCGGCCCATGCCGAGAGATGAATGACTCCTTCCCGTCCATGAGTCTGGCGAGATAATGATCCATAAAGTCCGCCCTGTCCGGCGCCAATTGCCATCTCTTTTTGAATTCTTCGTACACCTCCAAGACCTTTTCGTTATTTGTACATTTCATGAAGGCCCGAAGAGCCCAGATCATGAGCCAGGTATCAAGTCTTAGACCCTGGACTTTGTTGTCAATCGCCTCAAACAGCGCAGTCAAGACATTCTCAAGCCGTTCACCTGTCCAGGGAGAGAATGGAGATGCGCCGTACTTGCTAAACCCTTCAAATATGGCAAGGAAGATGCTGCCGTGAACCAGCACCTCGAACTGTGGCATCTCGTCTAGAAACTGAGCAGTCTTACTCAAGTTTCCCTTTGTAATGGCGAAATGCTTAATCAGGATGCGGTACGTTCGCATATCCGGAGTCTCATGTGCGAGCTCTTGCAGCTGTTGTCGAAGCTCTGGTATCTTTTTGCTGACGCTTGCAAACATGGAGTGAATATGGGTAACGGCCTTCTCCATTGAATGGTCCATCAGGGGTATCTTGGCAGCCGCCGAGTAGCTGTCCTTCATGTAACCGTACACCTTCAGCGCCGCATCCTCGTCCCCACATCTCAGGAAGCTAGAGATGACGCAGTTGAGCACCACGGTGTCGACCATCTCCCCGGCCTCCACCAATTCCTTATATGCAGCCCGGACACCGTCGGGATCTTCGCGGAGCCCAAAGAAATGAATCAGGCTTACGTGGTGAAAGCGGTTGAAGCTATATCCGCGCTTCTTCATCTCCTCGTAGAGCATCTCGGCCAGTGCGAAGTTTCCCGCCTTGGACGCCGCGTCGAAAAGGATGTTGAAAGTGACAGCGTTCCCCTTTACTCCAGACAGCTTTTCCATCTCCTTCCACAGTTGTAGAGCAGCCTCGGCTTCGGTATCCGTGACTCTTCCAACATATCTGCTTGCCAGGGCCAAGGCATGGTTCCATTCGCTTTGTCGCAGTGCAATCCCGCAATCCTTCGCGTCACCGATGAGGGAGAAGTACCGAAGCATCGTCTGCGTCTCCTTCTTGAGTGGTGTGCCAAAGATCTTGAGCAAGCGATGGCGCAGCTTTGCCGGCATATATATCATCCGAGGTTCCGGAAGCGCCGCGTATAGACTGTGTATGGAGTCGAGATCAACCCTCGCGGGATATCTCATCTTGGTGCTTACAGCAGTGCCAAGCTTGGTGACCAGCTGCCCTATATCTTCGTCGCCGCGCAGTGCTTCGTGATAGGACGGGTACTGCTGGTCCTCTTTCCTCTCGGATATCGTGAGCTGAGTAGGCTCCGGTTGTGCGTATCTGTTCAAGTAGGGATCCCGGGCGAGTTCCAAGTGTTCGTCCACTGTTCCAACATCCTCATGCTCCACGAAGCCAAGCAAGACGTCCTTGTCTTTCCGCAAAACGACATGATGATGTGACCGACTAGCTGAGGTGACGGCGGAGGCAGCAACCTGGCTATAAGATTGAGTTCGTCCGCGGGGGGCCGAGTTCGAGCTTATCGGAGCACGAGGGCGGACAGAAGAGGGCGCCGGCAGGAAGGTCGACAGCAGCCAGGAGGCTGTCCGAGGACATTGTGTAGCCGGTGGGCGAGAACATCGCGTGCGGTCCCTGTGGTGCTGGGACGCCGGCGCCCTCGAAGGTCTCTCGGTTCGGAGCTCTGGCCGGGAAGAAACTGCAGCTCGAGCTGCGCAGGGTCGAGTCGAGAGAATGGCACCGCATACGGACCCGTCTATCCGGCTAAGTACTTTCATGGGTTGTCGAGCATTGCGGCCAGGGCATCACCGTTCCATCGAAGAGCACGCGCTCGCTGGCGAGTAAGGGAATGGGAATTGGCGTTTTGGGATCGTTTGGTGAGCTGCCAGCTGCGTTACTAAAAGCTCCGGGATGATTGGGATGGGAATATTATTTCGCTGGTGAAATGCATGGGTAGAGTGGGGCCGACCGCGAAAGTCGGTCCCGGCGTTAGGATTGGCCGACGGTCCAAATTTCTGAGTTGCAGTTTGCGACCGACGAAGCTCATCACCTGCAAAGGCACCCCAGACAGGATCGATCAGTCGTGCCACCTCCGCCTCGATCTCAACCGTGAGTCTCAATTCTCCAGAGTCTGCAACTGACCAGAATTCTGACAAGCTCGATAGGTCAAGATGGGTCGCCAGATCAGGCCTGCGCGGATCTACCAGACCGTGAGCCAGGAGCTCAACTCCAAAATCCTCCCCCAGTATCCCGTCTATGAACCACCATGGTTCCAGGTCATGAGGGATATCCCCCCTTCCGAAATTATTACGAGGCCGACGATCGTCAATACCCAAAACTCCAACCGCAAGCTTCGCAAGCCTCATGGCATTTACAAACCTCAACAGATCGTACATGAGGAGGACTCCCTACGGAAGACGTTCTTCAGAGACCACCCTTGGGAATTGGCCCGTCCGAGAATGATTTTGGAGACAGATGGAAAGGACTACCAGAAATACGACTGGTCCAAGGGCGTCCGCCAATACAGAACGCCTTTGACTGGTGAATGGTGAGCTCACCCCGAACGTCCAGCTTCCCCTTCCCCTTGGAGCTACGGCTGACATCCAGACAGCGTCGTCCAGCGACAGCTTTGGCTCATGCAAAACAAAAAGCACCCGAGAGCACAGGCATACGACATTGCGAGAAAGGAGTTCTACGCGGCGCGCCAGGAGGAGGAGATTGAGAAGCGCGTCGCCAGGGAGGAGGCGAGACACGTCGGAGCGTACTTTGGCAAGAACAGATTGCAGATCGCACAGGATCTGGAAGACAGAGAATTTGAGGTCTGGAAGGGCTGGGCGGGCGCCAGGGCTGTCGCAATCGAGCAGGCGCGCACTGCCAGCTACGCCAACTTTGGTGAAGAAGCGACGGAGGAGACTGCTGCCGAGGCGGAGGCGGCAGAAACGGCGGAGGCAGCGAAGGCGGTTTGAGCAGAGAGGCCTCGCGCCTTGTAAGTATATGTACTACAAAAGTCTGTATAATACCAAATATTCCAGCTTGCCACGATTGCGAAGTGTTTTGATGCGCTCATTTCTCTGCTTGGGAAGATTGATGAGGATGTCGTGGCCGTTCTGGAGTGCTCTTCTCGCTTCAAGATCAGCGCCTACAAGGCAGTTGAATCATACGAGAATGCATTGAATGTTGGTCTTGTATTGGTGAAGAGAGCTATCGACTCGTTGCTACATAGCCTCTCTCCCATGCAAAGCATCCACTAACCTCCCTTCTTAATAGGGTCAGGAAATGATTGAGAAATGACAGATTGTCATGTCTTTCTCACAACCATACAGCCTGCATTGGTAATACCGTAGGTCTTGGCTACTTTCTCATGCTGAACCAACAACATGTCGGCAATACCAGTGTAGTGGAACAACTTGCCTGTCAGACTCAGGGTCTGGATTCTGGCCCACGACTCAACATAGAGAACTTGCATGGAGTCCTCTGGAACAACGTAGAGCATCTTGAGGAGATACGCCACCAGACCAACAATGAAGCCAGTGGCAGGGCCATTGGTGAGAATGATGTCGGGAAACTGCTGGCGACTTCTCGGGCCTTTGAAAGGCGAGGACAGCAGCAAGGGGAAGATCTGAGCCACTGACATCAGGGTTGTGAAGGGGGTTGTAAGTAGACTCTGATGGATTTTTCTGGCTCTCGCGACAATGTGTTTGTCAAAGGTTCCCACCTGCCCTCCGCCATGGGTAGTCCTGAGCTCGTCTTCAAAGGCGTCCAGGTGTGTGAATGACATTGAGTCACCGCTAGAGATGAGATAGCGGCGGTGCATGTCGGGGATGTTGGGAAAGCTGATTTCCATCATGGCCAGCATTTCCTTGGTGTGGCCACCTGAGCCCAAGACAATGAGGAAGTAAGCTCCCTTCAACAAGCCGGGACCGGTGGACTTCTTCGCAGCAATGTCAGACAAAAGAATTGGTCGTTTCATACGGGACTGCTGGATTTGAAGGTGACGGGCCTGGCTAATATCAGTATTGACTAGTTTCTTCAAAGTAAAGACATGAGGCTCAACTACCGTGAGAAAGACAACGATGGAGATGACTCCCAGCACCAGGGTTAAGAGTAGGGCCTTCCATGAGGACTTGAGGATGAGGCCTAGGCCGAGAACACAGAAAGCAGAGGCAATGCCGATCAAAGTAGATGCAGCCGCCATGTTGTCGTCCTGTAGTGATGTATTCTCTCTTAGACAGATGCCATTTCTCAATGGTACGTTGTATTGTTGCGGTTAACGAATGGAATCTGTTTAAATCGTTATTATCAGCAATGTGTTCTAAAAAACGGGGGAAATGCTACTCACAGTTTGGCGTCTCGTGAGTCAATGTTCAAAACATTGATCTTCGATAACCGATCGTTGACGATAGAGTCAGTGCTGTTTCTATCAAAGAACGAATCTCACTTTGTCAAATTAGTAAAGTCCTCACTTCATAAAATGAGGTGGACGGCTTCCAAGAAGATGCAAGTGAACTGCTGGCCGTGACTTCTCAAGTTGTCACTAAAGACTTGTGGGGACCCGGCGTGATTCAATTGGAGCAGCGCTGCCCTGAGCTTTCCGCCTTGTGCGGCGTGCCTTTGGCCAGTGTGCTACCCGTACCGGTAGTGCATCCCACTAGGAGGTTCCTGACAGAAAAAGCGGATGACCTCATATTCCTGCTGGGACTTGAAGACCCCTGGAACTTCCCCTGCTTTCTTCCAGGAACACATGCAGACCGCCCGGCAGAATCTCGAAAGTTCCGGGCTACAACAATATCAACAGAAGACATACCGTCAACCTGCATAAATGCTTTGTATGGCCTGAGGAGCCTCGAGCCTCGAACTTCAAAGCGCCATGGTAAACTTGAGAAGCGGCAGGCTACTCACCTGCTTTTATTGTGGAAAACGTTCATCAACGCGGTACGATGGGCTGATTCGAGAATTCCTCTGCCTAAAATGCGACGCGACAAACTACTTGGACGATGTTAGTAAACTAACCCACGGCGCATCGCGAGTCGCGATTCCATCTAACAGTGTACCAGCGCGGAGACATCACCGATCCTCCAGTAGCCAAGACCACGTCGGCGCCTGCTACAACGACGTATGCGATACCGCGATCTCAATCCCCCGACTTCACCACACCGTCACAGAGTATCTTCTGCCCGACATGTCTCAAGAACCAGCACCTGTTCACCAGCTCCCTGGCACAATATCTGCCCGAAGACCCAGACCACCCCGACTATGTTGAGCTCGAGAGGAACATGTACAAGTTTCGTCGACGTCTCGAACAGCGATACCCCCAGATATGCGCCCAGTGTGAGCCCAAAGTTCAAGCTCAGTTAGGTCAAGCCGGCTACACGGCGCGGACCGACCACCTACGACGCATGATGGATAGGAGCAGAAAAGTCAGGGTGGCTCCGAAGCAATTGACGCCGCTAGACATCGCGGCCAAGGTGGGCAAATGGCTCTGGTTTAGTGGGATCTCATGTCAATACCTGTGGCATGTCGCATCCTTGGCTGCTGTCTTTGCGACGCAGTTTGACGAAGGACCAATGCGAGACCCGGACGCAGATGCCGAAACGACAATGGTCCAAAGGGTTTCACTTGCTCTTACACTGCTCCTCCCTCGGCCTGACAGGCTGATACACTGGAGTTTATGGGCAAATGCTGTGAGCATTTGGTGGAACCCCAAGTTCGTTCAGGTTTTTCGTGGCTTCTCTCGCCACATACTGGGCCTGTCACACTGGTATACCTTTCAGGGGCTCATCATCTTTACAAGATTTCTGGCCATGAGAATGACCGAGATGAAAGGCGGACGATCAGCTGAAGAGAGCGCTCAGATGAGCCTCCACGGACTTATGGCTGTGTTGATGCTGGCTGTGAGTACTGTTGATCACGATCTCCTCAAGCCGATGCTGACTCGATGCTGCAGATCTACATTCTCGCCCAACGATCTGTACGTGTCGACATGACACCACTATTCCAGAACACCGGAACACCCGCTGCATCACCACCAAGACCGCAAACGGCGCAAGCTCGAGAGGACGACAACAAGAACATGGCGAATCTTCTGGACGACATTCTGGCCGAGTCCAGCCCGAGACCCGGTATTCCTCCAAGTCCAACGAGCATTGGCTCAGCATCACCAGCACTCTTTCAGCGGGAACTGCAGCACAGATCGAATAACCGAAACATTGATCTCAACACTCCGCAAAAGCTGCCCCAGCCCCAGTATTCAGAAGAAATGGACTGGTCCCCGACACAGTCCAAACACCGGGCCTTTAACGACTTTGGACCTCCAAAGGCGCCGAACCAGGTATTCGGGCAACCTGATCCAGGTCCCAACTCGAGCCCGTTCTGGTTCAAGGTTCCTCCCGCGCCGATTACACCGGCGCAGAAGCTTCGCAACGGCCCCAAGGTGTTGACGAAACCGGTGGAGAAGAAATCCATCTTCTCAACCGCCAGGACGGATGCGTCCAAGTCGCAGGGCGGAGACGCGAACGGCGACACGGGCAAGGTGGCATTCGCGCAACCCACGTTCTTCGCGCCCTCGGCATCGAACCCCAGCGATCCACGCAGCTCCTTGGCCGATCTGCTCAATTCGAGCTTTACGCTCAGCCTAGACGATGATGAAGAGGGAGAGTCGGCGATGGCGACGGCAACGAAGACGGAAACAGGAAATAAGCACGCCGAGCTTGCCAACCCCGGACCTTCGGCACGAACGGTTGGTCTGCGTAACAACCGCTTACTGGACGTTTTCACCTTGGCGATCCTGCTCGGCGCGTGGCTCCACGCGACATCTGCGTCATACCCGTACAGCCGGGACGTAACGTTTGGCGCCATGCTCCTGAGCATGGCCATTGCCATTCACCTCACCAGCGACGCAATCAGGGACATGCGCAATGAGAACACGCCCAGCTTGGCGTCCATTATCAACACGTCACTGGGGATCGGAGAGCTGGCGGTGGCATGTCACTTTGCGCTCCAGATCTGGAGTGATCGGACGCCGACGTCCGGATTACACGGCGCGTCGGTTATTGGCGTGATACTCGCACATGAGATGTGGAACGCTGCTTGCTAAGGTAGAGAAGGGGGTAATTATCCCGTAGATCCCGTTGGGGAGTTGTGGAGAAGGAGAGAATAAGAGACAACAAAAACACATGAGATGAGTAACACGAAGCATTGATTGGCATGGTACAGCGGCGTTTGTCGGAATTTGGGTACAAGGCTGCATAGGGCGTACACAGGAGAAACCATTGCCCGGGCGACGACTAGGTTATACAGAGACAAGAAAGAGGTTTCTGGACTTGGAGTTTGCGCCCTTTTGGTTTTCGGGTTACGGTGGTGTGAGCTTTGTTGTTGAATAGTTAGACAATGGTATATCGACGATGTCGAACGGTGTTACGCCCCAGTCGTCCCAGTCGTCCAACAAGTGCTGGTGGGACCGGGGCGGGAGGGCTTAGAGAAATGGGAATCACCGATCATGCACACTACCGCCGTTCCACGCAATTTTCCTCTCTCTTTTTCCCGGCCCGCCTCGCTCTCGGTCTCTGGCCATCGTTTCCCTGAGGAAATCAAACTTGTTAGCCTCGATGCGAGTGGTGTGTAGGTGGTGTGGTTCAGCTGTGTGTTTGGCACCCGCTAGCTTGCGGATTAGTGGTGCGACGGGCTCTGTTGCTTTCGGTCGAGCCGGGGCACCGTTAGGAAAGTCGTAGGTCCCAGTCGCGGCTGACTGAGCCGGACGAAATTTGATCAACCGGCTGTCCGCTGCGCTGCATGGCTGGCCTGCCATGGAATCCTCCGAGGTAGACCGACGCTACGGGCCCGGTGCACGCTAGAAGTTTAGAGAGTTGTTGCTACGAATCTACGATGCTGTTCTGAGCTAGATCGTGGTGCTTGATGGAGAGGGCTAAGTAGTCTAGCACACGCCAGAGGCAACGCCATGGCGTCGTTCATCGCATGGCAGCGTGGGCTGGGCTTTACCTGCGTGCCGTCCATGTTGTGATTGCATAACCCTACTTTGTACTCGTGGATCGTGGGGTTTCCCTCGTAGAATCTAACAAGACTTGTTCGTAGAGAAAGGTTCCACTATCGGTAGTTTACGGTCGGTCGTGCGAAACAAGCACGACAAGATGCCCAGGATCTTGTTCGGCATCTCACTTTTTGGGTCTTACGGGACAATGACCCGAAATTGTGACCCCCGGGTCCTCGATCACAAGAACACGTAAAAGTACGGCGTACCTGAGGTTGATGCAAAAGAGCCTTGAAAGATAGTGATGAGAAATCCAGGCGAGTCTCCGCCCGGCGGGACGGATGTAATCCGCCCGTTCGCGAGGTTACCAAACTTAACACCGAGATAGTTACGGGGAGTCATCCTGGTCAGCCTCATTGAGAAAATCTGACAGGCATCTGCCGCTCGGTGCCGAAAAAGGCGAGTGTGGCCGGCCTGCGGAGTACGGGTACCAGGGCCCCAGACAGGTTCTCTGTTCGGTGAGTAATAACAGCTTAGTCTTTCTAAGGTAGGATTCGGGGATTGCTTATTTTTCGCTGTGCTGCGTTGCGATTAACTTGTGCTTGGGATACCGTACTCGCACAGCCCCGTATGCCGGATTCACAGTAAGCATTGTGAACATGTACTTTTTCGTGCGATGCTTGCAGGGCCACTCCAGACATGCCGGTATTTCCGGGTGGCCACCGGGTAATGGGGAATCAGATAATCATCGTGGGCCAAAAGGTAAGGTTGTCCTTGATTTTAGGCTGGGTATGGCGGCAGCCAGCGTCGCAGGTACCGTGATAGAGGCGGCTCAAGGCCCCAAGGCTTCAGGATGTGATGAAGTGTGAGGTAATGCCGTCACTTTGGCAGCCTGGTTGAGACGGAATTGGCTGGTTCGAGGGTAGGCGACTTGGAGTGTTTGCTTTTCGAGAACCCCTTCTCTCTTTTGCGTCATGTCAGCGTGTAAAAAGGTACGCCGAGGTACCTTACATTGCTTTCCTCGCCATAGTTACCAGGAATTCGGTACAGTACAGAACCCATGCGTGGGATTCCGTACGGCTTACGCAGCCTGCCAGCCTCTTCTGAAGCCACGGATGTTTGCACCAATGTAAGTAGCATGCCACGCTCGGTTGAACCTGTGCGGGAGTTGACTGTTTTGGGCTGTGTCCGTACCAAGGGCAAATGACGTACTGGACGGGTTGTCACTGCAAAGCGAGTGACAGAATGCGATATTCTGGAATGGTGATGAAGCAATCAGGGGTCGAGAGCAGAGCCCCATGTCTTCATCAGCCGTCCCCTGTGAGATAATAGGTATGCACCTTTGGTACGCAGTACTATTCAATCCCATCATCCATGTGTTGCGTGGAATTGAAGTGAGGTCAGTTAGATCCGAGGCGGAGGCAGGACTGGAATTGAGCTGTCTTGTTCAAGGAGTCGAGCAGATGTAGCGAAATTTGGCGCCTCTTCCCGGCGGTTGCAGGACGGCTCGAACAGAAAAGAGTCACGCTGTCAGTCACGAAGATCAGTCATCCAGCTTCCATACGTCGTCAGCGCTCGATCGACGCAAGAGGAGGCTGTTCGTATGTGGCTGGTTGACGCCGTCTGAAGAACCCCCGCGTCCGTCGTCCGCGTGAGTTCCCCTACTGGCCATGACATGGCACGACAGGACGCAAGAGGAACAGTGGCCTCGAGCCGGGGCGATGCAGACGATGCAGGGCGCCTGTCTCGGAAGGCCAACCACTGCTGGACAACACCCATCCAGCACAAGTCGAGCACACGACGCGCCTGTTGATCGCTGATCGTCCATGGATGGGTGCATATTGAGAGAAAGTTATTTGGAGAATCCCTGCTTGGGTCTTCCCCCTCACTGGTCCAGTTGTTGTAGTCTACAACACACAATTTAATGTAGCTCGACCGGCGGACTGTCAGGAGAGGGGACCAGTAATGTTTCGAGAAGATGTTCCCCCAAGATGCGATTCTAATCGAGACTGGCAAAGTCTGGGGAAAAGTTGATGCTTGGTGTCCTGTTGATCCTGGTATTCGCGTTGCTAGCAAAAACAACCGTACACTCGTAATAGCATGGACGAACGCGCATCGCTTTGTCGGCCGGGTTTGAAGAGAAACCGCCACTCGCGGAAGACGGGAAGAGGAGATCACCGATCATATCAGGTTTTGGGTTGAGATAGAGAGGTCCAACCACGGATGGCGCAGAGTCTTCGTAACTGCCCGGTGTCTGTCGAGTCTGTCTGACGGAGTGGTGCCCTGGTGCTGCCACAAGAGACGTATCGGCCGGTGCTCGCCGCCTTCCCTTTTCCTCCCGTCGTCGTCGGTCGTCCTCGTGCGCCCCGTGGCTGAGAGTGGCCGATCACCTGTGGCTGCTGCGTCAGCGCTCAGATCGTCGGCGGGGTTTTTTCTTGCTACCGCTGTTTTGCTGCTTCACTGGTCTCTGCGCTTTCCTTTCCCTTTCTGTTGGCTGGTCCCTGATCGCTTGGCGGTCTGTCACGGTTGTCACAAGTTTGTTGTCGCTCCCTCGGGGCCTTTGCTGTTGAAAGCAGTCCCGAGACAGCCCACCCAGCCATCGTGGCATACCTTGACAGGCTTGCTATGGGGCTTGAGGATAATGATACTTCGTTGCGCGGCCAGCGGGGTGTCCATCTTGCCAGGTTGATGCGAGTTATGATGATGTTGTGGATTTATGATTGATGTACCAAACTCCGAGGAAGAGATGGTCGTGCATATTAATGGGAGTTGCTGGGACTGCAGTTAAGTGAATCCTCAGGTACGTACTTCGCATTTCGCATCAAGAGGGTGCTAAGAATATCATGCCTGAGGGTTGGACACCTTGGGAAAAAGGTACGTACTGCCTCAAGTATCCGTACTTCTCCTTTCCTTCCATTCACACTTTCCATGGTGCCTGGATACGTACCCAGGCCCCTAAACAACGGTCTCTGCCAGTCTGCCTCTCCTTCCAGCTTGGCTTCCACGGTCTGCGGTGGCCCCAAAGCTTAGAAAGTCAGCTCGGCTCAAACTTCAGTGGCAGAGTGGCTCAGAGTCGCACCTTGTTTGTTTGTGGTTTAGTGGGCGTACCCTTGCTGCGTCCCCCACACTGCGATCCCTTGTATATCTAGCGTTGAGATTGGGGGAGAGATACATGGTCAGCCGAGTCCTCACCCTTCCTGGCCTTTCGCTGGCCTGAGGTCTGCATTGGCCGGGTCCAGCCCACTACGGAGTACGGAGTACACGCTTGTCACCTTGAGCGCATTGCATTTTCCCTTTGATTATTTTTTTTATCCCTCTCTGATGGCTGTCTCCAGCAGAACTCCAGTGAGTCCAGTCTGAAAGTGAATTGTCCCAGCCTAGCACTCTGAAGTACTCATGTATCTTTGTGCCTGTGGGAAGGTACGGCAGGTACGTTCCTTCCCCAAATTTTGTGATGCCACCACCCCACCCCTCCTCCTTTTTTCGTGCCTTCCTCCTGGTCCTCCACTGTACCTCCGCCTTCTAAGTCCGTTCAGGTCTCTCCCGTCCCATTCACTCAGTCCCTCAGTGCCATCACCCTTTTGGTCTTCACCCATCAAAATCAATATTTTTCCCTCTTTTCTGCCACTCTCTGCTTTCTCCCTCCCCTCCCCCCTTCACAGAATTTAAACCAATACTTGGGCCTTGAACCCGAGACAACCCCCAAGGCAGATCTTTCCACTTCACTTCGTCTCGTCTTGGCCAAGCAATTCCACCAAAAGCCAAGCTATTCGTACACCAGCAAGAGAAGAAAAAGGTACGTAGCCAGCAGGCCTACCCCGTCATTCACCTTCGGTTCCATTGCAAGGCAGGGCAGGCAGGCTCAGAGGTATCTCGCCACCAGAGCAAAGGCCTGTGTGTACTTCAGCCTTCTGGCGCTGTCGCGCTTCCTCCTCCTCCTCCTCCGCCGCACCCACGTCCCGCCCACCTCACGCACCGCACCGCGGACCATTCATTCAACCCATCCCACACATTACGATGCTCATTTACTAACCCGCTCCTCCCGCGCGCACCCAGGGACCTTTTCCTCTTTCTACCTTTGCCTCACCTCTACAACCAATACCAATCAACTATCCAAACAAATCCCCGACCACTCTTCATTTCTCTCTCTCGCTTCCACAACTGGGACTCCCAAATTCGTCACCGAGACCTTGCGAGAACGAACCGTCGCCAACGCCTGCGACACCACCAACCAGACCACCCTACCCGCGATTCACGACAAGATGGACCTCAATTTCCAACTTGCCGCCCGTCAGGTTTCTGCCTGTGCTCTGTAGAGACACGCAAAGGGACATCTTTCAACATTGCCTCTTGTCCCACGGGAGGAAAAACACCATTACACGCTTTTCAACACTCCTCAAAAAATAAACTACCAACCGACACCTTGTACCGCTTCGCTCACACGACCTCTTACCCTTTCCTAACCTTCCTTCGAAACCCCGAACTCTACTACCCACGAACCCCAGAAGACATAAGCACTACAACGCCCGTGAACAGTCACGCGACCAAGCTCCACTCCACGATCACTCCACCCACGACTTACACCAATCCCCCAAAACATGGCTGGTGCCGTGGTCTCAAAACGAAGTGCGAGACAGTTCCTCGAAGACGAGGGCGGCCATCCCGCAGAACATCCCACCTACCACCCCGCGAGACGTAACTCGAAGCAAGACGATCCCATTCCTACTGAGATGGCCGACAAGTACCAAATCAAGGGCCCTTCGCGGCAAGGATCACGCGAGTCTGTGGCCGGCTCCGACTCTACAATGGAGATTACCATACAGCAGCAGATCATGATGAAGGCGATGGAAGACGAATCCCAAACGCCTGCTACTACTGGAGAGAAGACGCTGGCCAGGCGCGAAGATGGGCTTCTCAAGGTCAACGACCTGTCGAAGTCCCCCCTGGCCTCGCCCATGTCCCCTGGCATTGAGCGAGTCTTGCCTATTGACGGACGCCCCATCAACTTTGGCGTTGTTGTCCCTGGAGTCTACCGAAGCAGCTACCCCAAGCCCGAGGATTTTGGCTTCATCCGCAATCTTGGCCTCAAGTCAATCGTGTAAGTGATCACCAGTTGTCCATGCTTTGTCAGACGTTGTTCACTGACCATACTTTTAGTACTCTTGTCCAAAAGGACGATGTTGATGAGCCTTACACTGCTTTCATGTCAAGCAACGGTATTCGTCACCACGTCTTCAACATGAAGGGTACTAAGAAGGAGGCCATTCCTATCCGTACGATGAAGTCAATTCTCCGGCTCGTTCTGGATCGACAGCACCATCCTCTGCTCATTCACTGCAACCACGGCAAGGTATGTCTTAACAACTCAGACAATTTTTAGAATGTTCGTTCACTAACACGACTATAGCACCGCACTGGCTGTGTTGTTGGCGTGGTCCGCAAGGTGACTGGCTGGGAGCTCAACACCATCATCGATGAGTACCGGGCATATGCCGAGCCCAAGATCAGAGACTGTGACGTTAAGTACCTCACCGACTTTGATCTCTCAGATCTCTCCAACCTTTTTGTCCACGAAGCGAACATGCGGTTTCGGATCCGGCACTTTATGAGAGTGACGCTCTTCACTGTCTTTGTCGTCTTCGTCTGGTTCATCTCGGGGCATAGAATGCAGACGACAGCCAGACGCGTCAAAGAAGTGAAATAAGTGACCTTGTGAAGGTCGTTTCTGCATGAGGCTTGGCGTTGGGCGGATTCTTGCCGAAGTCTGAACTTGGTGGAGCGCAGCATAGCATGGTACAGCACTTCAGAAGAAAACTGGAGACTGTCACCTAGCAACGATACCCTACACAAAGAACGGAGAAGATCACAGAGCAATGATGAAAGACAGGGGAGAAGGCTGCTACAGCACCGGTGAGAGGATGATCGACGAGATGCGTCGACGTATATGAGAGGGGACAGAAGAATAAGGACACAAAAAGTTTGGTACATTAGGACGACCGCCCTTGAAGATGCAGCATTGACTGCCAGGGCTGGACCGGCTACTTCATTTTTCCTTTGTATGGATAGACAGAATACTGGGGACTCATCAAGAGCTGAGATGTCTCCTTTTGGCGTTTTAGTCGAGACTTGGGAGGTCATCGAGAATGGCATTTCATCAAGCACAGGGTTTCTTTTCTGTTGTATTGTATCACTCACTACCTCAGTGGGGTGGGTTGGACAGTTGACCATTTGGAGTGGTCATGGCCACTCTGCGAATGCAATTGACTCAAGTCATTGTAACTGATTTGTACATTTCTGATAATCGTTTGGATCGTATTCTGCAAAATCCATCCTTCTCGTAAAGTGACCGGCTCTATTGCTATTTCCGTATGCAAGCATTAATTCCCCTGAGAGCTTATCGAGATCATGGCATATGTGTATGTCGATCCATCCCCAGACGCTGCCGTTTCGCGTAACGACGTTTCGTCTCATGACTCGACGCCTCTCATTATCTAACGGACTTGTCCTATAATCGTACAATATTTCTTACAGTCGGTACTATTAACCTCCACCCTGGCTTGGCATCTCGCGCTTGTTTGAACAACTCGAAGCGAGACAAGACCATCGCATGACAGGAGAGTGGCAGCAGTCCACGACAGAGACCAGACGGAAGAACATCATGCCCTCCTCTGAACTTGGTCCCGTCGAGGTCTACTACCCCTCTAGTAACTCTCCCTTCCTCTCTCTTTCTTTTCTTTGCTTCCCTCTCTCATGACTCCCCACCCCAGCGGTTCCTCTCTTTCCTCTCCACCTCGTCCTTCTTCCGGTCGCCACTGGCATACACCCACGCGCCGGCAGCCGCATTAGCAAAGCCCATACCGATGGCGGTGCCGCGGACGAGACCCCGGGCGGAAAACTTGGTCCGCAGGGGCTGGCGACGGCGCAGGGCGAGGAGGGCGTAGAGGCCCGAGAGTGCGCAGGTGAAGCCCGCGCTGTCGGTGGGGAAGCCGGCGAGGTTGACGTAGCTGCTGAAGAGGAGGGCGGGCGCGAAGGAGACCGGGAGGATCTTGAGGGGCCGGCCGTGGAGGGCGCCGATTAGGATTGCGTGGATCGCGGGTGGGAGGGGGTTTGCTGTGGTGTGTCAGTGGGGTGAGGATGTCTTTTGGGAGAATTTGGGTTGAAGGTGAGGGGGAGATGCGTACTGCCATAGTCGTGGAGTTTGCTAAAGAATGAGGACTTTACATCTTCTGCGTCTGGGGTGCCATTGTCGGATGCCATTGTCGCTGGTGTGTTGGGGTCTCCGGCGACGTCTGGCGCAAGACTGGGCTGATTCCGCGGTCGGAGAGAGAGAAAAGGATGGATATCGTCACTGATTTTTTGGAGTCGCTAGCAGGGAGCTTTCCCTCAATGGAAGGGACCATAATAGGTAGCTGATTCCCGTATTAGTGACGTTGGCTATCGATAAGACAGGACCCTGCTCGGATGAGTCAGCTGAGCCGCATACCCAATCAGCCGGTCTGTGGTTCCGGGGCGCCGGGCGAGTCTCTCAATTTCGACCTCCATCGAGTGGACTGGGCCTTTCAAGTTGGTACAGTGTCTTGATCCCCCCATGCTGGTCGGAACCATTGCGACTTTGGTCTATTTGTCTTTCCCTTTCGCACAACCACGGGAATCCCTCCGACAAAGACACAACAAACTCCTACGTCAAGTCCTTTCACGCTCTGTCAGGGCTCGTTGAAGAAAAAGCCTCGAGTCAGCGAGCTGTTTGCTGCTACGGAGTACTGGTGCGGGGGAGCATCGCATCAGTAACGTGGGTTCTAGCCTTGCATCGCCTATCTTGCCAGATTGGCAAAACCCACCAACGCAACATCGCATCCGTCAACGACTGCGCGCACCCACGGCCGCGACGATTCTCGATCCGCCCTGCACACATTTCCTGTGCTCCCATACGTAACATTGTCAATCGCAATCATTTTCCTGATTCCGACCATCCGATAGACGACCACCTCAAACTCGCCCCGGCAACCAAATCACCACACTCAAAAAAACGCCAAAACACAAACACACACACACACAGCAAAACCATGCCGAGCGCAACAGCCTCGGGCGCCGACTCGGGCGGCGGCGCCCGCAACCGCGAGCACAACCAGGGCAACCAGGCCCGCGCCTACACCGTCGACCAGAAAGCCGCCGTACTTCGGATCCGGAAATGCTCGCCGACTGCCTTTTACGACATCCTCGGCCTCGAGGAGGTGAAGACGACGGTGACGGAGAGCGAGATCAAGAAGGCGTACCGCAAGCAGTCGCTCCTGACCCATCCGGACAAGAACGGCCACGAGAACGCCGACGAGGCCTTCAAGATGGTCAGCCGCGCGTTTAGCGTGCTGGGCGACAAGGAGAAGCGCGAAAAGTTTGACCGGTTCGGTACGGATCCCGATTCGAGGTTTGGGCAGGCGCAGGCGCAGAATCCGTTTAGCGGGTTTGGTAGGCGGCAAGGCGGCGGGGGCGGAGGAGGGGGAGGAGGAGGTGGTGGTGGTGGTGGTGGGATGGAGGAGATGACGCCTGAGGAGATGTTCCAGCGCTTCTTTGGTGGTGGTGGGTTTGGTGGTGGCCCTTTTGGAGGCGGAGGTAAGAATGAGCAGTGTCTCGCGAAGACCTATGGAGAGCGTTATGCTAACGACGACTTGCAGGTTTCGATACGGGACCTCAGTTCGTATTCAACTTTGGCGGCGGTCCGGGATTCAGAGTACACCAGTTCGGCGGAGCGCGGCCGCGGAGGAGACCGCGCGAGGCGACGGAGCAAGAGGGCGGCGGGCTCTCGACGCTCATGGGCCTGCTCCCGATCCTGCTGCTCTTTGTCTTCCCGCTCATCTCGAGCCTCTTCAGCGGCGGCGGCCCGGCGGCGCCGAGCATCGTCTACGACAACCCCAAGGGCGCCTACACGCTGGGACGGACGACGCCCAAGCTCAACGTCAAGTACTTTGTCAACCCCAAGGAGGTTGAGTCGTTCACCAAGGGGAAGCTCAGCCAGCTGGACCAGACGGCGGAGAATAACCTGGTCAGGACGCTGCGGTTCGAGTGCGAGAATGAGATGATGGCGAGGCAGCGGATGTACGATGCGGCGAGCGGGTGGTTCTTCCAGGACCCGGATAAGATGCGTAGGGCGGACGAGTTTGAGATGCCTTCGTGTAAGAGGCTGGAGACGTTCCGTGTTGGGAGGTAATAAATGCGTTTTGTGCTTCATCTGGCGATAGCAACTTTTGAGAGGAATAGAGCTGGGGAGAGGGCGAGGCAGAGGCAAGGCTTTGTATGAAATGGAAAGGGAGCTCGGAGAAGCTGAGAGACGCGTCCGGTTCACTTTTTCTGTTTGGCGTTTTCTGGGGAGACCTCTTTGAGATTCATAGCATTGTTGGGAAACTCCGCGTCGGGCATCTTCCTTTCGCCTTTGGCCCATTTTTGTTTTCCTTCTGTCGTCCTTGCGATGCAGATGCAGTATTCTTCTCATATATTCTTTCCCCTCCTCACGCCCTGACACGTCCCACCATCTCCCTCTCCCCTTGAGAATCGACATGTCTTCACGGCTACTATGATCACAGCATCCTTCTCAATTCGCCCCAATTGTCTGCCCCGTACATGCTGAAGTGGAGGCTCTTACTTGAAGTGATCCACAACCCCAAACTTCGCCTAAGTACTGGCCCCTTTGCTGCCCACAAACACGACACGATGTTCGAATCATTCCTAACCCCCACAAAATCGAGGGACTCTCAACCCACAGGAACTCCAGCAAGTTCCTCTCAACTATCCCCGATGGCACAATTGGCTAGCGCGTCAGACTGTTAATCTGGAGGTTGGTGGTTCGAGCCCACCTCGGGGAGATATTCAGTGGTTAGAATCCACATCTTCAGTTGAGGTCTGTTCTTTTGCATATTCTTTCACTTTTTGTCTTTGTCTTGTGGTGAGACTGTCCTGGCTGGTGGCCATGTAGAAGTTTTTGCTTGAAATGAAGCATTTGGTTGAAGTTGGCACGTTGTTATATTTTGGGACTACATCTGAGGATTCTTCATTTCGCTAATGAAACATGGGTTGCTACCAGTCTGAGTTACCACATGCTTCAGGGCCAATCGAAAGTATACGGTCTGCTTCCGCAAACTTATAGGTTGACGAGGTATGTTGTGAGGTAGAAAGGTGCTTGTACGGAAGGACACCTCAGCTGATTCGAGGTCCGCAGAGCAAGTAGAAGCTCTTGTCGTTTCGTCGTACCTTTGACAGCAATGTGGACAGGGGAAGCAATTCGAGAGGCAATTCAATGCGTTTCCCTGTAGGACCTACGCGTTGCTGATTTCTTCTGGGAGTATTATGTCCGGGTGAGCTGGGTGGTGGGCTGGCCGAATTTGAGAGTTTCAATCTCTGAAAATATCATGTGTCTCTGCCTTCACGAGACATCAAGGCCAAGTATGGAGTCTAGAAACAGTAATCACCTTTGAATCCGACAGCGCTCTCTCTGATACAATTATATCTGATTGAAGACTACTCTCCCTTTCAATTTGGATTACTTGCATCTCACCACCACCTCGACTGAAGAATTTTTCAAGCGCTTGGGATATTGAACTATGTCTTTTGAGTTGAAGGGTTTAGCCTTTTAACGAGTGTCTGGCCCAGCACCACCGAACCTGCGGTTTACCGTCTTCTCCATCAGGCTCTGACCGCCGCCGAGGCTTCCGGATGGATAGAGACTGATACAAGTTAGCTTTAGGAGTAAGCTCTGCACGCCTCAAAGGTTAATCCCCCTCGGAGCCGGGCAGTCGGGACGTTATCTGTGGTCATGGGCGATATACCCTCATAGATGAGAAGGGAGTATCATGGCGTATGAAGATGGCACTGGTGCAATAGTACCCACTTGGAATGAATGGTATTCGCGACTGCTCAGCTTCACTTCCATTGCGAAGACTGCGAAGTTCCGCGGGGAACGTACGAGAGATCTTCGCTGAACAAGCTCCTGTTCCTGGCCAAAATTCACCAAGATTGGACAGCTCCGGTAAGCAGGATGCTTCACAGATCTTCTGGGTTAGCTAGGAGACTTATCGGCAGCCGCAGGGGAGAACGTCGGCCGCCGTCTACCATCTTTCCCGGCCCGCCGGACCATTGACTCCTCCGGGTGCAGCACCTCACGTCCCTAGCTGCCCGAGAGGTTACTACCCGAAAAGCAGGCAGGGCAATGTGAGTGGTCAGAGTCTTTCGACCCGGGGTTCGGAGCACTTGGAAGCTTGATCTCGTGACTCCTGCGCCTCACAAGTCTCTAATCCTGACAGCCTGGGGGCATGAAGAGCTCAAAGGTTAAAATTTCTGTCGGGATATGCCCGCATACAAACGCTTGAAACAACAAGAAGGCTTCTACTGTGCACAAGAAAAAGAAGAAAAAAAGGTTTGCTCAAAGTTCAGACTGTCAATACGGAGGCCTCTGTTAACCGTCTGCTCCTTGCAATCCCAAGTTGGGTCATTACTCAGGTGAGGGCAACTCTAGTTGACACCATGGAGGCTCATCTTGGTGCTCTGAGTAAGAGTAAGAGATGAAGTGTTGCCAAGAACAATGGAAGGATGGAAAGGTGTCACGATGGAACTTTGCAATTTGGCAAGTCCGAGTAAGCAAAGGAGGCGGATACATCAAACTCTCCCCACCTAGCGTCAAACCGTCCCATGCGGCAACGAACGAGCTCTATGGGGCATGTTCGAGAGAAAGAGGTGCAGTGCCGAAAGAAGGGGCAATGGGGTGGAGGTGAGATCGGAAATCGAGATAAAATCGAGGGAAATTGATTCCCGGAACAAGGTTCGCAGGTTTAAACAATGGTCTTAATGTTAGTAAAGCCCACCCATAATGCTCCGAACGAGATTCATGCTACGAGGGGGGTCTCCTTTCACATAGGCCTGCCGTGGCTTGCCTCGTCAATGGTAGGTAAGGTAAGGAGGCTTCCAAAGCTGGAAGTACACTACAGCATCGGCGACTCCCATAAGGCCTCGTGGCAGGAGCCGGCGTGTTCCCCGTCTTTGACCCCGTCTTGAAACGGAGGCTCGGGCCTTGACGAGTTGCAAAAAGGGCTGAGGGTTGTATGAACTGTGGGCGGGCTGTATGCGCGTATACAAGCCTCGGAGCGAACATAGCTTTGACACTAACTGGCTGAGCGTCGCCGCCTCATGGCTAGCTGTTAAGGCTTTCTGAGCACTCGCGCAGCTGAACGGCGGAGTCTCTGGTGCTGTACGGAGAGGCGGGGTCTGTCCCTGCCCGGCAGAGTCACGGGCACGGAGCACCGGACGGCGGGCTGCGTCATTGCGCGGGGAGCACCCATAGGAAATATGGAGACCAGAGGGTACGTATTGTCTAGCGTGTGGCTGAAGCTGTAGACGCCACAGCTCTACCCCACCGGGGCAACGGCACGGGCACCTCTTTCCAAGGGTATCGTTTCTTGCTTTTTTCTATTTTCCACCCGCCGTCTGTGGATGTTCCATGATGATTGATTCAATCTAGTCTCGGCCGTCTGGGTCAGGCTGTAGTTGTATGGATGGACGAGAACGGCTCTTTTCTTTTGCTGCCCAGTCATATCTCGGTATCGCAATGTCGTCTGCTGAGCATCAGACAGCAGGCGGGTGGCTGGCGGTGTATTGCGCGCGTGCTGATCGAGTGGACGCGCAAGCTTTCGGCGACAGACTGTGCCATCTTACCCGGTAGCTTTGTATTGATTGACGTGAACGCATCAAGGGGAGCTGCAAATGCTAGATGGCCATTGTCGTCGTCACCATGCGTGTACCGAAATTCGCCATGTCCGCTAAAGAATACCCATGTGTACGGAGTGGTGTTTGTCTTATCTTTCTAATGCTGTTAGCCATTGGCCCGTGACAATTTTGGCCCTATGCGAGCAACGATGCTTTGCTGTGTTGTAGTATGTAGGTCTCATATGATTCCTGCATGTATGCTGTTGCCTGGCGAATTCCGCTCTGTGTACTCGGTAGACGACTCGAGGATGTATCCAAGGATGTTCCCATGGGGCGACGTCCAGCTAGGGCCAGTCAATGAGCATGGTGGAATTGCCGCTGGCTCTTTGCCGTAGGTGTCTGTATTATTCGTACCATGCGCTCAGCGCTCCTGGAGAGAGCTTCTGGTGGCAGCTGCGGTACCCTGTCCGCGTAACTCGTGGTGCTTGTGCCGCGCCGGGTCTGCATCCTGGGGCCCACTTGGTCGTGCCGCAGCGGAGAGGCGATGGTACGGAGTTGGTGGTGAAGCAAGGCGGATGGATGGTGGTGGTGGTGTTGACTACTCTGGTTCTCATTGCATGCCTTTCTGAAAACTCAGTACTGGAGATTCAAGGCAGGAATGGTAGGTGCTTAGGAGTGTTTGTCCCAACTCATGAGGCGTCCCATTGGCATCTCTAGTATCCAGGTAAGTGAGTGCGAGATAAAACGGTCGGGTACCGGCTCCAAACGTCGAAGGACAGTGATGGGGAGCGGTCGACAAGAAGAGAGAAGAGATGGGGAATCCGGGATGAAAAGAGATGTGCAGTCAGCAGTACGTACCGTTATACGAAGTACCTCTCAAAGTACGGTACTTCCTCCAAGTTCTGGTTGTCGAGGTTGGAGGTGGGGGAACTTGGAAGGAGCGAAACCTGAAAGTGTAAGGTAAGGCGCACCGCCACATGTCCAGTGCATGCCCCCCGCAGCCCGCCAGTGTTGCGCCGTATGTTTGCGTCCCGACGGGTTGCGTGGGGCTTCCTCCGTTACGACGGCTGCTGAGGCTTACGAATAGGTACAGTGCAGTGATCCAGTGCTCCTACCTTGGGTGGTGAACGGAGTATTCGTACCTGTACCAGCACAGGTACCAGGGCCACTGCTTGCTCGTTGCCGCCGCAGCTGCTGCAGGCTGGTCTTGGCTTCCATTGAGGTGCTCTTTTGGCTTCCCAGCAAGTTCCGTTCCAAGGTTCCTCAGACTCTCTTTCCTCTCCCCCAGACTGCTTGCTGCTGCAACTGCTGTGTTCCAAAACTTTGGCAACCTCCAGACATTTGGCTTCATCTTTTTTCGGCAGCCTGTCATTCACAGCATTTCGGAACACTCCGGGCTCCAAGAGCCTGTCGCTTGATCACCTATTACACCAAACGGTTTCCAGGATTGCCGTTGGTGGATTGTCTCTAGTTGGCTGCTGATCGCTTCCAGTGCAATAATTGAGAGGTTTCTATTCACAGCCCACTACGAATGACGACACCTCCTGAAGCTTCAATCTCACCCTCACCCACGCTCTCGTCCTCGCCCAGCCGCTTGCCGAACATCCTCAACCACACTTGCAGCTCTCCCAGCCGCAACATTTCCTCCAAACCGAAAGTATTCTGATCTCGCGTTGCTACTCTTTGCTTGGGACAAGCGACAGCCGCCCTCACGAACCCATTCTACCAACAAACCCCCCAGTCCGAGACCTCGGGACCCTCGTCGACATGGTTACCCGCAAGCCCGTCCCCAACGAGCCCTACCTCGACACCAACGCTGCTCCGCGAGTTGAAGACATGAGAAAGGAGCTCTGGGGCGCAACCGATTCCCCTTCCGACGTAGATAGTGTTTGGGACGACGCTTCTCAGCAAAAAGGCGCTGCTGCTCTTAGCCAACAAACGATACCCCAAGATATTCCCGAACCTTTGAAGCCCGGCGGGGTTGCGGCACAGGGCCCCGAGATGGGCAACGGAGTATGGAACGACGCTGACGGCCACCAATCTCAAACCGTCGGCGAGACAAGAGGTGATCCCAACGATGTCCCGCTGGTATTACGACCAGGAGCGCCCCCTTCACGATCCGACACAAATCCGTTCAAACGCAAAGACGTCCGCGACGACTCCAATCCAACATCGCCGCCCATCAACGGTACCCCGACGATGCCTCCGGCGCAACCACTCTCGCAAATGAGCACCGGCGAGATCAGTAATAATCCATGGCAGCCTGCCCTCGACCAACAAGCTCAGAGAGCTGCCGCCGCCAGCGCCCAGCAGTCTCTACGGACTCAGAACAGTGGAGAGTCTGAGCGCGATGCATGGGCTGCAACCCAAGAGCCAAAACTGCCCGCTATCTCGACATCTCCAGCACTGCTATCGCTCCCCTCAGAACCTACCTCACCGGCGTGGGATGACTTGCCGGAGAATCAGAGTAAGAAACCAGTTGATTTGCCAGCAGCATCGATCCCCAGCGATGCAATTGCGGACCAGAATGCCTGGGACGATGTAGGCGGACTGAACAAGGGCAAGGGAAAGGCCCCCGCCCCCGCTCCCGTTGTCCCTCCTCCCACAGTCGAAGACGGCCCCATGGACGATTGGAACCTCATCGACGTCGAGCCGCCTGCTGGCCCACCACCCGGCAGATCGCCAGCGCCAGATCAAAGCCGCGACAGGCCTGATCAGGTCTCTGACGACAAGGTGGCGCCAGCATTGCCTCCGCGGAACGGTGACGAAGAGCAACCTCCGCGCCAGCCACCGCGTCCTGTGGACGGCAAGGCCGAAACATATCAGATCAAGAACGTCCGTTGGCACGACCACAGCGCCGACAAGAACCCGCGAGTTTCGCCGATCCTCGTCCAGAATGCCAACGGCCCTTGCCCGCTTCTTGCTTTAGTCAACGCGCTCACACTTACAACCCCGCCATCTCTATCAGAGACGGCCTTGATAGAGGTCCTCCGCTCCCGAGAGCAAATCAGTCTCGGGTATTTACTAGATGCGGTCGTCGATGAGCTAATGAGGCGAACACAAGAAGCTTTGCCTGATGTTTCCCAGTTGTACGACTTCTTGAAGGATCTTCATACGGGAATGAACGTAAATCCACGTTTCGTTCCCACCCCCGAAATCATCAAGGCCTTCAAGCGCACTTCCTTGACTCACTTACACCCGACCGAACGCGACGATTTGATCCCTGGAACTTTCGAAGACACCAGAGAGATGACGCTGTACGCTGCTTTTGCTATTCCGCTTATCCATGGGTGGCTGCCCACTAAGAATGATCCGGCCTACCCTGCTTTTGAGCGCCAGGCGGCCTCGTTTGAAGACGTGCAAACGCTCCTGTTCCGAGATGAGGAGCTGCAGGAAAAATTGGGGTCATTGACGGAAGAGGAGGAGCGGATATACTCAGACATACAGTCGATAAAGGCGTTTTTGGAGACTTCGGCTACGCAGTTGACGCCGTCTGGACTGGAGGTTATCACAAAGGCCATGAAACCTGGCTCTTTCGCCATTCTCTTTAGGAACGATCACTTTTCAACCCTGTACCGGCACCCAGCGACACAGCAGCTGTTGGTGCTTGTCACCGACGCAGGATACGCCACCCACGACGAGATTGTTTGGGAATCCCTAGCCGACGTGAATGGCGAACGTACGGAATACTATTCTGGTGATTTCAGGATCGTGGGCGGGGAGCAGCCGCAAGGCAACTCCCGGGGACAACCTACTATGAGGAACAATGCCCAAAACCGACCGAGAATCGATACGAGTAGCGCCAACGAGGGAGGCTGGACTACTGTGCCCGGCCGCGGCCGCAACAAGCACCTTGAGGCACCAGCACAAGGTGACGAGATGCCCCTGTCGCCGAATCACGAGCAGGAGGATCGAGATCTTGCCCTGGCGCTTCAGCTGCAAGAAGAGGAGGAACAACGCCATCGTGCAGAGCAGTCGGCTCGTCGGCGCGAGAGCCAGCTTAGCGAGCAGTACATTGAGCAACAAGCCCGACTGCAACAAGGGCCCACGACAAGACGTGCAGCCGACAGGCAGGCTGCCCGAACTGGCACTGGCGCACGTAGTAGCAGCAATGGCAACTCGACGGCCTCTCGCGGTAGCCGCCGGAACTCGAGCACCAACGTCAGCAGCGCAGCGGTACCGCCCACGTCGGGTCGGCAGCCAGGACAGCCGCCTCAGATGGTGCGACCGTTGGTTCCGCCGACGGTTCCTGCGCGTCGACAAGGTGTGAACCGGCCGGCTGACGAAGGCATGGACGATGCCCCACCGACGTATGAGCAGGCGCAGGCGGCTGCCAAGTACGAGCCACCTCCTGGGCACCCTCACCATCATGCGAGCAGTCCCGTCAATCGGCAAGGGAACGGTGCTGGGCCGTCATTCCCGCTGTCGCCTTCGCGGCCGGGGATGAGCGGCGGTCGTGGGCGCGTGCTGGGTCCCGGCGGAGTGGTAGGAAGTTCGCAAGGAGGAAGGGAAAGGGATTGCATCGTCATGTGAGCGAAGGCAGATCCGGTACTTTCTGATGATTTGGGCGTTTTCGTGTCATTTGAATTATTGCGCAAGGCATGGACAGACGAAGACTCTGACAAGCAGAGTTGGAAGAGCTTTTTGCTGTACAAACATTTCCTCTCAGCGGGCGGCGTTGGAAATAGTGGCTTTATAGGATCGGTAGCTGATGAATGGAAGAAGACGCATGATCATGTGGCTTACGTTGGAATCTCGCTGGGTATCTGTGAAACATGCGCAAGATTTGCTAAGAAGTTCCGGATATATTGAGTCTGATATCTTCCTCAAGCTGTGGTGGAGGCTGCAAGGGGTAGCTGTGCAGAACAGCTCAGGGGACCCCGCCAGTAGCTCGATCGAATAGGGAAAGCGGTCAAACAAACCGTGGGCGAGCCTGCAGGGGCTTTAACGCGTCGCAGGACCGGGGCCCGGAGCTCCCGCCGCCAATTCCACCACAGCAGCTGCTTGATGTCATTGATTTTGTGTTGTGTTGCACTTTCCACGTACCTACATTTCACGGCGGGGGACTTGCAAAAGGTGGGAAAGTACACCACGCCACGATCTTCTCCAGGGTTTCCTGACCTCATCAGGTACTGTTCTTTGACAATACATTCACTTTCACCCTCTACCTCTTCTCAGTTGGATCGTCCCATATCAAAAAAGTAAACGAACCCAAGATGTCCCTGATTGAGGGGTGGCTTCCGCCGACGCGGGAGAACTGGGATACCATCACGACCGTGTGGCAGCTTTCCTGGCCAGTGGTATGTCCCGTCTCTCCAGCAATTTTGGCAAAGCTCTTGTAGCTACCTTTTGCTAACCTTTGAATGATGTGCAGTTCGGCTCTCTTCAGTATGTTATTAACTGGTACGGCATGGGCAAGACCTCGGTCACGAGCCGCCTCAACATCCCCGGCCGTCTGGCGTGGTTCCTGATGGAGATTCCGGGCGTCACGACATTATTGTACATCATGAATACCCTGCCGCGTCAGGTCGGCATTGACGATCTGCCGTGGCAGAATAAGGTGCTCGCTGGGTTATTCGTATGTTTCCTCTGTCCTTTCCCCTTCCTGTCTGCATCTATCTACTAGACCAATGTTGACTGACAATTGGGTAAATGGGGCCACTACAGACCATCCACTACGCCTACCGTGCCGTCCTCTTCCCGATCCTCCAACCATCCATGTCCCCGATCCACGTCGTCGTCGCCTCCTCAGCCGTCCTCTTCCAGCTCATGAACGCGACCTGCCTGGGCAGCTACCTTGCCGCCTACGGCCCCACCACAGCCTCGGCATGGGACTCTGCCCTCGGCCGCGGCGGGATAGCACAATTCGTTGCGGGCATTGCTGTCTTCTACGTCGGATTGACGCTCAACTACTTCCACGACGAGGAGCTGCGCGAGATTCGCAGGACAGAGCAGCGGCGCCAGGCCAAGATTGCGAAGCAGCAGAAGCTGGAGGGCAACGAGAAAGCAAAGGGCGTGGATAAGCATTATCGGTTGCCTGATACGATGCTGTTTCGGTATATGTTGTACCCGCATTACCTTTGCGAGTGGGTTGAGTGGTTTGGGTTCTGGATGGCGAGTGGGTGGAGCGTACCTGGAAGGGCGTTCTTTTTGAATGAGATTTTTGTCATGTTTCCGAGGGCAAGGAGCGGGAGGCGGTGGTATGTTGGGCAGTTTGGGGAGGAGAAGGTTAGGAGAAAGTGGACTATTATTCCGGGGGTTTATTGAGGGTTTCACTTGTTGGATGACTTACCCCTATGCGTAGGTCCCACGGTGTCTTGTGGGTTCTAGACGCTCAAGACTTTCGCTATTGCTTATGCCCATGGGCATCTCCGAAAGACGACTATGTGAAGCACTTCGACGGCCAGCGAGGGTCAAAGTTCTGCATCAGTGCATCGCTGTCTCCCAGGGTACCTTTCCTGTTTTCACCCGGATGGCAGCTCGAAAGCATCTTTTTTTGGCCGGCGGGTTGCTATCGGAGAAAAAACTTGGTTGATAATACTCAAGGCCGGTTCCCTCGAGAATGAGAACAATCCTAACCTACATCTTCCTCCATGCTTCTAGACACATCAGTGCACATATCTATTGAACGACAAGTTGACACAGGTACGACACGCACAAGACTGCTTGGCAACAGACACGAGATAATAGTTCAATAGCAACTATTTATAATCGTCAAAATGCCTATCGAACACCTGGCACCAGAGACTCTGTTCGCCATCTTCAGTCACCTCATTGAGGTACTTCCTCCCTTTCCTGGAGACGATGCCAAAGCGCTAGAATACAAGCAAGCGTCATCACGCGACGCTGGACAATACCGGCGATCGGTAGGCCTCGAAAGGCATCGCGCTTCCAAGTACGAATGGAGTAGAAGGGACATACTCACACCGGCGCGGGTTAATCGCCGCTTCTCCGACATCTGTGCCGAACTTCTCTACAGACATCTCGCCCTTGTGGATGACAGGGGGCTCGTAAACTCGCGCAAGCTACAAGCCACACTGGCCTCGTCGGGAGCCGCGCTCCAGCAAAGAGTTATACAACTACGAATAGACTATGATCGCGATCAGGGATGCTGGCTAAGCATGCCGCCAAAGCAATTGTTCGACCCCTCCGGATTGACCCGACTGAAGACCCTCGAGCTCTCTGGCGACGTAGGACGCTTTGGGAGGCCATGGCCAATGCCACTGGCCCTGTGGTTCCGCGCCATTCCCAAGCTCCTTGGACTCGAGCGTCTGGTCTTGAGAGACTTGGACATTGTGCTTCGAAACTTCGCAGACGCCAATATACCCGCCTTGGGGGTCACGGACCTGTGTCTCTACAACTGTCCCATTACCTCGGGCATCAGCATCATCGATTTCTACAAGCAAGGGGACTTCTTCCAATGCTTCCCGGCACTGCGCACCCTTACCATCGGTGGGGTGGCGCCGGAGCTCCCGCGCGACGCCCATGCCTTTGCGCCGTTTGCAGATACGTTGGAGACGTTTACTTGGTTCGACACAGGAGCCTCATCGCGCTGGTGGGCAAGGGCCTTTTCGACATCGATGTTCCCCCTACAGGCGTGTGGACTCAGGGCGGCGAAGCACCTCAAGGTTTCGAGTCTACTAGAGCTCATGTGCGGCGACAATGAGGGCTGCGCGTTTGGGAAGACTGTCGAGACCATTGAGCTTCTCGAGGACGGCTTCGACCTGAGACATGAGCCTCGAGTGCTGACGAAAGATGGGAGATGGAACAGGCTTGATCGATCTCCTGCCCTTAACCCGCCGCGCTTGAGGCCGAGCCCGGGAGAGATCGAGACGATGCTCAAGTTGCCGACCCCAGAAGAGTACGAGACGCTGCTCAAGTTCCTGCTGAGACGGTGCCGGGATGTGTATCAGCAAGTCCGAGTTCTTGACATTCGGGCCATTGATGTGAACGTTGTCGGAGATTGGTACACGGATAGAACAGAGGAAGAGAGGGACCTATTGCGTAAGCTTGCGCTGGATTTCGTGAGGGTCTTCAAGGAGGACCTTGACGTCATTTTGTTGCAGTGCTGGTCTAGTTAAAGGCTTCTTAGGAACGCCCTGATGAAGATGTATATCATCTACATGGGACGCTGTACTTAGTTAAGTGATGTTGGAATTCGGCGTATATGTATATGTATACCGAGTAATACATGTACATATGATGGCATCTGAAGAGCGATACTCTGCCAATCTCACGCGCATGAGAATTGAATGATTAGCTGGGTTGCTCACGATTATGAACAACCACCGAGATGGTACTCTGAGGTGAACACGTTCATTCCCTCAAGGCTGCCATCCAGTCTTCATCAAGCTCACATGGAATACATCGATTCTTATTGATCGGTCATGTTGAATTACCCATCTACCTATGCAACCTGATATACGCTCTGTTCCAAAAGGCCAAAGCTGTCGAGCATTTTTCAACTTCACTAGTTTGTGAGAACTTGCCATCGCCAAGTCCTCTATTCGTTCTTATTCTTTTCTTGAAACGATTCTAGATATGGAGGGCTGGCCCGCTGAGCGGGCCAAAGTCAGCGAGCCAAAGTGGTGTACATGCCACCCGCGATAGAGCTCAACCGTGATCTCATGGGTACCTACGTAGTGTTCAGCAGTCTGGGTACTCACATGGGTGATTAAATCAATCGCCGCTCCTCTTACCCACGTGCGGCATGGTACTGTCCCTTGTATCGAGGATATCCAAAACTGGACTTCGTGTGAGTCACAAGTCACGAACAGCCTAGGAGGTCTATCCCTTCACATTAAACAAAGAGGTCATATCACCTGGATGGAGCAGCCCACTTGTGCTACTTGTCAGAATTTGTGCAGGCAACATCTACAACTATGGATGTTTCTGAGAAGAATCTGCATCGGCTACCCTGAGGTATGAGCCAAACTAGGTTTCTCCATCGCACTGATTCCTTTTACCTTACTCAAGTACAATAGAGTGCCAGAAGTTTGCAACAGAACAGTCAACATACAAACCCCAAATTACATCGTCAAAAATCAATCTTCTCATTCATCCCCGAGGAACCAGCCTGCGTTGTCAGATAAGATGGCTCCGGCATTGCTGACTTCTCTGCCATACGAGCTGCTGCTCATCATTGCGGAGAAACTTGTCGAAGACGACGTTTTCCCCAGTTACAAGACCGAGTGTACATATGAGACTTCAGCGGGAGAACTTGATCGATACTGGAGAATCTCACACCAGCTCGAGGAAAACCTTTCAGCCATGAGAGATGAAGGGATATATAGACCGGATAATGGGGCGAGTCTCGCTCGTCTAGCCAAAGCCGGGAATCGACGGCTGTCTGAAGCTTGTTACGAGGCTTTCTATAGGATGCCTATTTCCGGGCGAGGCATTATCAAGATTTGGGATACTCTGGAATGTTTCAACTCAGCATATCAGAACAAAATTGAACATCTGAAGACGCTCCGGGGCTACAAGGCGAGCCTTGAGTTGAACCTAGCTCGAAGAAAGGGGCCATGTATAGATGCCACAAGCAACAACTTTGCCAAGGCAGTCTCGTTGAAGCTGCAAAATTTGAGGAGCCTCGACATCAAATACATCGGTAAATACTCTCAATGTTTTGGATACCACTGCTGCCTCTTCTTTAATAATTGAAGCATTTGGCATTGAGAGAGTTTAACAGCCCCTCTGAAGGCTTTCCCCATCTCCCACAGCTTGTCGAGGCGCACTTTTACAAATGCATTTTCTTGTACCCGTCCCAGAAAGACATCTTCAAGCATATGCCTTCACTTAAAGTGCTTGTTAACGAAGGCTCCTATTTCATGGATGTTGAAGGAGCAGAAGCCGCCCTTGTAAGCCCTATTGCCGACACTCTCGAGACATGTGCCTGGCTCGTTTAGCGGGGTGTGTTGCCAGAGTTTTACTATCCTCTACGGCAGTTTCGACGCCTGAAGCATCTCAAGGTGGAAATGATCCAGGACCTCTTTGAACCATATTTCGTCTTTGAGGAGCTCAACTAGATTCGGAATACGACGGTCTTCCCAATCTTGCGGCGACTGTCGAGACCATCGAGTTTACTGTGGGCATGGAAGACCCTGACATTGAGGCTGCATTTAAGGAGGACAGCGTGGAAGGGCTTCTAGATCTAATCACTCTAATGGAGGAGAGTTGTCAAAGAGAATGGCGAAAGGTTCGGCTTATTGACATCACCATGCTCACTGTTTGTTATGGTTGCGCGTCTCTGACGTGGCCGGGGGTTGACAAGTCTGACTTCCTGGCGGAGTGTCTCCAGCTTATCGAGGATGCCAAAAAGCGATTTCAGCGAGAGCCTGGTATCAAATTGTTGATATGAAGAGTTTGATGGGCTCTCAATTGGCATGTCATCAACCAGAAGTGTCATCAAATATAGTGTCATGCAGACAGTGGACGGGCGACGTTATGTTACAAGTCGTCGACTTTAGAACCAAGTAACGGCCTCGAAACAGGGTGATATAAGACAATAGAGCGGGAGAATCAGAAATAATACGAAAAACTTTCAAATATTGTGTGTCACTCCAAAAGCAAGGACTTTGATAAGAGCCACGATCGCTTCCCCTCTCAAGACGCTGCCAACCTCGAAGTTGAAGGTCTACCAGACGCAACTTTTCCACGCAAACATTCGAGAACAACCAGGCTAAACTAAAGATCAGATATCGGACGTCAAATGCGAAATGCAGGCGAGGGACTGCCTTGCCGGCAGATCATCGAATGACGCGTGGAAACAAGAAGCAAGGCTGCTTGCTGGAAGACACCGACATGTTTCATGAGAAACGCCAAAGAACGAGTCTAACCAGGGGCCGATCCTGACCTGCTACAAACTCTAAGCTAGTCATGTAGAGTTGGCCTTGCAGATTTACCCCAACGGTTATAATACGTCGAGAAATCTCAGCGTCTCCTCAGATCGGGGAAATCAAAATTCCAAACTCCCCGCATCCCAGACTTGATCGTCTGCAACGAAAAAGAAATCGGTGTTGACAATGCATCTGACATATCCCGACCTCGTCCGCCGGCTCTACGACCTTGAACGTCTTGCCGAATCCCCGCTGCCCGGAGAGCGCGGCGGGTGTATGTCGAGCTATGACCGGGCCTCACGCTATGACCCAAAGGAAGACAAGTACATTGACTGGGACGCCAACGACGATGGGCGAGGTATCATCCGCGAAGAAGGCGAGTGGGTAGTCGCTTTTGAGCAGCGTGGTCCAGGAGTCATTTGGAGGACCTGGTCCGCGATGCCCGATGTCGGCCGTATCCAGATCTTTGTTGACGACGAGCACGATGACAAGCCTGTCATTGACATGCCCTTCCGGGACCTGTTCGATCGGTTCCAGGGAATGCCACACAACTTCCCCTCGATAACGCCCACTCTGTCGAGGGGACGTAATTGCTTCATTCCCATTCCATACAACAAATATGCCAAGATCCGCCTTGGACCTGGATGGGGGGCATATTACCACTTTACTCACACCTCGTTTCCTAAACACACTACGGTTCCGCACTTCAATGGCAACTTTGATCGGGAGGCTTGTCTGGCATTGGCCGCAGCAGACCGCGAACTGAGTCAACGTGGTTGGTCCGCGCTACCTCGGTCAAAAAGCGACACAATGGAAACATTGACTGTCACCATTCAGCCAGGAAAGAGTCATACCGTGCGGGAGCTGACAGGCAACCGAGCGATTACTGGCATGCGCGTGGTCCCGTTGGACCTGGTTCAGGACTCTCAACTTGTCGCTCAAATCCTCCGGGAGCTCGCTATCCAGATCACTTGGGATGATGACAAGTCTCCTAGTGTTTGGGCACCGCTAGGTGACTTCTTTGGTAGCGTCCCTGGCATCCAGACCTACCGTTCTCTGCCTCAGGGCTCAACAGACGGGGGTGGATTCTACAGTCACTGGTTCATGCCGTTCTCCGATCGCGCCGAGATCAAGCTGGTTAATGATGGCAAGAAGGAGCAGAAGCTGTTCTTCACCATCTGCCACCGCCCCCTGGAAAAGTCTGCGAAGCACATGCTTCGTTTCCACGCCAAGTGGCACCGAGATGCCTTCCTCGAGAAGCCGAAGAAAGAGGGCCGCGAGATCGACTGGCCCCTATTGATGTTAGACAATGGCCCCGGAAGATTCTGCGGTGTGCAGATGCACGTGTGGAACCATTGGAAAGACCCCAAGGTCCCGTCAAAGGACTGGTGGTACGGCGTCGGCGGCGAGAAGTCGATCGACTGGTGGTGGGGTGAAGGTGACGAGAAGTTCTTTGTCGACGGCGAAAAGTTCCCATCAACCTTTGGCACCGGCTCAGAGGATTATGTCGGCTACGCGTGGGCGGCCGAACCGCCATTTCCGACCTTTGACAGCGCTTACGCCTGCCAACCTTACATTGAGCTGGATGCCAACGGGCACACATCAGTCTGTCGCTTCCACGTGTGCGATGACGTGCCTTTTCACAAAAGCTTCGAGGCCTACATTGAGAAGTACAAGCCCAATGACTGGGGCCATGGCAACAAGTGTCTGTATGCTGTGGTCGCTTACTGGTATCAGAAGGCTGGTGGCCATGATGCATACGAGAGTGTGTCAGTAAAGGAGCGCTATCTCCAAGTAAAGGAGCATCCTGAACGACCCGCTGATGAGGGTGGGGATGAGTTATGAAATCATATCGGATCATGTAGTTAAGTGTGATGTCTCTAATTGACGATATGAGCTGTAGGCACATAAGAGTGGATTACGACGCTCTTCTCTTCCAGTTGCTTTATTATTCTTAGTGTCACACAAACTCTGGAGTTAATATTTTCAGACTTTGTTATACCCACATGTCAGTCGAATGTGAGTGGACCGCTAGGCACAGGGCGTCAAGGGTTACCAGCGTAGACCGAACGGCGAGCAGAAACTCAGATCGGGGGAAATTGAGTGGCCGCCCACTGGCGGCATCTTACAAGTAACAGATTGAACACGAGCAAACCTTCGCTCTCGTTTCTCACGTCATCAAATTATCCGCGCAAACTTTTTCGTATCATGTCACCCACCCAAAGATATTCTCGACTCCACAAGTGCGACACAAGCAAAGCTGCGTTACAGTGATCTCGCTGTCAACACGGGACTGTTCAGACGACCTACAAGATGATAGCAGACACCTCACAGATGATGGGTTTCATCAATCCTCCGTTCCATCCACACCAGGCCACCAAGCTGGGAAACCGAGCCTCACTAGCATGGGTTCGCCTGCTTGCGGGGACCAAGTATCAGACAAGCTTTCCGGCGAGAGGGCAAGTGGACGCTTGAGCGACGGGGTAGCCGTGCGGATGGGGCGTTCTGAAGCTTAGCAGCCCCGCAAGAATCGACCAAATCCTACCCGGTAGAGCAAAAGGATGCGCCATTACATGGGGGGGGCCCTGAATATCATCACCACGGACTGACAATTTTAGTCGTAGACAGTTCCGACGGTCCAGCTCATGACAAGTGGCAATCGGGAAGGCCATTTGCGTGTGGGGGAGACGCAATTACGGCTTCTACGGAATGCGAGTGTTTCAGCGGCAAAGTTAATATCATGAGTTGAACCCCAGCAATTCACACTTTCGAAACAGTCAATGTCTATCGGCATCTCTGATGAATTGACGATAAGGCATAGCCCCTCCGACATAGTCCATCTACCCTGGACTAGAAATTGGGTAAGCCTTGGTAAGTCGATAGGCGGACCATGTCACTGGAAACCTAAGGGCCCGGTGGGTGTAGAATAGCCATTTTGGCGGCTATTGTATAAAGTGGAAGAGAACGCCGTCTCAACCATCGCCGGGCAGGAAACTTCGGTGGGATAATTTCTGTGGGATGCAACCTTTTGTGGGATGACAATGGGACACTGCAGACCATGATATTGACGAAGCCATTTTCCACGTCGGCCAGAGAGGCTCGGTGGCTGTACTTGAGTTGTCTGAGTGGTATTGTGATCTTGGTGGTGTTCTTCAGTAATACTCTATGGCCACACTTCGACATCCACGCATTTGACTTGTCGGGAGAAAGGACCGGAACGCGTCCTGAGGATTCGTACAGTCAACATGTCGCAAGTAACGAGGCGGAGGAGATTTACTACCTCGGATCCAAAAAGAACGAGACGTCAGAGTCACAGAAGTTGAAGGAGTTGAAATATGCTATTATTCTGCCGACATTTGTAAGTTCTGGTCACTAAGGATGTTGAAACTTGAAAACATGGTTGCTAAAAGAATATAGAGCGGACATATGGCGCTTGCGACCGAATTCTTGCAGTCTTACATGTGCCTTTGTACAGACCAGTCGGAAATCGACTTCCACGTCGTCTTATCAGATTCGAAGGAGGTTGCAATGTTCCAAGATGCTATTAAAAACTTGAAGTCTTGTGGGCCAACCTACAGCATTTTCCCGACGCCAGCGATGAACATCAACGGACCGAAACCAAAAATTAACATCATTAACATGTTCGATATCCTTCCGCCCGTCTTCCACTCCATGACGACCGGCAAAATCACAGGCGATGACACTTCGGCGCTCCTGAACGAACGTGGAAAGTATCAGTACCAGACAATCAAGAAGATGTCGGCAGCGCTGGAACTCGACTATGACTATGCGCTCTGGCTGGACTCTGAAGCTATCGCCGTGCAGCCCTTCAGCATGCGCCAAACCTTTGATGCTTATGTCAAGGATCCCACGATTTGGAGGTCGAGAATGACCAACGACGACTTTATGCAAAGACTCATTGGTGCCGCGGCCAATGTCCTGGATCGATCCATCGACTCGTTCGGTCCCGCCTACTGGAACTTGGAGAGCGTGGAATGGATTTTCGAAAAGGACATGATCAAAGATTTGTTCCAATACGTGGCAGAAGTTCACAAGCAGGACTTTTGGACGGCATGGGTCACGCATGGCGGACCATTTGAGGTGAACCTCCTCAACATGCACATCCAAGCACGAAAGCTGGAGACTACCGACCCCTTGTTCGCCAAGTACCGAATCATCGAGACGGAACGAGAGATGCAGAAGTATGGCATGGGTAAGTCAATCATATCCACTTTGTTCTGTCCAGCCGACTTGAGACTGACTATTTCCAAAGTTGAACCAGCAAAAGCCGTTATAAACACCATGACAGGAACTGGCCTTCTAGAAAGGGGTTACAAGTTGTTAGCAGTCCCAGAAATAGTACCGAACTTTTCGTCCATGCTACGCGAAAATGGACAGAGTCTTTTCAGACTCGACGATCTCGACGTTGGCCCACCAGAAGCCATTGATCGATTCCTGTTGAAGACTCCGATAAACATATTATGCTCGGGAGCTCCGCCGTTACATAGCTGGTGGGAAGTGCGGAAGAAGAGCATTTAGACAACGAGTTTTGACCAATAATACCCCATTTTGTTTCGTTCATTCCAGGCTGCAATATTCACTACACTTGTGAAGTTCACAATAATAAAAACCCGTGATCTCACGAAAGAGACCCGTCTTATTTACATGGACATATTATCGACAATAGCATCGTACCCGATGCAAAAAAAGAGAGGAAACTGCTCTGAGGCTCCTCAAGCCTTAGCCTAGCACCTCAAAGTAACGCGGGACACATGGCCAACAGTGCTGTTGCCAGATGCCACGGCGCCTGTCACGTACAACACCTTGCGAGGCTGGTGCAAGTCAATAGCCACCGATGAAGCAGCCCCGAGGAGAGGCGAGGACGCAACAACAGTCTTTCCTCCATGTACCAAGTCAACTCCGAGAACCTCCAGAGGGCCGTTCGTTGCAACGTAGGCAGTCTTGCCGTCTCTCGACAGTGCGAAGTCGTCATCAAAGGTAATGTTGGTAGTCAGAGTCTCAACGGGGCCAGTGGCCAACCCGGTGGTGAGGGAGATGGGGACTCTGCCAAATAGGCCTTGGTCCAAGCTCACGAAATAGAGTTTGTTGCCCCGGATGCGAATTCCGTTGACAGCGACGCTGATGCTCGAACTCGATGATACCGGAGCCATCTCGGGCTCAGAAAGGACCGTCTCGACAGCTTTGGTGTTCACGTTAAGTCGAAGAACGGTTCCACGGGCAGAGTCGGACATGAGCAAGTTCTGGGTGTCGTTCTTGGCTAAGCGAGCCATGCCGTTGAGCTGAAGAGCGGACGGGATGAGCGTGACGAGCGAAAGCACAGCTGGTTCGAGCACAGTTCCGTTGTGCGAGGTGCGGAAGTTGCGGAGGTCGACTTTCCACAAGCCATTCGAGTTTTCGGTCGAGGTCAGGTTTGATCCGAGGACGTAGAAGACATCCTTCTCGCCGAGTTCGGTGATTCCGAGGAGACTGTTGACGCCGTCGATAGTGGCAACAGGGATCGGCGCATGCTTGGCTTCAGGCGACAGGTCGAAAAGGGTCGGCGAGGCTGTAGACGTGGCTAGAAGATTTCCATTTTCCCGAACGGCAATGTTCTCGAGCGACTGTGTTCCAGGGACGGACTGCAATGTTGTGACCTCGCTTGCGTTCCGCCAATCGCAACCGGTAGTGGGAGCCGATGAAGCTGGCGAAAGAAGGAGAGCTGCCAGTCCTAGCAACTGGGTAACGAACAGTCGTGACATTATTAGGTCGGTCGACTATGGATAAAACGAGAGTAAGATATCGAAACGAGCGACATTGAAAGAAGGGAATTAGAGAGTTCCTGCGGAAGTGCTGTATTTCAAGTCTTCCTGAGCTTGCCGGAGTAGGAGATAGTACTACTAATACCGAAGCTGTCAGCGCAAAAAGAGAGGTACTTAATTTGCAAAGTGGGTGGCCAAGGCCCACTGCGGAATAGTGACATCAGCTAGCTGCTTGTTCATTAATCACGTCAAGACGTGAAATCAAGCTCATGCCCCTTGCAGGCTTGACTCGGCCGAGTCGGTTCGGTAACGGCAATGAACGGGTAGATCTGAGATCTGGTCCTCAGTAGAAATGCGGCAGACAGAGGTTAGATTTCAAAGATACATGATTGTCAAGGCGGGGCCATCTGTCCATCCTGAGCTGCCATTCGAAGCGTGGACAGAGAGTGTGTGCACAGGCTCTTGAGATAGACGAGAGGCCGGACTGATACTGCATAGATGACATTTGTTAGACCACATGGCAGGCCAGGCTGTTGTTGCGTAAAATGTTTGTGTTGGAATAGGCCTACATTAGGCAGCAGGAGGTTGCTGCCGCGGTCCGTTCCAGCCACGGTGGTCCGTGTGGCTCAGCCACACGAGGGTGGTATACCCCAGACTTCCTGCCGCCGCTGGCACCTGGTTAGACTTCCACAAAAGAACAACAAGAACAAGCAATATCACCACTACAGTCGGTGATCGTTGCTACCCACGATACTCGAGTATTTTCCTTTTCCACCTGTGAATCCAACACTGATCAGTGGTTAACCTCACAGTAACCTCTACTGCGATATACTGCAGATCAGCAAGGTATTACAGAAGAGACTGTTGCGACGCCTCACCACGGGATCCCTTCAGTGCTAATCACGAAATCGCCGGCCCTCCACAACCCGCATTATCGTCAACCTTTCTTCCGCAACTACGTTGCCGTTGATAAGGGCGTCTATCACGCTGTCGTCGATCGACCTCGCAGCCGAATACCCTTCCGTACGACAAGTGCCGTTGGAGAAGTCCGTTGCTCATCACGATAATTCAACTTCGTCAACTTCGTCAATTTCGTTTCCCACAACGAATTTCCTCACGATACCTTTTTTTTTTTCACCTTCTTCAACCCACAAATTCGCGAAGATTCGCGGAAGTACGCGAAAAACACCTACTGTACCTTCCTTACCTTCTACACTTTTACGCGATATCCACGCTGTGGCAAGGCCGCAGGCTCCTACTTGCTATCTCTGCGACTACTCACTTCACTAATCCTCCTCCCTTAACTACGCTACACCATGACGGAATCGCAGACGTCACAGGATCTGCCCATCCCGTACGGCTTTGGCCGACTTATCGACCTAACGGTATGGGGAAGCAACGATGAGATCCTTTTTAGCGAGCGCGATAATAGGAAGGTATGTACACACATTGCTTACTCCATCGCTACGTGGTTACAAGAACAAATCTTTGGTCGCGAATTATTCGCCGCCTTCCAACGCGACTTCGATGGATGGGACGAAGAATTCTTCCACGCGGCAGGATCAAGGGCACTCAGCCTGCTCCGCGATCACCTCCTCTTCAATGGTGTCTATATCCCTAAGACCAGGGACAAGGTGGCTCCTAGGCTGGTGGAAGTTCTGGATCGTGACACCTTTCATACATGGACGGATGAGGAAGTCGAAGAGATGCGTCATCATTCCCCCTACTTTAACCGTCTATTAGATGAGGATCCACGTATCCTCGAGGATATCCAACGACAATATATCAGCCCGCAACAACGAACGGCTATGAGGGAGAAGCAATATCAACAGCAGATGGAGATTGAGAGACAGCAAAGGAAGAACGAGAAGGAGAAGGAGGACCGTATGAATGAGATTCTTGCCAAGGAGCTGGCAGCCAGGGCAACCAGGGGAGTTGACAACCCTCCTCTACCAGAACGACCAACCCGACAGAAGCCGACTCCTCGACAGTCGCCAGCTCAATCGGTCCACTCAGTATCTCGTCGACCTACCCCAATTACACGCCCATTATATCCTACGATAGCACCTCCCACTACGCAATCTCGTCATATCTTACCAGCGCCCCCGCTGTCGCCGAGACCCGCGATGATGGAGCACCCTCCACAACACCTTCCGCCTCATGACGAAGACTTCTACGTCGGCCCACAAGGCCACAACTTCCCTCTACAGGACTATCCCCCTGTCACCACAGGCTTCCCACCACAACCTCCTATCGACAACGTTGCTACACGAACCAGCAAGCCAACCTCTAGGCAACTTTCCGATCTCGCCAAGCTGATACCTGACGAAAACAAGTACGGTGGCGAGATGTATGATGTATTGGACATTAAGTTAACGTACCTGCATAGCGAGCGACGCATCATAGCGAGCGACGCACGTCCTCCCAATTCTACCCTCTTCATCTTTAGGTCACCTTTTCTCCACGTACGAACATGCAATCCTCCTCAATTGAAAGTCGAATTACCCTTGCCCTCCAAGCTATTGAAAAAGACCCGAAAATGTCTATACGAAGAGCTGCCTCTATCTATGAGGTCCCTGAATCAACCCTCCGCCACCGACGCGCTGGACGCGTCGCACGAGGTGAAACACGACCAAATTCGATGAAGATGACTATAACAGAAGAGGAGGTGATTCTTGAACGAGTTATTGACCTAATCGATCGAGGGTTCCCTCCGCGACAAGAAGACGTACGAGAAATGGCCGACCAACTCCTAAACGCACGCGATGGGACGCGTACTGGACCGCGATGGGCAGAGAACTTCGTACGACGCGTCCCTGAATTGAAAATGCGGTTTCAACGTCGAATCGACTATCAGAGGGCCTTAGCTGAGGATCCTACGATTATACAAGGCTGGTTTGCACTTGTGCGAAACACAATTGCAAAGTATGGGATACAGGATAACGATATCTATAATTTTGACGAGACTGGTTTCCTGATGGGAATGCTATCGCACGCAAAGGTTGTTACGACTTCTGACCGTAAGGGAAGGCCTCGTACGAAACAGCCTGGCAATCGAGAATGGGTTTCTGTCATTCAGGGTGTATGTGCGGATGGCTGGGCGCTGCCTCCGTACGTCATCGTAAAGGGCAAATATCACCTCCTCTCGTGGTATATTAATGGCCAATTTCCAGCCACATGGCGTATCCATCCAAGCGAAAATGGATGGACGACAAATGATATTGGCCTAGATTGGCTAAAGCACTTTAATCAGTGTACAAGGACTCGTACGAAGGGCTCTTATCGCCTCTTGATCCTTGATGGCCATAATAGCCATAAATCGACTGACTTTGACGAATACTGCAAGGAACAAAACATTATTGCTCTTTGTATGCCTCCCCATTCATCACACGAGCTTCAGCCTCTTGATGTTGGGTGCTTTAGCCCGTTAAAGTACTCGTACGGCAAGGAAATCGAGAAGATGATGCGGATACAGATTTCCCATATTACAAAGGATGACTTCTTTCCTGCCTTTAAAGCAGCATTCTTTACTTCCATGGGCGAAAATAACGTACGAGCTGGTTTTAGGCAGGCAGGCCTTGTACCTTTTAACCCTGAAGTGGTTATTTCTCGCTTGGATTTCAAGCCAAAGACGCCAACACCATCAAACTCACGGCCAAGCAGCCAAGGCTCCTGGGACCCAAGGACACCAATTACAGCACTAGAGGGCGTACGAAGTGCTACCTCCCTTAAAAGGAAGATCCAAGCACATCAAGGTAGCTCACCAACACCAATGTACGAAGTAATTGACTTCCAGGCCAGAGGTATTAGCAAGTTAGCCCATAGGCTTGCTATTATTGAGGCTGAGAACCGTAAGCTTCGTACGGGGATAGAGGTACTAAGTAAGCGCCGGAGGGCAAAAAAGACCCGGCTACGTCTTGGAGGGTCACTTAATAGTGCTGAAGCAGAGGCACTACAAGTAGAGAAGGGTGGTGTTAATGCTGGAGGAGAGAATAACCCTCAGAAGGAGGGTCGTACGGAAGGTGCTGAACCACGCGCGCGACGATGTGGTAATTGCGGGAAGCCTGGACATAACGCACGAACCTGTGAAGTGGTTTGGGATAGTAATGAGGAAGAGGGTGATATATAGTTTTAATTGATTTCGTACGTTGTGGCTAAGTTAACTTATACATAAGGTAGAAAGGTTTGAGAGAGTGCGTCGCTCGCTATGATGCGTCGCTCGCTATGCAGGTACGTTAATACTATTTCTATTTTGTAACAGAATGCTTAGCATAAGAAGTACAGATACTTAAAACCTTTATACGTATAAGGATGTTTGCAGCCTACTCCGCATCTTCATCCGAAGGGAAGACCTTTCTGAACGCCGTAAATGGTCCGAATAGACTGTCCGTGACACTGTTTTTGACTATTAGATCAATGCAAGAATAAGATGGGAGTTCGGTATCCAGCTATGTTCGATGATGGGACGGGCAGTCCCACTTCGTCTTAGGATGGCATGAAGGAGTTGTCGCATCTAGCGCCTAAAAGTACATGTAATCATTACATCGTAAAAGTCTACGTACTACTAAGCAAGTGCTGCAGACTGCAGCGACGGGTGAATTAAGACCCCTAGTTTCAATTGCATTCGGACTTCTCACTTTCAAATTGTTTTATAAACGTATGGATTCTTGGAACGAGCGCAGCAGCCGAGGCAATGTCCAAGTAGAAAAAGAAGCCGTGTTTCAGTGCCCTCCAGTGCCAGCGCTGACGGTCTCACTTGAAATATCCACCGCGCCGATCAACTGCTGCAAGGCGTTACATAAGGTAGAGGGCCATGCGAGCACTGAAGCGTAGGCAAGCATTGAGCGGAAGTCGCGACATGTGGAATGTTGCTCGAGGTTTTTTTCGATAGATCTGAACAGTTTTGGAAAAGGGCACCGAGTGAGCGTAACAGTTTGGAGATGACTGGAACACTTAACTATTACTTGAACGATAATTGATGGTAACTTTTATATTACGCTGTATACATGTAAGGTAGCCGACCGTATATTTTAGCACACTGGGGTATCACGCGCCATCCACCATCATCATTAAGATTACTCTCTCAAGCCTTCTCGCCCTTAATTACCTTGTTGCGACCAATTCCAATCATCTGGAGCATCTCCCTCCAGAAGGTGGTAGGGGGCTCGTGCACCATCGCGTGCTGCTCGTAGGCCTCGATGATGGGACGGTCCCACGTCAAGTCCACCTCGTGGGGCTTGAGCCAGTGGGTGCGCTTGAGGACCTTCCAGAAGATGAACAGGAGAGGCGCCACAAGCTGCATCGTGTAGTTGGAGAAGAAGCCTCCGACGTCAAACTTGGGGCGGAATGCGGACCATCCGTAGACGAGGATGACAATGGTCTGGAGGACGAGGGCAACGTAGGCACCGTAGGGCTGGAGGTATCCGCAGTAGGGCAGCGTCTTGCGGTCGAGGCCTTGGGCCTTGCACGCGTGGTAAAAGTTGATGTACGTGATGGACATGACGAGGTAGTTGATGACACCACCGCCCGTGATGAGAGCCAGCAGCCAGTTCAGCACCTTTGCGGAGCCGCTGCCGCACTGAAGGAAGGAGAGCAATGGGAAGACCATGGTGACGGCGAAGCAGTATACGGGGACACCGTTCTTGGTGGTCTTGCGGAGCAGGGCCGGGGCGCGTCCATCGAGCGCCAAGCTGTACAGGGACCGGGTCGCGCAGTAGACGTATGTGTTACCGGCGGAGAAGATGGTAGTGAAGAGCAGAGCATTGACCAAGTGGGGGAGACCCTGGATCTTGAGGTTCTCCATGGCCATGACCCACGGGGACGCGGCCGCGGTGCCACCGCTGCCGGTTCCGGTGATGTATATGTCGACGAGGGTCTGGTTGTTGTAGGGGATCACAATGCCGCAAGTCAAGGCGGCGCCCACGAAGAAGAGGCCGAAACGCAGGTAGACGGTCTTGAAGGCGCCCTTGATGTACAGGCTCGGGTGCTTCGCCTCGGCGGCGATCATGGAGATGTATTCCGGGCCGACAATGGTGAACGTGGCAGTGGCCAGAGCACCCATGAAGCCTTCCATGCGACCAGTGTTACCCTGCGTCATGTATTCTGCGAATGCTCCGGGCTCTTTCCAGTATCGGAATCCGTAGGCGTCATGGGCGGGGTTTCCTCCGACCATCGTGATGAAGGTGAAGAGGAAGAGGATGAAGATGAGCAGGACCTTGCCACCTGAGAGCCAGAATTCTGCTTCACCAAAGATGCCGACGGCAACAACATTCAGAAGACTAGAATCACACATTGACGTTTAGCATGCATACACAACAAGCACCACCGGGGCAAGAGGAGTGACAGGTGAAAAGGAGAATGGGAGGGGTCACGGGCGGGCCACACGACGAGCTCTAGCATGTCCGGTCGGTCTAGTCGCTTGTCCCTGGAATGGAAGGAAAAAGAGTCAATCGTTCCCACGAATTGGTTGTGACTTACCCGTATGCGATGATGATGGCGATGCAGAAACCCGCTGTCGGACCGGGCTCCGTGATCTTTTCGTTCCAGAAAGAGCACACGAGATTAAGCGCGGTGATTTCGAAGGGAATAAGCAGTGCCTCGTAGATGAAGTAGTTCCAGCCGACCATGAAGCCGAGAGCATCGTCAACCCAAACACCAGCCAGGCGGATGAAGCCACCAGAGACGGGCATGTAGGTGCTCATCTCGGCAATTGAGTTGTTAACGAGGGCGACGACGCAGGCGTAGAGAGTATAGGCGATGAGCAGACTTCCGGGACCGCCCTTGGCGAGGCCGCCGCCGATGCTGACGAACAGACCGGTACCGATTGTGCCTCCGATGGCAATCAGTTGAATCTGACGGTTGTTCAGGCGGCGCTGGAGGCCATCAGAGTTGTGTCGCACAGACGAGCCATAGCTGTCGAGAGAGACCCTGTCGCCAGGGACGGTCTCAACCGGGCCCTTGAGTTGCTCGGAACCCGACATGGTGAAAGAGTGAGCTAGTTCAAGCGCAACGGCTTTACTTGGACTCTTCCCCGTGGAGGTGTAGTGTTGACAGACGGAGGGAGGAGACCACTGAGTGCATGTGGAGGGAGGAAGAAACGGTTTGCAAGCCAAGTGGAAACCGTGGGCACAAAGAGAGACGTGCGGAGAGAAGAGAGGAGAAGGAGGAGAGAGCACGAGACGTTTCGAACGGAGGCACGCGAGGATAATCTCGATGGGGGAGAGTTTAGTTTTAAAGGTGGCAGCAGGCAGATCGATCAGCGTCTCGTCTGGTCAGTCGACCGGGGAAAAACTTTTGCGACCTGGGCGAACTTCTCTTTTCCCAAGGCAACGTGCCACATGCCACACAGTGTACCGAAGAGTGAGAAGAAGAATGCGCCGCGCCGGGCTACACTACACACACCCAATGCAAAAGCTTTTTTTTTTTTTTTTTTTTTTTTTTGCTGCTTGGGATTCCGCAGCTGAACAACCCACAGACGGCGTCGAACCAAACCAACCCGCGGGCTCTCGGCGTAGATTGCATCAGAAATCCAGGGACAACGACCAAACGTATCCATACAGAGGGCCAGGAACGTTGCAAGTCTGTGTGGAGTTTGACTGGGTTCGTCCCTGATTCCGTACGCAGGCGTTGTGTTGCGCCCCCCATGCCCGTGCCATCCATGGATTGTGTCGACCCCATCCCAATCCTTCGGCACGGCGCTGGGCTAAGGCAGAATATTTCCGCAATGTCGTCATTCCCTGTCTTAGCGTCCGGTTCTGAATGCATCTTTCCATTGGACGGGGGGGGGAGAACGGGGGCTTGGGGGAAGAGGGAGTGGAGGGTAACGGAATATGGGTGCGGCTAGGTATTCGCGTCGCTCCGTGCCAACATGGGAATTGTCGCCGTGTCGCCGTCTTCCGCATCGATATTTTGTCTGGGATGGTATCAGTTTGCCTTGACTAAGACGTATAACTACTACCCTAGCGACGGCTTATCGATATCAGAGTGACATAGATATCGGAACGCAGCGTTCGCCTCGCAGGATTGAGGTTGGGGGAGGCGCAATCTCCAGCTTTATCTGCAGGGACACATTGCCATCTCAGGCAATTCTATGCGGGGTTATCAGATACGTATCCCCCATAACACGGATTCATCCAGGATTTCATAATCCTCGCTCATCCCAATCTCACTTGTCAGCGCTGTCCGAAGGGCCACAAGGGTTCACTACGCTGAGGGGAAAAGAATGGGAACCAGTTGGAGTAGTCCGTGCCTTTGTGGCTGGGCGAGTTTGGCGAGGACCACTTGGTGTGTGTGTCGGACGCTGAACCGTGATTGTCGGGAGGGAGCCAATGAGCATCAGACGGACTCATCCAAAGGTCATCTTGTCGCTGCTGGGCCGTGTTTATCAGTACGGTGGCCAATCTCCCTTTGTTCTTGTGTTTCCGTGAGATGCCGACGCACAAGAATGCCTGACTCCTACAATCCCACTCGTCGCAGTCACCAGTCATCAGTGGGATGAGAAGTTTTCCTCAGGACCAAGGCACCAAGGCAGAATGGCGCGAGGCTGGGGGCGAATCCTGGGAGTATCCCGTGACACCATGTCGCCGTTAGTCGCAGTTAGTCGCAGTAGTTTTTGCCCAGCTCATCTGGGCCAATATGCCAGCGTGGAAAACGAATAACGAAAATTTGTCTTTATGTCATCTAAAGACGCAACAAGTAGCCAATCACTATTCGTCGCAGTTTCGCAGTTTCGCACAATGGTGCAAAGATGCTAAGAAACCAGCCAACGAGCGTGTCTCAAAAGATTCAACCATTATCCACTTTATATGCAGCCGCCAGTCAATGCCCAACCAAGGGATGTGGACACTTTCGCTCTTCCAACGGGGGAAATGAGGCGACCCCACAGGCTGGGTCGGTGGGCGGCAAGTTAGCGGAGGAAGGGGCATTTCGTCAAAGAGCCTACCGCAAGCGGTATGTCCCCGGTGAGAGGGTGAGAGAATGTCACTCACGATGATTGATGAGTCGTCGTTGAAAGAAGCTCATCATTCAGGGTCGACGTCGAAGGGGTCGATCATCAAGCGCGCTGATAAGGACTTGTGGTGTTTGAGCCGCAATGTCTGGCCGATAGGATAGGGCAGGTGGTGCTGGGCGTGCGCGCACGGCGCTGGGCGCTCTCATTGAGTTTTGTAGGGATCCTAAGAAACAGACCCAGGCAAAAGCCGCAAAGCACCATGGGCCATGGCACCCCAAGCAAACGACGGCGGGCGCAAGGGTGAAGAACTATGAGAGACGGACTCCCATTTGCCAAGGTCTCGTCTTACCTTGAGGAGGAATGGAGAATGGCACGACGCGCAGGACGCCGAGTCCTACGGCGTGGAGGCTACCGACGGCATGATTGGAACGGAACCGTAGAGTGGATCATTATGGGTCCCTCTCAATACCGCCCGGCCCCACCAATGCGGGACCGAAGACACCCCACTCTGCCGTTCCTCGAATGCCTGCCGCTTGACCCGTTTCTGTGTGTCTTGGCGCGTTACTGGTCCTTTTGCAGCTTTCTGAATCCGCAGCAAGGCTTTTCTCTCGCTCGATGACGTAGGATACGCGCTGCAGGCGACGAATACTCGGGCCGTCGAAGAAAAAGATCCATGCATGAGGCGCCTGTCTTGCCTTTGTCAGACGACTTATTCCCGTAAAGAGACTCGACTCATTCTCAAAGGAGCGACATTGTTCAGTAGCGAGGAATCCGCGGGCCGGCTGGCTTCGGCTACAGATACTGATTGCGCCGAAGCAATTGGATGCATTGTCCAATTATCTAATGCCAACCTGGCTGTCGGATTGTGCTCGCCATGATTGAATTCAAGGTTTCGCAGAGTTTTCGCCTCTAGCTCCTCAAATCAGGCGATGTATTCGCCATGGCGAGCACTGTGCGAGAGAAACTCTCGGGGTAATTAAAGGATTGAGTTTTTTCTGTTTGTTGCACTCAGCGTCCAATGGTTGTATTCACATCCTTCACCCATCATCCATGTCGCACCAGTGAACCTATCCCAAGTACGAATTTTTGATTAAATGTCGCAACTGCTTCTCGCCCTTGATAACAACCTCTTCGGAGGATCTCCTGGCTGGCCTTGCACGTGTTAGCCGCAAAGAGGCCTGGGCATGGGGGATCACCTGACCACACCTTGACTCACTCAATTGCATCTTCAACTGTCCGATAATTTTCTTTTTCTGCATATTTTCACCACAGGCAAGCCTCGGGTACCCAGTCGGGGGTTAGTTGCAGCCGAAGTGATCTAATTCCAAGTTCTCCATGTAGACAGACATCGTGAAATAAATATGCCTCTGCTCGCTTCACTCCTCAGGAACTTTTAGTTCTCGTCCTTGCCTAAGCGCAGTCAAATGACAACACCGACCCTCTAGAAAGAGTTTGAGATCTACGATTTTCTTTCACGGGTTAGGCCAAAAGAGCACATAAGGCCTGTCAACAATAACCGAAGACTGAATCAGGTGGGAAAGCTCCGAAGAAACATCAAACAGGGAGAGCGTTTGACGCCTAGGGTGTAGATAGCAGCTGCAGGAACATGCCGAAGGTCGCTATCAGGGCATAGTATGATCTGCGACTGCGATTTCCTTTCCAAGTTGCCGCAAATTCCAAATACCCTTGCCTGGCTTTGCATCTGACAGTTGCGGGGCCAGTGATAGTCCACAAAGCTTCTCCCCGAGCCTACCAGTACCTTATCGAGTTGACAGGAACGGCACGAACGGGTATGCAAGCAGGGACTTTGAGCTGCAACCTTCCCGTAATAGCACAGAGTCAGCCTTATCTACCACAGAGCCTACGTGAGGCTGAGCCTGATTCTTGGGCAACTTTTCGTTGTGCTTCGGGCTAGATGCCCACATCGTCCTCGGTCCTGCAGGTTCCCGTGCTTGTACTGAGCAAACAACTGACAACTAAGCTACAACTTGCAGACTTGCACCTACGAGTGCTTCAACGAATTGCCTCAAGGCTAGACAACTGCACTAGTCAGAAGTCAGGGTGAGAGTGACTCTTGCTCATTCATTTGGGCCAGACCTCCATATATCGTAATCTAAAGTTCGACTCCTCCAAGAGATCATATACACAGAAGCCAATTGTTGGCTGCACGCATCTGTCATTCTCGAACATTTGATCAACTGCAAGCCGGAAGGCATCTTGAAATTGATGATGAAATCAGTTCAAGGCGAAGGACTGTTGGTCAGACGCCAAATGTGAGAACAGAGAATTGGGTTCAGTCATAACTTGGGACCTCGAGTGATTTGTGGGTGATTGAAAATGACGCACTCCGTGTGTCTTCACATTTCGCGAACATGACTGCAATTGTTCTTTTGTGTCGCAAGGAATGTAGTTGACTTTAAGGCTGCCTGCATTAACAAACTTGCAGCTCACCATACAACTCGGGCAAAAACTAGGCGCAGCTGACCTCAACGTTGAGGCATTTCCGACATTATGCCGCACTTTGAGGTTCGGGCGAGTTGCTGACAGAGCACACGACCCAATCAAATTCTGATGTACGGGCGACGTAGCGTTTGTACCTTTCCTCTGTCGCCCGCTTACTTAGGCAGCTGACGGAAAGAACCAATTGATTGGCTATTTGCACGTGCAACAAGCACGTCTGGTCAACGCTTGCTGTTTGGGCCTGTCACGGCTCATTCGATGTTGCACATGACCTCATTGCTCAAAACCATGCCACCACGCTCGACCGCTGGGCTTCCGTTTCACTGCAATCTACTCAACCAGTATCATGTCCAAGGCACTATTCCTGCTACAATAATTTGATTTGTGCACATGAACCTCAACGTCGTTGCTCAACCAGCTCAGATAGTCATCATTGGCCATAGATCCAGAGAAGAAGAGATTGAAAGACCAGATGGCAGAACCCAGCACCAACCCCGATCTCCCGCCAGACTATACGGCGGATGCTAGCACTGTCTCGGAGAGCTTGCCACCAGACACACTCCGCCTGGCTGGCCGGTTCGTCCATTCCGCCAACACCCGGAATGCGGATGCGCCGGGAATCTTTGAGATCAACCACCAGATAGACTTCTTACGAGAAACTGATAGACTTGTGGAGTTCAGTCGCATCGACTACAGCATCAAGAAACGGCTCAATGAGTCGAGTCTTCCGCCGGAGATTGTTACCAACTCACGGCATATCTTCAACTTGGAGCGCCCACCAGCTATCCTCCAGGAAACTTTCCCGTACTACATCAAGCCAACATCTCGCAGCGGCCTCGGCAGCATAGGGTTGAGATTTGTGAAAATCGGCAAGAGCGAATGCAAGGCTTGGCTGGTGGGCCGGCGGAAGGCGAGTGACAGAACCGAGTACTACGAGGCGCGAGAGCTACTGTTTGACGTTCGCCGCAACAACGAAGTGTTCGACTGGCTTGACGGTAATGGATCAAGATTAGCAGTTGAGGAGTCCAGGAGCGGCATGTACAGCCTCAATATCCTGGTGTCCCTGGACCGGGCGATGCGAGATGCGCTGGCGGCCGTGTGGTGTGTCCGGCTTTGGTATTTGCGAGCCGTACTGTTCCATAAGAAACGTACATGGAAAGACAGTAAGTATCTATCCCTTGCGGTGATTTGAATGGCGGCATTGCTTACCAGATCATCAACCAGGGAAATACATCATGCAAACCTGCACATGGGACCTGCCAAAATGAGATTTGGGGCCAAGAGTTGAACTCAGGACGCGACTCTTTAACATTGTAACTTATTACTTGCATAGATCCAAAGCCAAGACCTTGTGATACCCCCTATTTCCCAGGTAGAAGCTCTTCCCACACTGGATGTCGTTGCTACTCCATATTGGATCGGACCCGAAGCTCTTGTTAGCGGAGACAGACCCGCTTTTCGAACCGGGGCTGCCGACGCCGATGCCGGGGCCATAACCTCCAGGTCCCACGTCACCGGATTCCGGCAAAATTTGCATCGGGAAGGCGCTTGGGAAAAGCGCGCCTACCTTAGCTTACCTTGTGGTCTGACATCATCGGCGCCATTCTAGAAACTGCATTCAACCACATTCACGCAAATTAACATTCACAAATGCCTACCACCACTACCAATCATCTTTACGGTTGCAAACATCAAACCTGCAGAAACATCCGCATCCACATCAATCGCCTGACTCATCATCTACCTACTCACCGAACCCACTCTGCACGATCACTGATCAGCGCTGTCAAATTCCCCCCACCTATCGTCGAGGCTCCTCTCAACACCACCCACCTCATCTCATTGCTCTCCACGGCAGACTCCATCACCCAGCGACGAACATGGACGGACCGTACGCCCGAGAGTTGGCAACTGCCATCGCAGCCATCCAGCACGGCGCCAAACTCAGCCGGCGCGTCCTCGTCAAAGATGACAAGGGCGTCGTCACAAAAGAGGACCTCAGCCCGGTCACCGTCGCCGACTTCGCCATCCAGGCCTTACTGACGAGCACACTGCATGCCGCCTTCCCCGACGACAAGTTCGTGGGCGAGGAGTCTGCCGCCGACCTCCGCGAAAACCCCAAACTCCTCGAGTCTGTATGGGCGCTGCTGCAGCAGGTCGAGAACGACAAGACCGCCGACTCATTATGCAAGCTACCGACGTCACCTGAGGAGATGTGCGACATGATTGACTGGTGCGGCCTTAGCGACCCTTCACCGACTGGTCGCTTCTGGGTGTTTGACCCTATTGACGGAACGAAAACGTTTGTGCGGGGCGAGCTCTATGCGATCAATGTCTGCCTAATGGAGGAAGGGAAGCAGAGCGTCGGCATCGTCGGTCTACCGCTACTCTCGGCCGACGCGAAAGCGCCCATCAACAACGACTCCATCGACCCCACCGGTACCGGCAGCATCATGTTCGCAGTCAGAGGGTACGGAACTTTCGTCCGGCCGCTTCCAGGCCCGATCGATCTCGAGCCCACAAAGATCCCCCGCCACGCCGATGTGGACACGCAATCCCTGGTGTCAGTGACATGCATCGAGGGCTCCGAGTCTGGGGCTCCGGGTATCCACCAAAAAGTCGCCGAACGTCTCGGCGTAGCGTACCCGGGCAATGACTTGCTCGGTTGGGTGCTGCGGTGGACAACCTTGGGTCTGGGCCAGGCGAATTGCACGTTCTGGGTCTATAGGCGGCGCGATCGGCTCGCAAAGATCTGGGACCACGCGGGCGCCATGCTGCTTTTTGAGGAGGTCGGCGGGAAAGTCACAGACGTTGACGGCAATCCGGTAAATCTCGTAGCGGGACGGAAAATGAAGGCAAACTACGGTTTCATCGCGGCACCGCCGTCAGTCCACGCAAAGGTCCTGGAGGCTGTGAGGGAAACGCTGAAGGAGGAAGGCCTGCATGAACTCTTGGGTTAGAACGTAGGGCGAAGGTCGCCCGTCGGCATTTTCGGAAATTTAGAGACAACTGATTCCTGCATTCTCAACGCCCGCTTGATTTCTAATCTTCCTACGCCCGCTTGATTTCTAATCTTCCTACGCCCTATAATATCGGGGAGACGAAATATGTCTCCGAAGGTGGAAACAAATTCCTAAGCGGTGCCGTTTCCACCTGCCTTACCACGCATTACGCAGAGACAAGAGTCATGCAACTTAAAGTGGTTTAAGGTTTCCACCTAATGTATCAAGCTTCACATACTCACGACTCGGCAACTACTCATCTCATCGAGTACGGAGTACTCCGTGCTTCTATCCCGCCGGGCCATATTTGGCAAGAAGCTCTTGCTGTTATATCAAACCTATAAAGTAGACCACAACTCCAAAGAACGCATCTTCTGCCCCTTCAGAATCACCAAACTTGCTACTCACACTCTTTTGACCATTCGCTTCTTCCACTCTTTCAAAAGTATTCATTCATTATCTCATTTACCATCTCATTCACCATGCGTGTCCTCGCTACTCTTCCTCTTCTGGCCATGGCTGCCCTTCAAGTCGCTGCTGGCGACTTCTCCAAGACATGCTCCGGCACGTCCTACTTCTCCACCACCGTCAGCTCGAACTGCGATGACAGCGAGGAGGGAGACTCTTACTCGACCGACCTGGATATGACCAAGTGCCTGGCCAATGTCGGAGGCAAGATTGTCGTAAGTTATCCCGAAAACTCAAGCTCTTTCGAGTCGCTGCACCGTTGAACTCAAACTGACGTGGTCTCTCGCAGTGCCGTCCTGCCAAGTAAGGAATAAGTCGTGAAGTGAATCGGATTACTATAGGTACTGACATATTGCGAAAGCCCTTCGTTTAAGTTCTGCGACTGCGGTCTTGCAGGCGACAAGAAGGTCCTGAACTGCCGCTGCACTGACTCCACTGGCACGAAGAGACCCTCCTCCCTGAACCTTGGTAAGATGATCATAGGTTGTTTATCCATGGCCATATCAAGCACTGACTTACCGTGCTAGACACGTGCTTGAGCAACATTAATGGAGACCTCAAGTGCTAAGGCTCTCACATTTGACGGGCTTAGTTCAGAACTGGGATTATTAAACTAAAGCATAGCGAGCGCACCTTATAGCTGCTATTCAATAGAATTTTCCGTGCTTTTTGATTCCACTTACGGATAGACTCGATGTGTGAAAGAGGGTGAAACGAATCTCGGGGAACAAATCTTGAAGTCAACGAATCCATTCGTACCATTGGTGTTCACAACAGTCAAGAACATGGCTCCATGCTCGTAATGCCAAGGCTCGAAGCGCCAAGGCATACTACCAGCGCTTCACAAACTGCTTTCTTGGCAATGACTCGCGTTATCAGATTGCATCTCACCTTTTTCAACACAACTAATCTCTGACGAGTCACCTGGCCGCGCGCCCACGGCATCGCCAGACCGACCGCCCGCAATTCGAGCCAGTAGCCTGACTCGCAGTACGAGTTACGGTGATTTAGGGCACCACCGAAGCCTAATCTTATTTCTCAGCGATGACGCCGGGGCCGCCGGTGCCGTAGTCTGGAACAATCAATCAAATATCCTTTTTCTGCCTCATCAGGAAAGCACAGATTTCCTCGCCGCAGCGTTCTGCAATAGGGAATTACTGAGTCAAACATGAGACGAGGCGCGCCAAAGCATCGGGTTCAATCCGAACTCTATTGAATTAGTTCGTCTCATCGCAATCTTTCTAGACGGTATTCGGGGACAACGCTGTTAGTTTGACGCCGAGCTGCTGGGATGGCTTTCCATCATGAGGTGTCCTACCGACCTTATATAGATGGGCGTTAAAAACTGACGGGATTTACACGTCAGTCTAGCCATCAACGCCAGTCACTCATTCTCTGGCTCACTAGCCACTCAACTCTCTAACTTCAATTCAGTCTTTCAAAACTATATTCCCTCCAACATGAAGTTCTTGCTCGTCCCCGTGGCCATTGCCCTCTTCTCCACTGCCTACGCTGCTCCCAGTGCGCCTGCCGCTGAGAACGTTGAGCTGGTCGCTCGCGGCAACTGCCCCGCCGCGCAGGACTGCCAGTGCACGGCGTAAGAACCTTTCCGTTCCACTAGCATGAGTTCTTGGACTGACTGTGGCATCTGGGATATAGCAAGTTTGACAAGTACGCCAACCCCATCGAGTATGGCTCTACCGTCTCGGCCCGCATCTCCGGCGCGGACCGCGGCCTGACGACCTCTGACTGGCGCGGCGCCAACGGCTACGGCAGCGCCTCTCTGTGTAGAGTTACGGTCAACCGCGTGTGCGGCGACTGCAAGGCCTGGAAGACGACGACGAATGAGTGCGGATACTATAGCTTGACCACCTTTAACTGCGTCAACGCATAAGCGACGGAAGCTCTTATTTGGGTCAATGGCGTTCTTGATGTGTAGCATTAGCATTGTATTATCAAGTGGTTGTCATTGATCAATCACGCCTGATCCAAAGTGCTGAGATGAGTGAACAATGCTTGTGAAGCACATGATGCATTATCCACTTACCTGCAAGATACTGATATCTGAGTCTCGGAATGAGATCCTCCCTACCTAGGTTTTTGAATGGTGTTCCTTAGACTTGCGATTGTGAGCTAATAGAATGTCAGAGAAGTCATTCCCTATGGGACGATTTGCCTCGCTTCTTATTGGAAGATTGTATCTTCCACCGGGAACGATGGAGGAATCGGCAGAGGGGAGGATGATGACGATCGGGTTGTCATTGGTAGCAGTCTATGCCTTGGCGCTGACATCTCTCGGCTATCCTGCTACCTCATTAGTGCTCTCGCAGCAGCAGCCGTGGTGGAGATTGAGCTGTCAGATAGTTCTCCGCCTTCTATGCTACCATTGACGTCGCATGCGACCTGTCCGCTGAGTGAATGGATATGCAGTATGGGATTCTGTTGACCGTCTCGAACGGATGGAACATTCAGGTATGCGCAGGGATGAATGCTGATAGGGCCGCTCGTTGGACAACAGTACGAATGCCACAGATCAGGACTAGTGCTCCCGCAAGTTGCTCGGGTAGCTTACTGCTTTCTGAACACGATCTCTGGACATAAATGCATGCGTTAAGAAGGGCTCACCCTCCATTGATATTTTGAACGTGTAATGATTTGTTACAATCTTTTTGCCAAGTTATTCGCCTTGCATATTGACATAATATTACAATGGCGCCTTCTCTTGTCGATTCATACGGCTACAAGTTCCGCCAGACGGAGCTTCACATGTCAGCCGAGCAACTTGACCCGTTGAAGGACAAGTTCGATGAAGTGGGGTCAGATGCTCTCACAGCTCTGGATGGCATGTTCCCTCCCCCTCCGCCTCGGGCTGGGTGGTACGCCAAGGGGAAGCAGGAAGATCCCCAGCCTGACCGCGATACTTACGCCCTGCTTCGTGACCATCCCGAGAAGGATGCGAGGCTCCTGAAGCTTTGGGACGAAGTCAACGCCGTGCTTGAGTGCATTAACTGGGACCAGATCAAGCGGGGGCAGGATGTCTTCTACCGCTATGCACCCGCTGCAGTCACTTGACTTGCGTTTCAAGGATTGCTTGCTACGACTGTAAGTGTCCTTTGAGAACGAGAAGACTTGGGGGACTGGAAATTCACCACGAAGATACTGATGCACTTTACAGGGAGCCTCCTACTGACCGGCAGAGACCTTGGTTCGCACTGGTGGCCACTCCGCCAAAGTTGCCAAGAACAGACTTTTCGAGACATTCCAGCTCCTTCTTCAAGTCACAAAATCCCTTGAAGATATCAAGCCCGGAGGTGAAGGCTTCGCATCAGCCGTTCGCGTCAGGCTACTTCACGCCGCTGTACGAAGCCGAATTTTCAAGCTCAACGCGCAGCGTCCCGGATACTTTGACGTCGACAAATACGGCGTCCCTATCAACGAGCTCGACTCGATGCAATCCGTGTGCGCGTTCTCCACCAACCTAGTCTGGCTGGCTTTGCCGCGCCAGGGTATCTATGTCCGTCATCAAGAAGCTTTGGATTACCTCGTTCTATGGCGATGGGTTGGATACATCCTAGGAACTCCCCACTGGATCTTAGAAACACCCGAGTGTGCACTAGCATCCATGGAGTCACTTTTGAAAGCCTGCCTTGCCCCGAGCAAGAACTCTCGAGCTTTAGCCAACAACTTGGTCATTGCTTTGGACGGCGTTCTTCCTATCCATGAGCCAAAAGAGTTTTTCGAGGCTGGAACGCGCTTCATCAACGGTGATGAGATGTGTGATGATGTTGGGCTTGGGAAACCCGGTCTGTACTGGGATGCCGTTATCAGAGGTATCATCTGGACTCTGATGGTGATCACTTATATGTCGCGCTCTATCCCTGCTTGGGATAGATGGCAGATCAAGGTAATTCCGCTATCATGTAAGCTGAATGGAGTCTTGGTTATTCCCATATACTAACGCAAGGTGTCAGTTTGGAAGTCCAATTCGACCGCGGATAAGGGCAAGAGCATGGGCCACCTCGAGGTGGTACAATTAGACCGCGACTACCCAACTAACCTACGGTTGGAATCTCCCTTTTACACATTACGCAGAATCAATCAATACAGAGATATTGATACTTCGTCACCCCCCAGGACCCTACGGTTCGAACCAACTTCCCCATAATAGGGATACCAATACAAGGTCTTCAGACATTCCGAGCTCTGTTCTGGGACTACATCGTAGAGAACAAGGATACCCTAAAGGGAGGGTACAAATATGAGTTTAAATACGTGCCGCACCATGATGCGAAGACTGGCGCTGAGACTGCAGATGGGCCACGGCTAAAGAATGGTATTGGCCATTTGGAAATCTTTGGCCTTGTTGGGTTTTCCGTTGCCGTGTTGCTCGCGACCGGGCTCTTGACCATAGTTGCTAAGTTGGGATTCTTGTACGCGGCCAACAATCCTCTTCAGGCGATCGTTGCAGGGAGTCCTCTTAAGCCTTGATAAGAGAGTTCTAGAGTCGGTACATGTGTTCATCCAATGGAAGGATTTTACTTCCGAAATGATCATGCAGTGATGAGGTATTGTTCGTTTAGAAATATACAGTTCCTGGCCTCAGCCCACCCTCAACTTCCGCTTTTCCACTGCCCCTCACTCCCACTCCCGTTTCAGGAGGTAGTTCCGTGAGACAAAGAGGGATGGTATTTGCTCCTGATAGGTGCTTGGTATTCATCGTTTCCTAGGGCTTACCCGCTTCTCAGCTGCCTAAAGGTACCGTCAATTTCAGGTGCTTGGGGAGGCCACCATCATGCATGCAATCACCTATCTCATGAGACGCCTAGCCTCGATTATTTATACATTCCATACCCGAAGCAACTGTGATCTGCTTCAAAACACCCTCGTTGGCCTCTCGAACCTCCACTGGACGCATATCATGCGTTGGATTCCTCCAGCCTGGGCTAGAGCTGTAGGCTCGAACATCGGAATGGCCAAAGCTGGCTAGAATCGGCCGTCCCCCCCAACGTGGCGTTGGCGAACTGTATTCTAGCCTACCCCAAACTCTTCGGGGCTGAGATAAAGTGCTGCTTAGTCTGACATGGAGGGTGGCTTAATCCTTGCTCGTTGCGGCTGGAGGATACAGAATGAGAATGGTTAGCATGTGCGTTTCACGCAGCCTGCTCGAGCCCTCCTCTTCACTTTCACAATACATCAAGTGTGGTTCAAGACAGCCTGGTGCTGGTAAAATACGGGACACCCTTACAGATACTGAAGAATGATAAATAATCGCTTGGCCTTTCCCATAGCTGGCTGGAACGATGTAATTTGGCTCTCTCGCGTCCTTCACTTTTTTCAGCGACGTTTACGGTTGTGACTTACCGAGACGGATACTAAGCCATAATGGGGGCTTCCATCTCGACTACGCGATGCAAGAACCACTACAACCCGATTGTGAATTGCAACACTACCAATAATCCTTCTGGAGGGCTCCGGATTATCAGCGGCTTGGAGCGCGGGTAGGTCCCCCCCGAGCCGGACATTGCGGGCGTCGGGGTGCGTACTACTCCTACCGCATACTCTGCCAACATGGGACCGCAGTGGTAAATGATCCTTGGTTTAGACCGTATCTGTCTTTCTTGTGGTCACATCGTTTGCCCTCCTTATAAGCATACTGGATGTAACCTGGACGAGAGTAAAACGTCATCGGACAGTAAAACGTGATCGGATGAAAAATGACCAGTAAGAGTGCCTATGTTTATCGCAACAAGTGCATAGAACATCGGGATTGCTAAAATTGAAGGTGGAGTAGCGATGAGAAGAAGTCTAGTCCCGAACGGCCGCGCTCGCCAAAGTTCAGTCTCTCGGATTGGTTCCAAGCCTTGGTTGTTTCTTGCAGCGACTAACAAGTCTTTACAGGCGGAGCCTACCTTATCACCTTTAATTTTTGGAAGGGCTGTTTTATTACGGCCTATCACTACGTTATAATATTGTCGCTAATTTAGTTCTTTATTAAGTAGTGGTGCTGTGTTACGCCCGCCGCAACTTGTCACTGTGGGCGCGTAGCTATATAATGCAGAACAAGGGACAATGATGCCGGAGTCATCATTATCGAAGCTTTTGCTTTGTGCCACAGTTGGTTGCCTTGACCTGCTCGTAACATGCTGATATAGGGTAAATGCTCTTAGAGGCTAACTAACTACAGTTAGGGGTGAGATAATGAATTACCAAAAAATATTTTTCCCTCGACGTAGTTATATTTTTTATATTATATAACTAACTAAGTTATGTATTTGAACTATTATTTTATTATCCAGGTCTTTTATTATTCTTAATTAAATTTTATCCGAGTAAGCTTTAATAGGGCGCCCTTTCAATTTAATTTAATTTTTAAAGTTTAACGTACTTACATAGCAATGTTACAACCCAACATGCATGACCAAGAACAGGACCTGCCCCGCAGGCTCGCGGCGGTTATAATACACCACATATGCAGGAGATAAGGGACACTAGGCACCCTCTCACGGAACGGAAGAACTATGGTACAAGTCACGTGATGATAAGATAAGACATGAGCGGCCATGGTGGGGCCATGAGCGACCATGGTGGGGCCATGAGCGCTCATGCCAAGTAATGAGCGCTCATGCCGAACAATGAGCGCTCATGCCGAACGATGAGCGCTCACCCGATCAGAGGAACTGATCATTGACAAGGGATATGTTCAGGACCAGGACTTGTATATAGGATGGACTCGAGCCGGACTCTAGGACAGACTTTCCATAGCTCTTCAGCAATTAACTTCGTATCAGGATTAACATCCGCTTTCAGCTACTACCTTGACAAGACTACGATTGATCACCGAAGCCTTACCTACCCTTACGATTGACAGACATAGTTTCCTTGAAACTATTCCACGACTACGATTACTGTTACCAGTTCCGCAGCCTCAACTTCTGCAAACTACCCCTACGACTAGCTGGCCGTAACAAGCAAGCGACGCATCATAGCGAGCGACGCACGTCCACCTAATTCTACCCTCTTCATCTTTAGGATACCTTTTCTCTACGTACGAACATGCAATCCTCCTTAATTAAATGTCCAATTATCCTTGCCCTCTAAGCTATTGAAAAAGACCCGAATATATTTATATAAAGAGCTGCCTCTACCTTTAATGTCGGTCGTTATTTATAAAGACTATTGGAAAAAGCCCTTGCTGGCGGTGCTGCGGGTTTTCTTCATCACCGCCGTATTCATTATGACCGGGCTCCTCCTGTCGAACCAGAACGTCAGCAAAGACATTCCATTCCCGACGAACGTGCCTCCAAAGAACGAAACGGACAGTCTACTCTTTCTACAGGCGCCTTGCTTTCAGTAAGGGAACGACGTGGACCAATTCAAGTATACCCTGATCGACTCAGTAAGGAATGGCACAGCCGCGGCGAGGACGTTCCTACATAGTACGCCCGGAAATTACATACAAGGCTGGAATGTCTATCTCATGATTCTCGTGTGGTATGCAATCTCCATACTAGCAGAGCTGGGCCGATGTTGCTACCGACGCAAGGGCAGGAACCGCGGCGACGGACAGACGAACGGTATAGTAAGACTCATGTACGAGCATACCTCGTCGGTGGCATTGGAATCTGCGGGACCACAGTGGTGATCTCGGGTAATTACATGATTAAATTAAGGCAATTGGTAAAAAACTCGCGATAGCTTGAACGCGACGAGGGTGGACAGAGTGAGGAAGACGACGCCACGTCTTTCATTCAACTCGTGCCTGTTATCTTGACCGGGCTGACGGCGTTCACATTCCTCTCAATGCTCAGCGGTAAGTCAGGTATCTTCCTCTCTAATGCCTTCCTGAAAGCTAAAACTTCACGAGAAATGTGTGCTAGACGTCGAAAGCCTGAGAATGGTTATCTACAGGTCGGCCAGCAGCGTATCTAAGCACAGTAACCAGCGCGCATGGAGTTAATTGGGATTACAACGGTTTCTCTCACTGCAACAAGTCTCGGTGCAGACTTTTCGTCAATCCGGAAAAGTAACGCCTAGACGGCAATTAATTCGGATAGTGAGCTCCTAGGTGTCTGGAATTCCCTTTGTTGATCAAACATTACCGGTGGCTTATGCTTCTGCGTTGAACATCTTGGCTCGTACTTTGCCGTTGGATAATTGATATGTACCATATGCGAATGGGTTGGGGAAAGTTGTCTTCTCAGAACCTCGCTCCTTTTCGCTGAGTGCCCAGTCTGTTCATATTCGCTCTTCCGCAGTTGCAGCCTGTTGCAGGGTATTGTATTCGTTCTAGCGGTACTTTAAATCATCCCTCTGACTCGGTCTCGCACCAGAGTGCGCCGCGTCCAATTCAGGCGTATTTGATGCCGCAGCATCAAGTTCGTAAGTCGGTTGCATCGCGGAATCCATTTCTGCCCGTGGTTCCGGAACTGCGAGCTCGTTCACCCCGCCACCATTTCCTCCGTATCCCTGTCCATCCTTTCGTTCGTATGCCCACGCCGAAGAGCCCGCCTCCGTTGCAGGAATTGCTCCGGCCTTTGCACCAGCCGAGCTTCTCTTCTTCCTCCGCCAGAGAAAAAAGATTCCTGCAATGATCAGGACTCCGCCAGCAACGCCTCCGACCGCAGCCCCGGCTATCGCCCCGGTAGACATTGAGGATGAATCGCTCGATCCCGACGGCATGGTGGTGGCCGTGATCGCGGCCGTGACGGAAGCTCCGGTAGTGGTGGTTGCAGCCGTGGAAGCCGCAGTCGCAGTCGCTGATGTTGTGGCAACTGTCGAGGTAGTCGATATCGTAGAGCAGTATGAGGTGCTCACTGTCTCGGCCCAGAAGATGTTTGAACCAAGCGCTGTTGCCATCGTGGGAGTACACAGCAGGGCGATGCCGTTCGAGTCATCGCGGTACGTGCCGTTTTGCCCGGATTGGCAGCACCATCCGCCATTGTCGAGCTTTCCTCCGACTCCCCAGAGAATCCAATCTGAATTAGGACACTATCATTCTCAGGATCAGCGTTGTTCCGATGCTCAAGGAGCTGGACTGCAGTTGCCCTCACCTTAGGGTATTTCAGCGACAAATCCCGGCAGTCAGAAGGATCTATTGACTCAGGATCAGCATCATGTCGATTGTGATTTCGAAACAACATTTACCAACCTTCACAACAGTAATTGCCCACGTAGTCACCATCTCCAGTGCATTTGAAGCCTGAGGGGCAGCATCTCGGCTGCGCTCCTGTGCCGCACTCGACGGGTGCGCTGGGCGGACACGATCTATCGTTTCGGAGCGCCCATCCCCCTTCATACGCGCATTCTTGCGCGAAAGACGTATGGACAGCGATAGATGCCGCGGTCACGAGAGCTCGGAGGCTGAATCGCCATCTAGTCGCGTCAAAATCCATGGTTTCAAGGCGCAATGACAGGACAAGTTTCCTTGGTGATGACATTTGGCGCGGAGAGAAGGTCGTAAAAATGCCAGGGTTCCCTGAAAGGGATCAAGATCATTAAAGATGAGCGGAAAAACAGTTCGGCAGAAATACACAACGGGATCCGCAACGCCGCGGAAAGAAGGGACTTTCGTCGAAGGATTCAGCTTATGGGGACCTGAAGGATCAGCCCTGCGGGTGGCTGCATAATTATCATCCTCCATACGAGATGAAGCTGGTGCGACGGGCCGCTGGTTCGTTAGTTTAGCGGGTTAGATTCTGGTATATGGCACCATTGGGTGCAAGGTCATTTCTTCTTACGCGCTGCCAAGCGTTGGCAAATGAGACCTTACTGCCTGTTTTGCCCAGTTGTCAGAGCCCTCCCGGATAGGGGCTAGTTAGAGGTAGTAAGGAGTCCAAGCAACAAAGGAGTAGCTCAGATATATATACAGCGCAGGAAGTACACGTCGAGGGAGGAGCAGATTTCAGTAATTCATCATTCTACCCCTAACTATAGTTGGCCTCTGAGAGCTTCCACCCTGCGTCAACATCCCAACTTGACAGTCTGAAATCTCTACCTACGAAGGGGACCAGGCCGGAAGCTCGAAATACTAGCCTAAACGAGATATAGCGAGAGAGCGTAGTTAGCGCGATAATAACATAGAAAAGAGATATTATTTTATAACCTCCTAGAACCCCCTCAAGTTCAGCTAGTAGGACTAGGTCGCGGCTCTATAGGCCGCGAGATATAATAAAATAAGAGGAGTATTATTTAGATAACTACGTTAGAGGATGACGAATATAACGATTATGACGAAGATATTAACCCCTCCTTTCCCCCTCCTTTGGGCCGTAACCGCACTAATAGCGACCGACTCTCGTAACTACGAGAGGAAGAACAACTCCTAGAGGAGGAAATCCTTATTACTACGTACAAAGAACGCCTATACAAGAGGCGCGCCGATCTAGAACGCCTCCAAAGTACTTTGGCCAGTCCGGCTCCCGGATTAAGATAAGCGGTTTCAGTCGCGCCCGCTCCCTTTTGTTTGTTTGTTTTGTTTGTTATATTTAACGCCGTGGCGGCAAGGGCGCAGCCGCCCTTGCGGCCGACCTCCCGAAGGGTATATGGCGTGGAGAGCCGTCGCCCTATAACTATTGCTAGATACAGTTCAAATCGTCCTCCAAATCGTGCCTTATGGCTACTATGCGTTCTATCTGTCCCTGGTTCCCGCTGGTGCCCCAGTTCCATTCTTGAATTTTGCGGCTTAAGGCCGGAAATGTCTGGAGAGGGCGGCGGCCTGCCGAAACAGGCCCCTCGTACATGTTCTGATTTGTACAAGACCATTCCTGCTCCAGTACTTGGTTGACGACGTGTACTCGCCGCATATCCACTTTTTCTTGGTCGGAGGGTGTGGATATGAGAAAACCCTGGCGAGGGCCCGGAAAGGGTCCTAGTCCCCGCATTGGGCTCTGCCCTACCCTTCCCACAGGTAGTTAAAGCAGTTGCCGGCGGCTGGAATCGAACCAGCGACCTCTGGGCTCCAGAGGCCTTGGCAGGTGTATGCCACTACACCACGCCGGCCGCGCCCGCTCCCGGAGTTATGTTAAGCTTAGCTAAGGCTATAAACCTCCGTAATACGGTTAGCCCCCTTACTTAGGCTATATTAGGAGCGCCGTCAGAGCAACAACAAAGCGACGAGTTCATCGCCCCCAAGCCACCTTCCACAAGCTCCTTACTAACAGAAGCGGCGGTCATAGGAGGCTCTTTGGTATTCAGGCCTCTATTCCTCCCCAGCCTATCGTACACGGGCAAGTCGGCAAGGGACTTACAGAGCTTTCTATTCGACTATTACTACCGCTTCGACTTATAAGCGCAACAGATGAAAAGCGACCGCGACAGAGTAGCTTACGCAGTAAGCTGCCTATAGATATGACCCTCATACTGATCTTCCACTTAGAGGAATCAAGCCATTTTCTACTATACATGTCTTCCACTTGCTACCTCGCTTTGTGATAAACCCGGTGTAAAATAGCATCAAACCGAGGTAAACGAGAAGAAGAGTCCAGCCTTGGCCGGCTCCTGTTGACTCCTTCTTCTTGCCACATAACCCAAGTGAAAGGGCTTTGGAAATTCCAGGTTGGATTGTGCCAGTTGGCTTGTTCTATTAAATTTGAACATCGGACTTTTTGTTCTTACTATCTTTCTAATAAAAATCTCCTCACTATTTGAGATAGGCGTGCTTACACCACCACTATACGACCGCCTGATTTTCTCTTGATTCTATTTTGAAGATTTGACTCCTGTTGCAATGACGCCAATAAACCCTCCTGCCATTTCTCTGTTCAATACGAGTAGGTCCACTTTGATATCCCATGCCACATTGCCACTTATCCATCCGTACGGTGCTGTTGCTCCAATGTGGTCTCCACGGCTTCTAAGCACTCCTGCTTCTGAAAATTGTCCAGGTCAGGCCAGCCATGTTGGCGATATATACCCTGTAGTCTTTCCACCAAGCCGCCCGAGTCTGGTATGAGCCACGCGTATACGTCGATAACATACAGTAGACTGGTGGGGATGAATTTCAGTTTTAAGGACTGATCTTTGAGGACTTCGAAGAAACCCTTTACGGTCCAGCCAGCGGCACCGCCACGCCAGTCGGCTTCGTTCTCTGGGGCCCACTCATGAGGATCGTCGAGGACTTTCGGGTGGTCGTAGGAGGGATTGTCTGAGATCTCGCCTGGGCATTCTGACCAGTAGATTATGCCAAGCTCCGTATCCAAAATGAAAACATAATTTTCGCGGCCACCTTTTGTGAGACCACAACCTCCACGAAACATCTCTCCAGCTTGGCACGGGCTGTTAGTGCAATGCTAAGGAGGGGCCCCAGTCCCCGCGGTTTGCCGCTGCGCGCTGGGGTGGATTAGCTATATGCTAATTAAACCCTTAATAACGCATATTTTCCCCTCGAATCGAGCCGACGATTATTCAACCTAACGAGCCGCCGTCGACTCGAATTCGCCTTCCGTAGGCTAGACGAAGTCTTCCTGGTAGGGCATGGAGTAGAGGTTCTATCTAGCCTCCCGAAGGAGACGGGCGACTTTCTTTCCCGGCGCAAGTGGCGCTTCCGGCCCTAGATTGAATATCACCGACCGACTTTTTGACTTCACTCTCTTAGTACCTTTGCCCCTTAAAAGATCGAAGACTCCTTCGAAGAGACGAAACGACTATTGGGTAGCGATGTGTAGCTACGGTTATATATAGCTATGCTCGTTATAGAACCTAACAGTAAGCCCTATAACCTAGTCTTACGAGGTTTTGCCCTTTGTGGTTTCCCTTGTGGCGGTATTACTTATTATGATATATTCCGGACGGTTACTGGAACGTTGTGTAAACTAGAAGCCTGCGGGCTCTGGGTCGAAGGATAGGAGATACTGGCGGAATTGCGTTCTGACGGTTAGTCAGGGTGGCCAGCGGAATATGCATATATGAGTGAGCAGAAAAGAGCGTCTATTCGTACTAAAGAGTGGATGGAATCACCACAGGCTCATGGGCCTAATGCTATCCTAATAAGCCTTGCAGAGCTAGGACCAGGTGGAAATGACAGTCTGGCCTGTTTCGTGATGGTCAGACCATTCCGAATGGGTTATGTCCATGACTCGCATAGGAGCATGCATGGATTCTGTCACGTTCTAGGAACGACCATAGTACTGTCTCGGGCAAGCCAGCGGCACCTAGAGACAGGTTAAACACATAGTTGCCTTTGGGCACGATTTGGAGGACGAGCTGGACTGTATCTAGTGATAGCTATAGGCCTACGGCCCTCCACGCCACATACCCTTCGGGAGGTCTGCCGCAAGGGCGGCTGCGCCCTTGCCGCTACGGCGTTAAAATATAACAACTGGTTACAACAATTTTGTGAGACCAATCACGTGGGATGGTGCGTTGTCGTAGATATCAGAACCCTCCGACATGATTTTTAGATCCTGACCATCCATGCCACGTTCGATACGGGCGCCAGTATGTTGCCAATCAGCGAAACGGCACCAAGGAGCACCCTGGGCCTGATTGATTGGATTACTCGGGGCACGAATGTAGGGTAGCTGGCGCAAGAGAGAAATGACCTCAGCTGTCTTATTCATGTCTTGAAACGATTCCGATGAAATGGTAGCCCAACCTCCCTCTGGGAGATAAATGATGTCCTCTTCGTGGAGATACATCGTAGCTAGAAACTTGTAATAGTCGCGGACTGATGCTATGCACTCCTCGCGGGAGTAGCTGCAATCGTTAAGGTCAGTCATTATCGCAGTCTTGAGGAAGTCACAGCCCGAGAGGGATGCAGGTCTGAAGGAAGAGAATGTTTCGAAAACAGGAAATATTTCGCTCGCCTAAGTGGCAAAGCGGGAGTGACTAGTTGGACATCCAGTGACCCCTGGTAAGGCAGCATGAGGTCAGGATGAAGGGGAAGACAGATTGCAGCAACTCGCAATTGGCGCGGCTTGATCAAGGTTCGAAGCACGGTAGCACCTTGTGGGCTGGTGGACCATCCATACCTCACGTAAAACCCTGCGATACCAGACCAATGGTCAAGGGCTATTATGATACCAGTCACCTGGAGTCTTCGAGGTCCAGGGACCCGGATGTCTGCTAATCTTACGATCAGTTTACAATTCTCGTGTGCCTTGAATAAAGGTCCATGTAGCCAGCAGAAGTTGCGTTTCCTAGGTAATTCCATCCATTGTAGTATTATCACCATAGTTTCGAGTGACACATTTTCATTTTCAGTAACGTGGTTCATCAGTCAGCCGGCCGGACCAGTCAGCCGGACGTTTTTTTCTAAACACACTTATGTCCAAACCACTTAAACCTTTGACGCGTAAAATCTCAACAACCATAATGCCAATCTACACCCAAGAAGACAAAGTCATTCTTGCGATTGAAGCGATCCGATCGACACGCGCTGCAGGTAGTAACTTGAGCATTTCGCGTGCCGCAAAGACCTACGGTATCCCGAAGAGCACCTTAGCCGATAGAATGAACAACCGACCGCGACGCGAACAAACTCAACCCCAACGACATAAACTCGATCCGATCGAAGAGAAAACACTTCTCCAATACGTTATTGAACAGGATTCCAGAGGATTTCCTTTGCGCCTTGGCGGTGTAGAAAATATGGCCAATCTCCTGCTGCGAGCGCGTAATGCCGAGCCTGTTGGCAAGCGATGGGCCAGGCGGTTTGTGGACTCACAGCCTGCTCTGAAAACCAAGTTTAATCGTCCATACGATTATCAAAGGGCTCTTCAAGAAGACCCAGAGGTTATTTCAAAGTGGTTTGTGTTGTTACGCAACATGATGATCAAGTATAGAATCCAAGAGGAGGACCTATACAATTTCGACGAGACTGGCTTCATGATGGGCATGATCACCGCGTCAATGGTGGTAACACGCGCCGATCGACGCGGCAAAGCAAAGTCTGTCCAGCCGGGTAACCGTGAATGGGCTACAGTCATTGAATGTATCAATTCGGGCGGGTGGTGCATCCCTCCGTTCGTGATCGTCAAGGGCGTATATCACCTTGCCAGTTGGACCACAGAATCAGGTTTTTCGAGCAACTGGGTCATCAAGCCCACTGCTAATGGATGGACGGATAATCAGACGGGTCTTGACTGGATTAAACACTTCGACAAACAAACTAAGAACCGAACTAAGGGCGTCTACCGGATGCTCATTATCGACGGCCATGAGAGCCATTTATCGGCCGAATTCGACGATTACTGCAAGCAGAACAATATTGTAACGGTCAGTAGTATGCCTGCACATTCGTCGCATATATTACAGCCATTGGATATTGCGCTTTATTCGCCTTTGAAACGTGTCGCAGCGCCACACGTGGCGCTGCCGGTTACTGCCGTACGATACCGCTTTCCACAAGCCCATTACCCGTCTTGTACGGTATATAGATAGGACCCTCATACGGGTCTTCCACTTAGAGGAATCAAGCCACTTTCTACCATACAAGTCTTCCACTTGCTACCTCGCTTTGCGACAGTTATGAGCCCAGGATTCTACCGGTAGCACAACCGTCTAAAGTGTAGCTTTGACGCGTACCCACATCTAAAGCCTCAGGTTCAATTCCCGCTCGGGTAGGCAGTTTTGCCGCCTAATCAGGTCTAAAAGAGCCCAAGTGCCACCCAACAAGCCCAGAGCGGCCACGGGTAAAAGCGTACAGACCCCTACCCTTCCACAGGGCTAGGATCTGAGGGGGTGTGTCGTAGGGTATATATGGCGTTAATTGCTGCCCGTAATTAACGGCGTCGTTTTTGCGACAAAACGCGCATACGGTGATAAAATCAACCTATTTATCAGAGCCTCCATAAACCACATCACCAAGTCGGAGTTCTTTATTGCCTTCTACCAGGCCCACAACAAAGTTTTTAATGAAGAAAACATTAGGGCTGCTTTTCAAGGCGCTGAAGTTTCACCATAGAACCTAGAGCATGTCATTGAAAAGCTTGATGTACGTTTACGGATGCCTATACCTCCTGTGGCCAGCCCTTCAACACCACCACCTTGGCAGTCGCAAACGCCCTCTAACCCACAACAAGCCGTCTCGCAGTCCAACTTTATCAAAAGCCGGATCTCTGCTCATAAAAGAAGCTCACCGACACCAATTATTGCTGCAGTTGAGCAATTGTCAAAGGGTGCGCAGGCAATGGCGCACTCAATCACTATTTTGACTGATCGGCTTCGTACCCTTGAGGATGCGAATGTAGCACTTGCTAAGCGTCGGAGGGCTAAAAGGTCGCGTGTGCAGCTTAGAGGGGCACTTAGTATAGAGGAATCTCAGGGTTTGCTGGAAGAGAAACAAAAAGGTAAACGTCCAGCACCTCGAGAGGATGAGGAGGGGGGTCCATCAAAGAGAGCCCAGCCGACTCGGAGACGCTGTGGTGCGTGTGGTAAGACTGGGCATAATGCACGAACCTGTTCCAAAGATGTCGAATTATCAGGAGATTCTGATAGCGATAACCAATAATTGATTTAATGCGTTGTGGTTGAGAAATACTAGATGTTGTTGTGGACGTGGGAAAAAACGTCCGGCTGACTGGTCCGGCCGGCTGACTGATGAACCACGTTAGTACTTATGAGAATAAAATAGAATCCATGGATCCTCTGACGATTAACATAGTAGTAGCATTGAATCATTGGCACCTTAGTTGAATTGACCCCATCAACTGGTAGATAGCGTTACTTCACTCGTCTCTAGTCTTCCTCTAACTCTGCTCCATTTCGTCATTATTTAGAGGCGTATATCCAATCAACTACTAGATGGCGTCATTACATCCGTCTCTAATCTTTCTCCAAGTTTGATCTATTTCGAGATTATTCATAGGCGGATACAAGGGAAATAGAGTAAAATAAGAAAAAGACTGGAGACGAATGTAGTGACGCCATCTAGCAGTTAATAGGATGAGGGAAATAGGGCTAGGTTAAAGTATTATTCGTTTATTCATGTTCTTTTCAAAAGTATGGACATATCTCGTATATCGATACCATGCAGCTGTTGATGGGACATTGTCTTATTCAAGAAGCGAAAATGGCATGGTTCCGAATCGTTCACTGGGTGATATCCCACATGAAATGTACGTACTCATATCTTATACTTAAGGTAAAGGTTGATGCAGTAAACATCTAGAGTATCAACCGCCCACATGGTGCCAATTCATCAAGGCGTGGCTGTAGCGGGATAAAACTTGAAAATTGACCCGTACCCTACAGTATGCATATGTGGTTTCTAGTCTCCATGAATGCGTAAGGACCAAGAAACTACCTTATCATATGCGAATACCGGAGGCATTTGAGCATATTTGATAGTCGTCTTCGGAAGTCATGTGGATCAGCTGGGGAAATTTGGAGATCTGATTATTGATACTTAGGTATCGTCCACCCACGCCGGATCCGAGTTAATTGAGGCTGAAAAGGGGTTACGGTGGCTAGCCGTCGTCTGCAACAATGACATAGTCCCGACTAGGCCTCGTAAGGGCAAACCGGCCGAGACATGGAGGATGCGGGGTGACCAATCCGGTTCTTTACCGCGCTGACACCGGCGAAGCAAGTGGGTCGGGCGGATCCGGCGGACCGCGCTCGAGACACGAATAGTGCGCCTTCACACAACCCCGGCAAATTTTCCTTATCTGGCCCACGCGGAGGCAATCCATTCGACATTCCAACTTCGTGTCGATTGTCCATGCAAAGATCAGTCTATCACATCTTACACACAAGCATTCGCTTCTTCTGCTGCCCATTCCATTGGGATTGGTCTAGAACTTTGCCTCATTCGCTCCCACCTTCTATCGGACGACGGTTCAACTATCGGGCTTTCTTGGCGCTTTGTCTTTCCCCTCCCTCATTCACTCACTCACTTCAACGGGTCCGGCTCTCTCAGCCATGTCAACGAAACCCCGCCGTACCCTTGCGGGGCCAATCTTCCGCGTCCGTACGGGGTGCCTGACGTGCCGCGGTCGCAAGAAGAAGTGCGACGAGACCAAGCCGCGGTGTCGCGGCTGCGAGCGGAACCGCCTAGAGTGCCGTTGGCCCCCAACGTCCTCGTCCCAGGCTGCCGCCTCCTCTCAGGCTTCGCAGAGCGGCGGCAACTCGCGGTCGCCCCGCGAGGCAGTAAACTCGCCAGAGAGCACGCGGCAAGACGATGTCAAACCTGCTGCTCCTTCACCGTCAGGGTCCACGGTGGCGTCCCAGAGTCCCCAGCATCTACCAGATCGCTCAGGCAATTTCTCTTTTGCATCACATATTCAGTCCTCGGAATCGCCAAGTGCTGCCACAACGGACTCGAGCCCGAGCCCGGCAACTCAGATCGTCACGACGGACCATAGCAGCGGAATCATCATTACGCCCCAAACACCAGAAGAGAACACGACGACTGCCATCGGGCTTCAAGACCCATCCGCCTTTTCAGTCTTTGACACGGAGGACCGGGACGATGGCGACACCACGGATCAGATGGTGCACTCACCAATCCAACCAATGTCGATGTTCAGAGATCACCATGTGCCAAGGTCGATGAACCTGCTGGCTGGCAATCAGGACAGCAACTCACTAGAGCTTCTCAGTCACTACCTCAGCGCAACGTCGCTCAGTATGGCCAATGGGTCTACGGCAGACAACCCGTTCACTGCCCAATTGATTCCTCTAGCATTCAGCAGCGATCTCGTCTTACAATTACTCCTTACCCAGAGTGCCGTTCACCGAGCAGCAAAGTCTCTAGTCCCGACGGATCACATCGCGACAAAATATTACAACCAGTCTCTTCGACTCTTTCAGCAAAACATATCGACCTACATGGGTGGGCAGCATGGCGAAGAAACGTTGATCTTGGGCATCGGTGCCCTGATCCTATGCTTGGTTGAGGTATGTTGTACTGTCATGCACGCAATTCAGTTCATGGTGATGTTGATATCCCCTGTAGACTGCCAAAGGTGACGTGAACGGAACCATCTTCGACCATCTCATGGCAGCCCAGTCCTTGATCTTGCCCTTTTTATCCGCAAACAACACTTTCCTACACAAGACTTTGAAAGACTTCTTGACCGAATACTACATCTACACGGCAACCGTCAGCGTGATATCCATAGACGCACGACTTGGTGATCAATTATTCCTCAGCAACGACCTGATCCTCCTTGCGACTGAGCTCGTGGCATCCTCGTACATTGGAAGCTTGTGCGGATGCTGGCTGGATTTGATCCTCTTAGTGCCTTCAATATTCGACCTGGGACGTCGGATCATGAGCCACATGGACGAGCCGGACTGGCGTCCATCAGCTGATGACTTTATTCTGTTCTCACAACTACAAAGCCAGATTCTCAACTGGCAACCAAACCCCATGGTGACTGAAAATGTTGCCTTGGCGGGATACATATACCAGAAAGCCTTGTTGCTCTATCTGCACACGGCATTACACACACTCTCGCGAAAGGAGCATGGCCTCCAGGCAATGGCTATCCAGAACGCTCTCAGCGGAGCTCTCTCACATCTAGCACAACTAGACCCGAGCGTCCGTATCAACACCAGTTTATGTTGGCCCATCACTATCATCGGTTCTTGCGTCACAGACAAAGGACAGCAGGAGTTCTTGCACGAGAGATTGGGCCATATGTTCGCTACCATAGGTCTGGGTAACATCCGACAAACTTCAGTAGTACTGCAGCACCTTTGGGACCACAACGAGGCCATGCCGGCGGATATTGGAGCAGGTCCATGGCAGGTGTGTCGGGTCATGAATGAGAATCAGATTTGGATTTCTTTCGCGTAGACGGACTAGGGAAATGATTGATACGACTAGCGGTGGCGTTCACGGGGACAGCAAGTAAGCGAGCGAACGAACGAAAGATGATGGCGACTGACGGGACCGGGGCACATTCTTTGACCAACATGTGTGTACAATTATACACGGGTTTCATCAAGAGCGGGCAAATATGATACCATGAATCTTTTCTTTACACTATGATCGGCGAGAGCCTCTACTTTTTGAATATCGGAACATTCACCATTCACCATCACCACCCCTTCCACGGAACCCAGGTATCTATCACGACATCATTCTCATCCACAACATAGTAAACGTAGAAGGCCGCAGCAGTTATGCAAGCATGCTGCACATTAAGGAAAACCTTGTCGCCAACATCGAAATTCGCCTCGACATCTCTGCGCTCCGGATCAGCAGTCTTTGAACCTGGGGTCTGGACTTCGCCCAGAATACCGTGTTCCTGAGACATTCGAACAATAGCCCAGTCAGGCTTGCCGACAACCTTACCGTAACCTGGGTCCGGGCCAGCTTCCTTGGACAAGGCGATCGTCCCGGCGTTGATGAGTGCCTCGTTGCGCTCCGGATACACGCTGCAGACCTCGGAGAGAACGCGGATGGCCTGGTCCTCGGCCCCGATGACGCTGGTTGCGACTTGTTGGAGGTCATTCGTCGGGAAGTTTCCTAGAAAGGCTTCGTCTTAGCCTCAATGTCTTTGTGGTCATTATTGGTGAAGGATACATACCAGCGTGCAGCTCCAAGGCGACGTTCTCGGGGATCGCTGCCTTGAGAGTGCCAACGACATGAGCAGTCGGCGTAGCACCAACAGATAAGGTAAGCTTTTGGTCACCAGTAACCAGCTTTGCGGCGCTCAGAACGCTGTTGATCTCAATCGTGAGGAGATCTTCCACTTCCTGTGGTGTGCGGCACCCGTAAGAGTGACCTGCATGGCAGTAGAAGCCTTTGAGAGTGACTACGGATGAGCCGTTGACGCGCTGAATCAGCTTCTGGAGACGCTCGCTTCCCAGGGGAAGACCGGCGCGCTTGCTACCCACATCGAGCTTGATGTAGATGTCCCAGGGCCTGGTCGTGTTTTTCGTGTTCTTCGAGGCAAAATTCTCCAACAATGTGAGTTGCTTCTCATGGTCGATCATGAGCTGGACGTTGATGGACTTTCGTAGGTCTTCTAGCAGAGGGATAATGCTTGCTGGAGGAGGGAGCCCGTACAGCACCTAAAAGAAAATGCCTCAGCTTTGCAACTTCTCGTGAAATTTGAATGGTGAATCATGACAAACCTCCTCGAGAATACCCTCTTCTCCCAATGGCAATAATCCACGGATTTCTGATAATGTTGATGCCACTGCTCTCTTGTACTTGCCATTCCCAAGCATCAACCGCGTGACTTCCAGACTCTATGAGTGAGTTAGTCATGACACGTGTGAAGTGTGAGAAACAGATCAGGTTCCTACCTTGAGAGTCTTAACATGAAGTCTAAGTGTAACTCCGGCCTTCTCAACATCTTGGTGCAACCTCTCAATATTCTTCTTGATGGTCGGCAAGCTGAGCACAAAAGAGGGCGTAGGCAGGTCAGTGACCTTGGAGCCAATGAATGTGCGGTGATTCTGCAATGAGTAGTCCATGGTAACGTGGGCAATTGTGCGTGCTGCGACGTTCTGCTCCTAGAAAGACTGCCAGCGACTGGAAAGACGTGCGGCGTGCTTTTCTCCAAACCTTGTCACTTTCCCGCGCGGACCAGTTGGAGTCGACCTCTTTGACATGGGCAACACTCTTTAGGGAGGGCGGCCCAGAGGGGAGCAATGGGTGCGACCGAGATAGCCGAAAGCGGCGCTGGGGCACTTGTGGAGCTTCTTCCCCCCGCTCCGGCGCCGGCAGGATTCAGCGTGGAAAACGTCGTTATTGGCAGAGTTGCCCGTTCCCCGTCGTCGCTTATCGTCGGTTGCTGAATTCCGGAGAGATAGACTGGTGTTGAATCAACTCCTTACAATGCATACCTTACCTAGTACATTGGTTACTGAGTAGCTTCTCGAGTTGACTAAGTTACAGCTTGCAACTCGCCAGGGACACTGATCATCTGAATCGTTATTGGTCTTTCGCCGATAATATTCTCACTCGAAGATTCGGCTGGGTGCCCGATTGCGAATTTTTGGCATCATCTACGACTTGCACATACGAATTGATCTAGGCAGGAATCGGTTCCCACCTACTTAGCCGCGAAAACTCGCTACCTCAACAAGACAACGTATAGAGGAACGACGACTTTCAACGCATGCTACTCCTTCCGCCTTCTCAGCTGAACAACAAACCGTTCGTTGTACGCAATACCCCCGACAACCACGAACTTTCCCTCCTCCTTTATGTGAAAGTCAAACTGCCGAACAACTTCTGGAAGCAACTTATACATCTCCATGACTGCAACATCCTTGCCCAGGCAAACTCGTGGACCAACGCCAAACACAAAAGCAGAAGCATCCATCTCGCTTATATGCTCCTTCAAATTCCCCTCATCCTCAAGCCACCGCTCGGGTCGGTATGCCTCTGGATCCGGGGCATATAGATGAGGATCTCGCTGGACGACGTACGCATTGCTCGTGATCTCTGCTCCGGCCGGAATCCAGGTGCCGTCAACGACCTTGCCGTCCGGCGACGGCGCTACTTGGCCGAAAAGGTTCGTCGCGGGGGGGTGGAGTCTCAGAGATTCTTTGATACATGCAATGAAGTATGGCAACTGCGCCCTCGTCTCCTCGAATTGGATCGGCGTACTCAAAAGCCTTGCATCGGAAGCAGCTTTCAATTCGGCTCGTACGCGTGCGAACACTGGCGCATGCGTTAGAATAAAGCGAAGGGTGCTGTCAAGCGCCGTGCCAGTTGTGTCTGCGCCGGCTTGTATTAGCAACGTGACGTGCGCCCGCTTCTGCATCGCCGTCAATGGCTGTCCGTCCATCCGTGCCTCCAGGCACCTGCAGCAAGATCAGTATTGTGCAATGAGGAAACGTAGGAGTTTGATGTGACCAACAATTGCAAGAAATCTGGTCTTTCTTGGGAAAGTCCTCTTGCGACATGCGCTGCTCCCGACCAGAGACCTCTCTGTCTGCTTGCCTCATCAAGTAGCCCATGCCGTTGTCGTCGCTTGTCCCTGGTAGGAAGTATTTACTCAACGAGCCTTTCAAAATCACATCCCGAAAAAAGCGGAAACGACCGGCGAAACCGAAAAAGACTAATCCCTCTCGCCAGCTCTTGAGCATGTTGCGCTCATCACGACTGTTGTCGACGAAGCCCCAAGGGTTGGTGAAACAGACTAGCGTCATGATATCGGCTGCAAATTCTCTGAGTAGAAGTCAGCTTTAACCGAGGACATGCGCGCAGATGAGTTACTCACGCTACTTTGTCAGACAGAATGACGGGCTGATTCTTGTCTGCAAACTCGGTCATTCTTTGCACAAAAAGTTGAATGTGGTTGTTGATTCGTGGTTCCCAATTGTTTTTCAACCCCCCAACGGACCACTGTAGATTCAGTGTTAGTGAAGAACCGCGCCGAGAATGTAGTTAGTCAGTAGCGAAGAACTATTAAAGGAACATACCGACGGACCACCTAGGGCTTTTCTCAAAGACTTATGCACACCCCCATCAATAGTCGAGAACAGGTGTGGCGGGCCAAGTGCGCTGGAGCCGTAGAGAGGTGCTTTGTTATTGCACTTTGAATCCCAGTAAATGTTCTTGATAGCCTTGGACTGAGGGAACAGCAGAAGAGACGGTGCTATTCGGATAGGCTTCTCATCTTCGTCGAGGGGTCAGCATCATTGACTTCTCAAAAACCCGGTACACGAGCTAGTGATAGTCTTTGGTGAAGGAGCACAGACAACAACTCACATCCATATCGCTTGGCCAGGTACAGCATCCAATGTGGCTCCAGCCCAACGACGGAAATGACAGCGGAGCAAAGAGAGAATGAGGCGGCGTACCACGGGCCATGATACTTGGACAAGGAGTGTAAGTACAAATTATAAAAGATAACTACGTAAAACTAGCGACGAAATCGTCACGATGGAAAAAAAAGCCCCGGCCGAGGCCAATGAAAGCTCTGGCACATCAAGTAGCACCATAATCACAGAGCGTTATTGAGTATGGTCAGTGAGATGCTGTGATTGCTAAGGCAGTTCCCGAAGCCTATCAGGTATATATATACTACTAATCCAGCACGCCCAGAATTTGTAGATCCCTTCTATTCTCTTAGGCCTTGGTCTTAAAATGCCTTAGAGCAAGATCATATACTTACGTATCCTAACCACCTCATTCGTCTCAATCATCTGGCCTGACGTGCAGCGAATGCCCAGTCCTACTCTTACTGCTGCTTGATACTCATTGTACAACATGCCCCTCATCTATGGCCTATCGGCAACGCGCGATCAGCTCTTGGGTGTTGCGTTGAGTAGGACGGATAAGCATAGTGCTGATTATGAACGATGCTGTATGGATGATGCAACCCTGCAGCGGTTATTGACTGCGACCAAATTCTATTGAGCCTGCAGACGTGCCGAGCCGAGCAAAGAACCCATCGTTTAAGCACGATTTGCCGGGTGCCGTGTCTAGACGCGAGAAAAATCAAGTCGCATGTGCGTTGGCAGCTCGGTTTGTGGTGTGTTCATGTGCGCTGTGAAACATACATGTTGACCGAGATGCAGAGCGGACGCCATGCCCCATACTTCAACTCACCTTGATTTCACACATGAACATATTTCAGTAGGGAAATGAACTTGTTGATCAAATCATGCTTTAGGTATTCCGCGGACAACCATACACAGATTGATTAGTCACGCCGTTTCCGACGCCGGAGATCCACCCCGAATCGTCTTATCTCGCTCTGGGGTTGCCGACCCCGCAGCCTATCTTATGCTGGATCTTGGAGTCCCGTGTTTATGTCAACTTTGACATTTGCCAGATGTTCACTTTCACAAGTCTATGCAATTTCATCTTTACAAGCTAAACAAAATCACCGCCAGCATGTACACCGTCAATGTGGGAGACGGGCTAGACAGCCTAGACACACCTTCCATGATCGTGGATCTCGACCTCATGGAAGCGAACATCAAGAAGCTCTTTGACAGCCTACTTCCCACTGGCGTCAATATCCGCCCTCACCTCAAGACAACAAAAAGCGCAGTGCTTGCTGGCAAGCTTGCCGCCGCCGGTGCCAAGGGCTGCTGCGTAGCCAAAGTGTCAGAAGCAGAAGCCATCACAGCGGCGGGCTTCGACGACATCCTCATAACCTGCGAAATCATCGGCGCCCAGAAAGTGAAGCGTCTTGTCGAGCTTTTCAAGAAGAACAAAAAGATTAGAATCGTCATCGACAGCGAATTTGGCGCAACGGCAATCAACGACGCGCTAGATGGGGCCGGTGTGGACGAGCCAATTACCACGCTGATTGACTTGGATGTTGGCCTGCATCGGACCGGCGTGGCTGCAGGCGAGCCCGCCTTAGCTCTGGCAAGACACATCGGAAATCTGAGGCATCTGAAGCTTAGTGGTGTGCAAGGATATGAGGGCCACCTACAGCATCTTCACGACCGGGAAGATCGAAAGAAGCAATGCCTCGAGTCCATGAAGACGCTCACCGAGACAGCAGAGGCTCTCCGCAAAGGGGGTTTCGGCATCGATGTCGTCACGACCGGCGGCACGGGCACCGCAGAGTTCTGCGTTACGGTTCCAGGAGTCACGGAGTTGCAACCTGGATCCTTCATCTTCATGGATACGGACTACCGCAACGCCGTCGGATCGTTCTACTCCAACAGCCTATCGTTACTGGCGACCGTTGTCAGCAAGCAAGGCGAGCGACAGGTGACGATTGATACGGGACTCAAGTCTCTGACGACGGATAGTGGACTGGCTGAGTGCAAGGATCGGCGCTATGCGCACGTCAACTTGGGAGACGAGCATGGCTCCCTCAGCTGGGAGGAGGGAACTCCGGCTTTGGCTGTGGGCGATAGGGTTGAAATGGTTCCGAGTCACATTGACCCGACGATTAACCTGCACGACTGGTACTATGCCCATCGAAATGGTGTCATCAAGGAAATCTGGTCGGTCGACTCCAGGGGAAAGGTTCAATAGTGAGACTCAAATTCGCATTCGTACAGACTTTATCCAGTAGCACCTTGGAACACTGAAGTTCGAAAGGTACCATAACCGGACGGGTTTCTCGCAAAAGAATAGGCAGACAATGCAACATACCAAAGTCGGATCAAATGTCATGAGCAACATGAAGCGACTTGTCCGACTTCCGGATTCCAGGGGTCTTCTCTTTCCTAGTCGAGCCGGGAACAGCAATGTGAAAGTGATCCTTTCGAGTGCCTTTCGGTTGCTCTTGAATACTAAGGTAAGGTAAGTCAATAAAGATAATGAATTCTCAATCCACTTGCCGCTGAAAGTACGGGACCTAGACGCCCTGTGGTCGTAGAAATGTTTGGTATTTGAAAGCCAAGAAGTAATTCGAGTTTATGTGGTCGTCTAGAGCGTGCTCTATATCTTTGCTTTCGAATGATTCCTCTCCTTCAAGTTTCTTTCGGCAGGCAAGACCATGTTTACATGTGTACTAAGGGCAACGACATCCCCACCCTGATCTAGAACAATGACCTCAAGATCTAGTCTGCCGTTTCGAATAACCTTTGCCATTGTCCGAAGGAAGAGCCATTCCGCTCCGTCCTCAGGTAAAGCCTTCTTCACGTCCAAGTTCAGAGCAAGCGTCGGATACCAAAACATTTCATTGGATCGAAAAGGTGTCTGCTCTTCATCACGCTTCGGTCTCCAGGCCTCTATAACCGTCGGGTATGCGTCCACGACATAGCCGAGTGAAGCGTTTGTGAACCTCTGGCCTTCCTTGAGGCGTAGCCAGAGATCTACGATGCCACGTCGAGTGTCTCCGCGCGGGACGTAGTACTCCAGGCTGTTATGAGCGCGGGCGTAAGACGTCGCGCGAGCGTTCAGCTTGAGCTTTCGCACCCAGTGAGGGTCCCTGTCCTGACTAAGGAGGCCAAAGTCGACAGGTTTGGCTGGCGGAGTCATCGCCCAACCGCTCTCTAGCGTGAGGCCCTTTTCGAGAGTCAAGCGCGTGTTGATCAAGTAGGCGACGACCTCTTTTCTGGAAGATGCCGTGAACCAGGGAGCTGAGGATTGGAGGTCATGTTGATAGAGCGAGACGTGCAGGGTTGAAAGGTTGCGGCCGGGTTTGACTTCATCGACGATGAGAATCGCAGGTCCGATTTCGGTGCGGTTGACGTACTCGAAATGCGCTGAGATTGAGTTAGGTTGGCCCCGCGCTGTGAGGTGCAGTGATGCCGCGCGAAGAATTACTGATGCAACATAGCCACCATTTGGAACTGCGCGTTGTCAATAATGAGCCCAATGGAGTAGAAGATGAATATGCCACGAGGGATTATTTACCTGAGCCAGTGCACCAACTAGGCACCAAGTTGGCTCCGTACACGTTGGGACCAAGTTTTGTTATTGTCGTGGCATTCGAAAACGATACAAGCTCCTCAGACGTCATGGTATCGACAGGATGGAACTGTCTCTAAAGGTCAAAGTCTCGTCTCCTTCGCCAAGAGATTCAATTGCAGGGATGCTGGTTCGCCTCTACGAAACAACTGGCCAGTGATTCGATAAGCCCGTTCAGTAGACGAAGCAGATATCTGAGTTCAGGATCAGTAATACATCAACAGAACATGGAGGAAGCTGAGCAATTCTCGCGTTGCTGGAATCCAGGGAAGCTCCTGGGGTATCGGCGATGTGGGCCCGTTTCTCGAACGCTTGTTGGCTCTCACTTTGTCCATCCTCAAGACGAGAGGGCGGGCGGAATTCATGCCGATTCCCGGTCCTGAGTGAGCCTCGGCATTGCACATGTCACCTGACTCAAGACAGCTTGTTCTGCTCACTTTTGGTCAAGCCACAAGGAGCTTTGGCGTCTGCCCACTTCTTACCAGCAGAGCTTTTTGCCTCGGTAAGTGGACCTAAATGAGCCGTCAGCTCACGCCGCCAGGCTCACTTTCAATAACCTAGCGTTGGTGAGATGAGTCTCACTCTCACTCTCAGTGGCTCAAGCTTATGGCTGAAAGCCCCCTAAAAAGCCCGTCTAGGGCGCCATGACTGGTGTGAGATTCGAGGCACCACACAACACGCAATCCGATCCTCCCAGGCACGCCAGGTTAGAGTGACGGATCCTCCGTAGACTATGCCCAACGTCGGCCGTCGTACGGTATCGAGGCTACTGCTCCGATGCGAGTCCCAACAGTTAGGTTCCTGGGTCTACGGCGCGTCCCAACAATGGCGTGGCCGCGGGACGCCTACCGAGTCTCCGGGCCTTTGATAAGATTCTATCGCCGAGATGAGATCAGTCATCAAGAAAAGGATCTGACTTGCAAAATATGAAGGCTGACGCTCCCTCTTTGCGAATACTAAGCTGATACCCAAATCTTCTGCTTAGTTTTTTCTTGCCTAAGCCTGCAGCTTTTCTTTCTATGTCTCACTGTTAGTGTAGTCTCATCGCCCGCGGTGCATAACCACGAAGCCATCGAAATGACACCTAAATCGGACCCGTTCCCGGGCTTCATAGCCATAACCGACCAGATTTTCTTCCGAGAAGGCGAACAGGTAACAGAGGGGACTCAACCACCAGCAAGCCACCCGAGAGTCGTCATCATCTACAGTTGGGGCGACGCCGTACCCAAACACGTCTCCAAATACGCCGACGGATTCCGCACACTATTCCCGCACGCAAAACAAATCGCCGTGCTCTCGCCCATCGTCAAAGCGATGAGGGAGGACCTCCAGACCCGCTCCAACAACATGAAGCCCGTCATAGAAGCCGCATATCCCTCAGCAACGTCCGGAACACCAGACCCCGACGAAGACGCCGTCCTCATGCACGTCATGTCCAACACGGGCGGCATCAACTACGCCGGAACGCTGCACGCCTACCAAGAAAGGTTCGGCCGCCCCATGCCGCATCGCCTATCTAGCTACGACTCTACGCCCGGCAGCGTAATCATGACCTGGAACAACCTCAAGCGCTGGTCTCTGGCCATGACCCTCGGCACCGCAGGCTGGTTCCCCTGGCCGTTTGTCGTGACGCAGTGCATCATGGGTGTCTTCCTCCTTCTGAACCACAGCTTCGAGCATCTCACCGGCCGCGAGAGCGCACCGGTCTTCAGTGTCGCAGCAATTGGCGACACGAAGTATGTTTCCAAGGGGTCACGCAAGTTGTACCTGTACAGCAAGGAAGATCGGCTCATTGGCTGGGAGGATATCGAGAAGAACATGGCTGAGTCCAAGGGCAAGGGCTACGCCTACGACGCGGTACGATTCGAAGGAAGCGATCATGTTGGGCACATGCGCATGCATCTTGATCAGTATTGGGGCGCTATCGCATCGGCATGGAAAGAAACGTGAGATTCTCCAAAGATTGGAAGGGCTGACCATGATGTGAAGAGGCTTCGCGGTGTGTTGAGCAGCTGTCTAAGCGTAGAAAGAAGAGACTTGTGATGATAATGAAAATAGATAAAGTAGATGCACGCGATATGACGTCAGCATTTCTTCATACGTTGCTAAGACCAGCCCTGAGCTATTCAATAATTACCTGTCTTCATTGTCGACTTTTAGCTTCTTTCCCTCTTACATTTGCTCCATGTCGTCTTGCAAGATCGCAAACCTACAACCCATGCCGTAGCAGATCACCGATGAACCACCTCGAAGGAAAGACCTAATCTGAGCACGAGACCATGGGATCAGAAGCCGGCCTGGCGCCCCTGGCATCGCTACGAATTTCCAAACACTTCATCCAGTCACATGGGCTATTCCCCAACACAAGCATCCAGAATAAGCCCCTGGTGATCTATCATTCCGCTTTCTCGTCAGCAAGTGCACCATTCATCGAGTCCCACCTTACCTCTGTCGGCGTCGTCGAGCCGCAGTGGCGATATACCATGTACAGCACGAGTCACTTTCACAGCACGACACATGAAGTCTTGTGCATCAGTAACGGACGCGCAAAGCTTTGTTTCGGAGGCGAAGATAACGAAGGCCGGGTTGAGCCTCTAGTTGAGAAGGGCGATGTGATTGTTGTGCCGGCGGGGGTTGCTCACCGTCTGCTGGATGACTTTGGAAGCGGGTTCGAGATGGTTGGAAGCTATCCAAAAGGTCACGACTGGGATATGTGTTACGGTAAGAAGGGGGAAGAGGGAAAAGTCGATGCTATCGCCAAGATACCGTGGTTTAGCAGAGATCCAGTGTATGGAAATATCGGGCCGGCACTAAAGGTCTGATATTTTGTGGTCACAGTTGCAGGCTCGCGAACATCAAAAGTTTTGTTCACACATCTTGGCGAGTCTTAGTAAGTGATGCGCAGTACAGGGGCTTGATGCTGAACTTGCTACCGACTGTTAACGAAATTCCAAGAGAGGTATGACAGGTATTAAAAAGAATATGCAACTCAAACACAGAGAAGCCCTTGAACTCCGCCAAGTATGCACATGCAGGATGCAGAAACATTTGACGCCAAGAGAAGTGCACACAAACACGCCAACATTCCGCACCATCATGACAACATGCTCTCATAACACATTACAAGCATCCCAGAAATGACACTGAACAATGATCATCGCCCATAGATATCAAACAACCATCCCATACTCGGCCGTCTGCATCGCTCTGCTCTCACTTCCGTACTGCGGACCAAACACCGACAAAGCCAGCGACCGGCCACGTGATCGCAAGCCTATCTTTCAGCGACTTTCTCCTCCGTTCTTTGCTCACATCAATCGTAATCTTGTCATAAACCGTCGGTAAACTCGTCGCGCTGTACCGGTCTCGCAGCTTTGTGTACCAATCCTTGTCGTACACCTCCCAGAATTGTGACTCGGTGTAGTACGCGTGCGAGTACAACACTTTGCGTCCGCCCAGCTCCATGACCTTCGCCTCGAGATCCCGGTTTTGACGGACGAACCTGTCAATCTTCCTTGACGACGCTCCCCAAACACCCACATTAAGCATCGGCTGCGGCGTCTCCCCGCCAGGCTCCATCGTGTAGGGGTGGAAGCCGACGGTCTCAGTGGCACGGAGGGGACACAACCAGAGGGGCCATATTTCGAGGTTATCTGCCACATAGTCGATGAATTCTTGGACTGTGGTGTATGGCAGCGAGAGGTCGTGGATCGTGTATTTGAATGTCATCCGGCTGTTGCCGCTTAGGCCGGCCTTGTATAATGTCCTCGTGTCCATAAGACGGTTTAGAGCCCGGCGAGTGAGTCTGTTGAACGGGACAAAGCCGAAATATTTGAAGGCTAACTCGCCCATCCAGAATGCACCTCGATCATATCGAAAAAGGTAGTCCTGAAGCGGCACATAATCTGGCGTTGGTGTGCCATTTGCGATTCGTTTCCGTGCATGCAGATAGAACCAAGGATCCTTGGACCTGCTGAACGTCTGGGGCTGGCACTTATCGGGCAGATCATCCGTCATATGACCCGTAACAACAGCGGCGCTCGTCCTCGAAAAAACCAGTCCTTCAACGTAGTCATTGTGCGCCAGGTTCGTCTCCCGTTGAATTGCAGCAACGGCCTCCGGAATCGTCGAGTACGAGTGATAGCTGAGCTTAACGAATTGCTTGGCCTTGAGCAACCTGAGCTCCAGTTTTGTGACGATGCCCAGGGTCCCCAGGGCCCCTGCCGCACCCTTGAAGAGATCTGGATTCTCCGTCTTGGAGGCATTGACAATCTCTCCACTCGCGAGGATCATTTCTACAGACTGCACCGTCTGGTCAAAGTACCCGTAGCGAAACGAGCTGCTCTCTCCGGCTGACCCGGCGAAGCCGCCGCCGACTGTGATGCCTGGGAATTCCATCACTACGGGCGGGACAAACCCGCACCTGTAGGTAGCCGCGACGAGCTGGTCCATGGGGACATTGGGTTCAACGATGGCGACGGATGCCGCAGTGTCGATATGTAGGACATGATGCAGCTCGCTGATGTCGACGACGCGCTGGCGGTGGGCGGGCCGGGTGCTGCTTGTGGAACCGTGGAAGATGCGGAAAGGTTCCCGGCGGGAGTGAAAGTCCTTAACCACTTCGGCGATGCGCTTGACCGCCGCGTTGTGGTCGTCCATTTCCCGGATCTGACAGCAGAAAAAAGCTGCAGAACGGAAACTCTGCTGAAGACGAACCTCGAAGCTGCGATCCGACGACAAGCTTGGAGATCTGGGGTTCCGGGGAACGGGAAGTCAATTGTCAAGATGTCATTGAGAACGGACGGATACAACGCTCTGTGGCTAAGCCAAGTTGTAACGGGGATTGTCAGAGGTTGACTTGACCCACTCCGGAGAGCTGGATACGCCGTCATTGGACCTTTGCTATGTTGCATGGACGATGACTAAGACAGGGATTTCTCAAATATTGACGCTAGGGTCCATGATTGACTGACAACCCTAACCCTGCATGATGTGGTAGATTAGACCGAAATTCACCGCCTCCTTTTGCGGGTTATCACTGAAGTCTGTCGTCATTGAGGCTATGTATTGGCAATGCTAGGTAGACATCTTCTCAGCGAAAAGTGGTTACTGACCCTCGGTATCCTTTTTCTCGTCGCCCTCACTCGCAATATTCTTTAGTCCGACGCCAGCAACGCCAACGATACTTGCCGCAGCCATAGCAGCAGCCACTATGTATGTCCTTGTGATGGCATGATTGTATACCTGCAGTAGTGTACCGTACTGTTCTGGAGACACCAAGTCCTTAAGCTGCGTAGCACCCGAGTTTCTGATTGCTTGGGGATCGACGCCTGGGATATCGGAGGTTATTCCCGACGTTAGTATGCTCGCAAACACGGCCTGAGCAACTGTGATGGCAGTAGTAGGACCGAAGCATTGAAAGAAAAGCACAACTGCCACCCCAATAGCTACATCAGCCTCTTTCAGACTGCTTTGGACGGCGACCGCTGCTTGCTGTGTTGAAGCGCCAATGCCAAGCCCGGCGATGACTTGAAAGGGAATCCAGAGATTCGCTCCCGAGGATACTTTGAGTGTCGAAAGAAGGCCAGAACCAACGGAGACGAGAACAGTGCCAGCAAGCATGAAAGGCTGGTAGTAACCCAACTTCGTGACACCCCAGCCGCTGAGGAAAATGGTGAGAATAAAGGCTAGGCAAAGGGCCAGGTATCGAACACCAGACTCCTCGGGCGTGGCACCCTGGATGGCCTGGAACCAGAGAGGCACCTATAACCAACGTTAGTTGTTAACTCTTGGCTGGAAGAAACGTAAAGAATTCGGTTGTCATACGTAGTAAACGAGGGTGAAGAAGGCACTGTCCAGGCAAAAGCCGAAAAAGGCCCCGAAAATGACCACGCGCATCTTAGCCAGGCGCGGCGGCACCAATGCCTTTTCACCCATCCACCACTGTTCGGCCACAAAGCCGATGACGAGAACGCCAGCGACGACAAAGCAAGCAATGGTCCGTCGGTCGCTCCACGTGAACAGCGCGCCTCCGAATTGGAGAGCGAGGAGGAATGAGGTGATCCCTGGCAGTAAGAGGAGCATGCCAAGATAATCCAAGCCCCTGATTTTCTGCAGCCAAGGCTGCCGCTGCTGTTCGGTTAATGGGGACGACTTGACCAGAAACAACGTCGCGAGAGCGGGTGGTGCCGCGATCGGGAGGTTGATGTAAAAACACCTGATGGCGATTCGATATCAGTAGGCGATGCATTGGCGACCAGATCAAGGACATGGGATGCTACTCACCATCTCCACGTAAGGTAGCTGTTCGTGATAATGCCGCCGACCACCGGCCCAAGAACTGCGGCAACACCATAGACCATGCCGATGGCACCTACATACATCGGCAGGTGTTTCGCAGGCAGGGCTGCGGAGATGAGGACTAGACAGCCACTCTGAAGGCCGGACGCACCGAGGCCAGCGATGGCGCGTCCGACGACGAAGACTGCTGAGCTCGGGCTCACTGCGCAAATGAGGGACCCAATCTCGAAGATGGCGAGAGAGATGACATAAATGATCTTGACGTTGAATTGGTTGTACAAGCGTCCGAAAATGAGTTGAAATGCGCAAAGTGTCATTTGGTAAGCTGAACCATACCACTAGAGACTTGTTAGACAGAGTTCGCTGATATGGGATCTGTCCGTAAGTAGTATGCGACTTACACCAACATCGGTAAGAGATCCAAATTCGTCCGTGATACGCGGAATAGCTGTCGCAATAATGCCTTCATCGAGAAAAGTACACAATACACCAAGTGCAATTGCTAACCAGATGACGAATATCTTCCATCCTGGAAGGTTCTCACTTGGCTTGGTTTGTGTCTCTTCAGTGTGGGATTCATCAGACTGGGTGCTGCTGTCGAGCACATTGCCCTTCTCCTGTTGAGAATTCAGGTCCATACTGGCATTGCCTTTCTCAAGAGCATTCGAATTTTCAGGAGCCATTTGGAAAAATGGGAATAATTCTGCACTTAGGAGACCGTAGAGAATCTTAGAATGGGTAGATGCGATGGGACCATCTGGATAGTAACTACTCCTTCGCATTCACTTTTCCACACCAGAGAGGTCCGGAGTGCCTAGGTCTATTTCGAGAGCAGCACGGCGGAACCTCCAAACGAACTCGCGTCGCCCCGCTGCACCGGCTGACCGCCATGAGAGGATTCAAGCCTAGACATGGATCCCATCACACTGCCCCCAACCCGCATCTGGAAGGCCAAAACGAGCATCATGGGTGAATTTTGTGGATGTCTGAGGGGTAAAACAAAGCTTGACATTTTCCATGTTCGCAAAATCATGATATCGGCCCCGGGACGACTCCGCCGCTGCCTTATCGCTGACCACCCCCATCGAAATGGTGACCACCCCTCTCTCGATGGAGCCGAAGGATTCGCGAATGGCTGCTAGTCGCCAGCTTCTAGGCACCTGCGTCAAGTGCAAGTTCTTTCAAGCATTTTTCGCCATGGGCAATGAGGCCGATTATTGGTTCCCGAGGCACGGGAAGAATCTATGCGAACTGGGAAACCCGGAGACCCGCATACGAACCCATGCAAGGCACAGTATGCAACCACTTTAGAATGCATGCACTACAAAAGAACCGATGGGGGTCAACAGGGCTTCCAGCCTTTCGGCGTGGCGAGGCATCATCACATCACTGACGAATTATTGGAATCACGCGTCCAGTAACTGGGGGTGTCGCAAGACCATCCTTCTTTTACTCCATATTACTGTGAGACTTAGCTTTTTGAGTCTTGATAGAGACATATGATTCAGCGTGGACTCCGAATCAGCCAATCGGAGCGTGCCCAAGTCATTTTCAAACGACAAAGAAGGCGCGTAACTGTTGTACAGATTCAACTGATTGCACTTCGAGATTTATAGGAACGGCAATGTAATGCCGAGAAATGCCGCACTCCACATTCTTTGATTTGTGATCTCAAGTCAGACGGAAGAGACTGGTTGATGGCTGCTGTTCTGGACTCAAGCGGAGGAGCTGCAACACCCCGGTCTTGTGGGAGTCACTTTCTCGGGCGAACACAACCTGAGCATCCCCGTGATAAGGCGCAGCAACGAAGGATTGACGGTGTGAGAGGCCCCGGAATCTTTGCCTGTTTGGGGAGGTTGTAGAAGACCTACGACCAGTCTAGAATACCTGATTTGGAAGACCCGATGATTGCTTGGTCTGAGTTTTGATCTATCCGAGAAGGCGTAGTCTAGGCTGTTCCGTTGTACGCGCGGTTTGAGTATGACGCCATGAACGGGAACTATCACGGGAGCCAGTTGGTTAGACTAGCAGCTAGGGTACCACTTGACATGGAAGGAACTTTATGGTCTCATGTCCAACCTCCTCGGACTGGAGATATGAAGGGTCCGAAACGGTAGTCCGAAGGAGTGATGCCAGATGTTCCAGTATGATTCATACATGTACGAAAGACAAGTGGTAAGCTCCTGCATCAATGCAAAGATACTTTCTTCATACAAGCAACGTATACAAACACCGCTGTCCAAGACTTTCCCGCCTTGGCGTCACGCTTCTATGCTGACATCGTGCATAAATCAACATTACCTGCACCACTGCAACCAAGCCAAGTCGTCAACATGTTATCGACAGATGGAAAATGGAAGCTCATACCCCGACTTCACTCTGTCAAGTTCGTCTTCGATGATCCCATCCCGGCAGACGCAAAGACGCCAGAAGAAATCGTCTTTGAAAATCCATTCCCTGCCGATATCCCGGGCGTGCATCAGCGGTTTGTTTTCAAGGCGGCCACGGCTCATGCTGTCGGTCAGGATGCTACCGGTCTCCAGACATCAACAACCCATGGCGGAGATGGCCTTGATACCGGTGTCTCAAACGCGACACAGGCATCTGATACGCCGGAAAAGACGAGAGGTTCGATCACATCCCACGACAGTCGAACGAAGATCGCGTCTGGGGAACCACAGAGAGAGTCCTTCTCCCATATTCGTGGTCCTACTTGCGACTCACCAGATGGCGTGGAGTCAATCGTGTGCGCAGCCTGGGCCTTGATACTGTCCTCACTCCACGACAGCGAAGTAGTCAACTTCGGAGTTTGCGTTACGAGCAGTGGAAACCCCGATCCTGTGTATAGCGTGACATCGGTCACAGCGTCTATTGACCCCCAATCGTCGGTTGCGGCATTTCTGCAGCAAGTCAAAGACAAATTCCTCCTGCCCGAGACCTCCAGTCAAAGGGTTCAGGCAATGTACGAGGGCGGGGGAGGATCATTTGTCAACACGCTTGTCAACTTTTCAACGACTGTTGAACACCTGCAGCAGCGAGCCGACGTCTCCATTTTCGCTCTTCAGCTTCACTGTGTCGCCGAAGGTCAAGATCTGCAGTTACATGCGACGTTTGACGAGCGTTCTATCTCTGGACCAAGAGTTCGGCTTCTGCTGAGTGATTTGGAACAAGTCATCTGGCAGCTGGCGAACTCAACGGGAGAGCAGACCGTTCTTGCGGACGTACAGATCATGAGTCCCACCAGTCAGCGGCATCTCGTTAAGCTAAACAGACCGTAAGTTCATGTCCCTTTCTTTGCACAATCTATGATCGTCCCCCAGTGCGCCTGTCTAACTTCAAAAAGACTTCCAACAAGGGAGGAAAAGGTCGTCCAAGAGTCGATAGCACAGTATGCCAGAACAACCCCTCACGCTGAAGCTATCTGCGCTTGGGATGGTAGCTTGTCGTACTCCGAGTTGCACCGCTCTTCCGAGATTCTAGCGACATATCTTGCAGGTCTTGGAGTCGGACCCGAGGAGGTGGTACCGATTATCTTCGAAAAGTCCGTATACAGCATCATTTCTATCCTGGGTGTGGTAATGGCTGGAGGTGCGGTTGTGGTTTTGGATCCCTCGCTTCCCGCAGCCCGAATCAGCATGATCGTCAAAGATGTTGATGCCAATGTCGTTGTATCGTCTGTCTTGAGCAAAAGCAAGATCCCATCCCAAGTACAACACGAGAAGCGGGTTGTAGTAAATCAGTCTCTATTCGACCATCTCTCAACCAAAAGGCAATTCCCATCCAAGCAAATCTCACCGTCTCCTACCAACGCGCTGTACGTTGTGTACACGAGTGGTTCTACCGGAAAGCCAAAAGGTGTGGTAGTCACTCACGAGGCATTTTGTTCCAGCGCGAAGGGATATTCCAAAGCAATCCGCCTCAATTCTACCTGCCGGGTCTTGCAGTACTCCTCCTTCTCCTTCGATATTTCCATGCTCGAAGTCTTTACTACCTTGATGGCGGGATCATGTCTTTGCATCCCGTCAGAAGAAGACAGGATGAACAACCTTGCTAGCTGTATTTCTAGCATGAAGGTCAACTGGGCAATGCTGACACCAACTGTTGCAAGTCTCATGACCCCAGAAGAAGTCCCGAGCCTCGAGGTCTTGTGCCTCGTGGGAGAAGCATTGCCGCAGGCTGTCGCCGACGCATGGGCTGATGATGTCAAAACCATCAACGCCTACGGCCCTGCGGAGTGCTCAGCAATCACCATTGTCAGTGAGCCAAGGTCTAGGGGGGTGAAGAGTATTTCTCTTGGAAGACCTGCCAACTGCGCCGTTTGGATTGTCCGAGAAGATGATCAGCTTGCGTCATTCGGTGCTGTTGGAGAGATTGTGATTGAGGGCCCGCCCGTTGCGCGTGGGTATCTTGGTGACCAGGAGAAGACGAATGCCGTCTTCTTGGATGATCCTAATTTTCTTCGCGGTGTAGTGCGACGGCCCATGCGATGCTATCGAACCGGTGATCTGGGAAAGATGAACCATGATGGGACTATCGACTTCCTCGGTCGGAAAGATACTCAGGTCAAGATCAATGGTCAGCGTGTCGAGCTCGGCGAGATTGAGCATCAACTCGGACAAAACCTGAATTCCGAAGAGAAACAATCATCTCCTGAGACTAAGTGGGAGTTGGCTGTCGAGTTCTTGCGACCCATGGGAGGAGAGCAAGGTATCCTCACAGCATTTGTCGCTCCCAAGATAACTCCAGAAACCTCTTCCAATGGAGCAGGGCAGCATCTTATCGAGAAGGTGCACCCTTTGTGGACAACAATACATCAGAAATTCCAGGCAGCTTCGACAGAGCTCGCTCACTCTCTTCCTGGGTACATGATCCCACGGGCAGTCGTACCATGCTACATGCTGCTCCTTTCACCTTCAGGCAAGGTCGATAGAAAAACACTACGCACACACGGAAATGCAATGACGGCGCAACAACTGCTGAGATCGCCAAGCGATGTGGAAATTAAAACTGCGCCGACTGAGGTTCCTGGAGCACTTTCGGCTGAGTTCCCCGACAGCGAAGAGGAGTCCTCCGTCGGACAGCACACGCTGCTATCGGACGCATACCCCTCAACAGAGGCGTCGATGCCACTCTCCGAGACTTCACTGCCTAGCCTTACACTGATTGAGAAGTCCCTACGCCTAGCTTGGTCAGAGGTTCTAGGGCTACCCGAAGACTCGATCCTGCTCGAAGATGACTTTTTCAAGCTCGGTGGAGATTCTATAGGGGCTATCAGGATAGTGGCGGCTTGTCGTAAGCAGTCGCTCCAGATCAACGTCGCGAACATCTTCAAGAACTCTGTGTTGGGCAAGATGGCACTCGTTTGTAAGAGTACGGCATCTGAAAACCAGGTAGTGTCTCCTGTTCAGATCGTTCCATTCCAGTTCCTGCGGCAAGAGGATATCCCCGAGCTGCAGGAAGAAGCCGCCTTCCAGTGCGACGTCACTATCGATGGAATCGAAGACTTGTACCCTTGCACGCACATGCAAGAAGGTCTGATGGCGGTCAACCTCACGCGACCAGGCAGTTACACGGGTCGATGGATCCATCCCCTGCCCCGGAACGTCAACCTCTCGCGGTTCAGACAGTGCTGGGAGGA